CAACGGTCCAACGGTCTAACGGCCTAGAAGCCTAGAAGCCTAGAAGCCTAGAAGCCTAGAAGCCTAGAAGCCTAGAAGCCTAGAAGCCTAGAAGCCTAGAAGCCTAGAAGCCTAGAAGCCTAGAAGCCTAGAAGTCTAGAAGTCTAGAAGTCTAGAAGTCTAGAAGTCTAGAAGTCTAGAAGTCTAGAAGTAGAAGAAGAAGAAGAAGAAGAAGAAGAAGAAGAAGAAGAAGAAGAAGAAGAAGAAGAAGAAGAAGAAGAAGAAGAAGAAGAAGACGAAGAAGAAGACGAAGAAGAAGACGAAGAAGAAGAAGAAGAAGACGAAGAAGAAGAAGAAGATAATTTCGAGAGTTAGAAAGCTGATGTTTTCTTCTGAGAAGATTTCCAAGAACCATGTAATTACATTGTGTTTTTTAGTACAATAGTACTAAATTTTGAATTTTTTGTTGTTCTGACTATTATTCTATCTCACTACATATCAAATAAAGTATCAATGACTACACTTAATATTTTATGTACGTAAATAAATTTTATTCCATATTTACGTTACAATGTTGCTAAATGTTTTAATATTCGTAATTACTTAGTAAAAAGTCAATTAAATGAAAGTTCGCTAGGAAATCGTATAGAAGTTCTTAATAAAATAAAAGGTAATGCTTCACAAAACCGAATCAAGCCAAATTTCCATTACATATGTGTTAAACGATAGGGAATATTCTAACACTATTTTGGAAGTTTTTTTTGGAGTCGTAACTTAAGTTAAAAAAAAACCAAGAAAACTACATAGGGTAAGTTAAGTTTGGAACAATAAAAAAAGGGACAATAGAAAAGCGCAGCATAAGTAAAGCAAAGTTTATAACATGTAATAAAACACCAAAAGCAAACTGGAAAGGTTAGGTTTGGAACATTTTTAATACCATAAAAACATCGAAAAAGCGAAAATATTTTCTGTTATAACATGTGATTTTATAAAAATTGTAAGTGTCAGTATACCTGTTACAAAACTGAAAACTTATGAAACAATTTTATTATCTCACTGAAATAAATTATTTTTTCTAATTACAAAATCATCGTGTAGGACGACAAGAGTTTTTTAAACTTTGGAATTTTTTTTTAATTTTATAAATTAAAATTGTGCTATAAGAAAAGCATGTGCTGAAAATATAAATGAGAACAAACAAAGATGGCACGAATGCTAGAGGAGTTGTATCGTCCAGATTGATGAAATAGTTAATAACACCGAACGGACATGCATACATGTTTGAATGTAGAAAAAGCCACAGATTACAGATATTTACCAAAATATGGAAGAAACTTGAGAGGTGTATTGGACAGCGCCAAATGAAGATCAGGGGCCTCAGCATACTCCTCCGGATTAAGGGTGTAAGTAATGTTGTTGTTGTGTATATTATGATTAATAATTTTGAAATATGTTGTTTTTTCTCGGACCGTAAAAATACAAAGCCTATACCTATAGTTAAAATCCGTAGTTTAGTTCTGACAAAGCTAAGAAATAATTTTATAAAGATTTCTTAATAAATTAAGAATATAAGTTTTCCTTGTTCATCGTAAAAATTTAGTGCAAACAAAGAAATATTCAATTTACCTAGATTAGTGAAAAGCAAGTTTTTATCGTAATTTAAGTTGAAATCGACTCCTAGAAATTTACCTACCTACTTTTATTTTATTTTCTTATTTCGATATATTTTTGAAAATTCACAAAATAAAGAGTTTTTTAGATGTATGTAGGCCTAAACAAAATAGATGTGTGTATGTAGGCGGGACGCAGTGCTTTGCCAAGCCCCGCCTCCGGGCGTGTGCGCACTTTCAAGTTTATATTTATAATTTATGATCGGCGTATCGTTTCACGGAGCATCGGTGGCACTTGATTTGTAATCTGCAGGTCCTGGGTTTGAATCACGCCATTTACCAATGTGGTTGTCGATTTTCTTTATTACGATAAAGGAAAATATCGTGATGCAACTTGCGCATATCTTTGAAGAAATTTAAGGATATGTGTCAAGTCAATCAACCTGCACATGTCCAGCGTGGTTGACTATGACCTAGTGCTTAAGTAAGGTCTCAGCCCCTCAGTGGGGACGTATAGTAGGGATCATTAAAAAGAAAATGAATTGCTTTTATAAGGTGGATTATTTCTTCTGATTAGAATTTAAAACCTTGGCCAATGTAGTGATTAGTGATTAGCGTTTGACGGAGCACCTATTATTCTTTTGCGATTCTTTAATTTTTATTAGAATATGAATATTTATTTTTCTTATATTTAACTATTTCTTTTCCGATCTTTTCTATTTTTTTTTAATAAAAAGTAATCTATACTATGAATCAATATAACGAGAAAATATACATTATATTTTTATATTGTTACGGTTATATATTATCTGTACGCCTACTTTTCGTTACCGCCTTTTTGCATAATGTTTATTACTATTTGGTATTGAAATAAAAGAAAAATTTAGTATATATTTTTTTTAATAAGGCACAACATTATTCAAAGTGAGCAAAAACTGTACAATAAATACACTTAACTAGTAACATTACAACTAAAAATGAATCAATGATAATTTTTTCTAAGTAATATATTCCATCGTGAATTCCATTTCAGAACCTATTTTTAAAAAGTTTATTGGTACCTATCTAACTTAATTAAAAAGTAATCTTCAACTTTCCATTTATCCCAGTTTATAGAGATCTTGAGATTTATTATATCAAAGTTTTATTATTTTATCTATTCACAATTTGTTTATATATTTATTTACATTGAACTTAATAATTTAATCCAATACAATTATGATCCCTTTTTTATTCGGTTATCTGTGGTGCTTACATTACAATTCTTTTCTTTTATTATCTTTTTAAATTCCTCGATGAAAACACGAATACCTAATTAAAACATTTAATTCAAATACTTTTTTAATGTTGTATGTTTTAATGATACAATACTTCCGTTAATTGACATAGAACCCTGCATTCTTATTTTAAATATTTTTTTTACATCAAATAGTATCGAAATAATTTTATCTCCATATAAATATTAAATCATAATCTAGGACACGTTTCTCGTTCCGGAGGTGTTTCCTTCGCTGCTAAGGCTTGCACTATACATCGCAGTCGAGCCAGGCTGTTGAGCCCACATGAACCTGAATCGCCTAAAACATTTAAAATGTGTATTTTAAAAATAATTTATTAAATATAAAAAAGAAGCATAAGGAAAAAAGCATATGAGATTAAGAGTAAAATATGAGTAGAATAAGAGTTAAAACCTCTATAGAATTTTTCAAAAATTTAACCAGATTTTGTAATCGAGAAATTCTTGAATAAAAACATTTTTTTAATTTAATTTTTTATTTTTTACTGGCAATGTGAAGCTATATATTGTAATGAAATAACAACAAGTAAATATTATTGTAGCTCACCGTTGAGGAAGGGTCTCTCGCGCTCAGCTTTGATCTCTCGGTCGAGCGGGCGCGATGACGTCACTGGCTCCACGTACGTCTTGCAGCTTTCAGACTCCAGCTACGAGAAACATATGAAAAAGATTTGGTAAGAAAGTTATTTTTTTAAATTATATTTGGACCCTGAATTGAATTTGTTCAACTTCAATATAGATTTTTACAACAATAACATAATTACGCCCATAACCCTTATGGGTAGGCAGAGACCACACATCTCCATTTGTGGCAAACCTGACACTCCTCTCTTGCTGCTTCTTCAATCATACATCTACTTTCACTTACTTCCTTAGAAGAAATCTATACTAAGCAAGTGCTTAACTTAACTTTTAATGACTGTGAGTGATGTGTTTAATTAGATAATTCTATAAATAAAAGTGGGTGGCTATGGTTCCGGGTAATACTTGTGAACAGTTTGCTCATTGGCGTGTTAAGTTACACGCGGCAGGTCATGCCTCACTAAGCGTGCGGAAAATGCCACCTCACCTCTAAATACCTTTATGTAGGTATACAAAGGTCACAAAGCGGTATTTATTAGTTAAAATATATATTTTTGTACAATCTAATAAGATAAGTATTTGAGTGGTTGAATTATTAAAAAAAATGCAAAAGCTGGACCAACTATGGTCCTGTAACATTCTCACGAAGAATGCAAATGTTACCACCCTAAGATATAGGGCAACACGACAGTTAAATACAGTAACCTGAACACGTGTTTTGACCACAGACCATTTCAAAAGCATACTGTGACATTTGTTTAGGTTAAGATATATTTAAATCAGTGTTCTATTTTCATGTTTAGACACACAGAATCTGATATCAAAGGTAGGCAACGTATATGCAATTGCGTATGTCTATGGGCAACGGTCAATTCGCTATTTCAGCGGATTCAGGTGGCCGCTAGCTCGTTTGTCATCTTATGATATAAAAACAAAAATACACAGATATAATACATTATGCACATATAAAAGAGTTCAATATCAGTTTGACACTACAAAGAGGTTGCAAGATTACACATATCAAGCGAAAGAATCCGCATAAAGAAGTGGCCGCTACTTCTTACCACCGACCCTTATCAAAATAACCGTTTATCTCATTCAGCCGCTTGTCAAGCTCCGATTCAGACTGTAATCCTTCACGAATTATATTTTAAAAAAGTAACATCACATATTTTTTTTATTTTCTTCTATATTATCAAAGGAGACATTGATCAGATTTAATAAAAAAAACTAATAAAACGTGATAAAAATTTCAGCTTATTAAATCCAATTATTGTTGATTTCCTAGTTGATATAACCTAACAGTGGCCAAATTTACAAACGAAAGAATTTCAGCACACATTAATTTAGGTATTTTATAGATTAAAGCAAGCTAAAACGATGCCCCACACCGTTGTAGAGATCGATCGATATCATTAAATATGTTTATTGGCCGACGGAGCAGCGCTTCACGTTCTATAATCTGATTGGGAAACAAAACAAAAACTGTAAGACACGAGAGAATAGGAGGGCTGCCAGTTACGGGAGTAGTATAGAAATGATAACTCATTAAAATAACGTGTGATAATAAGTTGCTAAAAATAATACGTTTAACTGAATCGAACAAAGAGTATTTAAAGGTACACTAGCTTGGCTTAGAAGTCCCTTGATACTGTAATAAATGTGTATGGTGGCTGATTATACTTCCAAAGGCACCTAAAGATAAAAAAAATCTGCAAAGCCAGTGTTTGACAGTTAGTTGTTGCATTGTTAAAATATTGGTAGAGTTGTTTACTTAATTATACACGAGTTATTTGCTATCCCTAGACCATAAAATATAAATACTTTTAAAGCTGAAAAAAACCTAAGGAAATCCTAGAGTTGTGTGCGAGGCTTCAACAGTAGCTCCGTTTAATACCGGTCACCGACATCCCTGGTGCAGTTGGACGCCAATTAAAATAATTTAATCGGCCGCCCTTCGTGGCCGAGTCGCGACACACCGGTCTTATTTCTGTGTAATTCTATTTCGATGCGAGCGCGCACGTGTAGCGATAAATAATCCGCGGACGTGTATTAATGACGATTTAACCTCGCGACACGCCGCGACACGCGCGCCTTTCCTCGCAGCACACATACGCCTCGATGCATCTAACTTGATCCTTTTTTATCGCCTTTCATGACTATTTATGTAACCATACATTCATGAGTTAAACCCTTACATGGTCATACGATACACTCTCCTTGTTGTATTTCATTCTTCCTTCTCTGATGCATTCAATGTAAGTATAGTAATTTAGAATGAAATGAGAAAATGTTACGATGCTTATAAAATCATTATATGTTAATTGAAAATGTGTAGGTGTATTAAGTGGGCTTCATAGAGTTTGTATTAAAGTCTAAAAAGTGTTTCATTAGAGGTACTTTTTTAACAAAGCACGTTTGTGTGGATCTTTGAAAAATATGTCGGACTCTTAATTCTTTTAAAAGGTTAGCACTTTTTTAATAAAGTCTGTAACTGCTATGATAGATTTTGAGAAAAAGCTAGGAGTTAGGTCTCTCTCGTAAGCTACACTTTTTTACTGAGCCTTGAAGTAAAGTTCAGTTTAATATTATACATTTTAACCATTTTGGAATGGTGTTCCTTTCTAACTTTTTATCCTAATCTAATCTGAAATTATTATATTATATTACATTGGAATCATTATTAATCTATGCTAATATTATAAAACGGAAGAGTTTGTTTGTTTAAACGTGCTTATCTAAGGAACTACTGGTCCGATTTGAAAAATTCTTTTTTTGTTGGATAGTCAATTTATAGAGGAAGGCTTTAGGCTATATAACATTACGCTGCGACCAATAGGAGCGAAGCGTCAGTGAAAAATGTTGCAAAAACGGGGAAAATATACAACTGTTACAATAAAATTTGTAAAACAGCTAAAGTTTATTTCCTACATTCGCCTTTTGTTCTATTTGTAAAGAAATAAATCATTTTGAAATACTAAATCATATCTGTTATAAAAATCACTTTAATAAAACAGTAAAATCTATTCGAGCTGCCAAAACATTGTTTGCCAACATAATTTAAACCCCCAATTTCTTGCAGACAAATTATAACCCAGAGAACGGAAAACAAATCGCTTACTATTGTGTGCTTTAATTATTTTAAGCATATTTCTGGTAATAGTTGGAACATAAGTCACATTAATATTTGCATATATTTCCCAAAACAATTACACGAAAAGGATAGCTTGCTCAAGCTTTTTAAACGTTGTTTAATGAAATTGGTGCTTTGCGCTACACATAGCATTTAAAGTAGCCAAGACTACATCTAGAATTTAAAGTATTTAATTCATTATGCGCGTTAGATTGTCTATTTTATTAATGTTCTTAATTGAAGCAGCTACGAAAATACTTAAATATTAAAAACTAATCGACATTTGCAAATGTTGAAAGTCAACATCCATACCGACCAGATAGGCTGGCGGCGCTGGCTCGCCGATTGACCAATTTCATTCGTAATCATCCCATACATTAGCACCCTGTCAAATGTAAATATATGTGCTTGTGACAAACATATATCTTGTATAATATATAGTATGTTGACATACGAAGCGAGAGCGAGGTACACACGTCTCGCAGTCACGATATCAGATCCAGCCCGACGGAGCGTGACGGACGCGCGCTGAAATAGATGCGCCGTGAATTGCAACTACATAAAACAAATAAGATATATTATACCTATACGATATGGCATATTGTATCCTACAAGTGTATTTATGAGATGACGACCTTTTAGAGGAGTTGTAAAGGTACTTAGATAATATTACGATAGGAGAAATAGGGTCTAATAAATGGGAGAGATCGACCGAAGCCTTATGCGAATTGTTCATTTTTTTCTATTTTTAGGAATTTTAGAAGTACGTGTGTAATTCTTAAAACGAAATTGTAACTGTTTTTTATTGCTACGTTTACAATGGTTGTCCACTGCTGAAACATCAGTACAAAAACATTATAATCTCTTTGGATAAATAGAGATACAATACATTAAGTGCAGACATTCATCAGTGGGAACAAACTAACACAAACAACACTATTGTCGTTGGTTTTCAGGACCAAAATTACTGTATAAAACATATTGTTATCTCTGTTTTGTAAAAGATAATGAGAGAGATGATGATATGTTTTTAATACAAGGATTTTAATCTCTGAAACCTACGGTTAGTGTGGCTATTAGTGTGACTTACGACTGCAGCGGCGCGTAGAGCGGCTTGTAACCTTTCTATGTGTTGTATAGCAGCGCGTAGGATCTCCAACTTAGGTAGTCTTCCACTGCCCGCTCGTGCTCGTATTCTTAGTTCTTCAAAGGCAGCGTTAACCTGCAAGTTGTTATACAGTTAGATAATGCCAACTGCGTCCCAAATGAGGGTAAAAAAACTTTATAAGAAATTTCATTTCGATTTTAACTGAATGTTATAATATAATTTCATAAGGACTCAATATCGTGGTAATTTTTGTTTTTAATGCTACAATGTTCTTTTTTTAAAATATACTAAACAACAAAGAAAACAGAACTTTGGCGTGGCCAGACGAATCACCTCAATCCACGTTTGCCATTTAGGGAGAGGGAACGTGGCAGGTTAAAATAAAAAATAAAATATTTATCTGATCAAATCATCAAGCAATCATGTTTTGTATCCATGAATGCAACAAAGTCATAATTTGAGCATTTTATTAAAATTTAGGAAGAGCTACATCGCAAATCTACCAACGCATCTTTAAAAATATAATCAAAGAGAATCTTTGATTCACTCCAATTACTTTTGATCTAAACATTTAATGGCCACTAGCGTACTTGCCTGTCGCATTCGAGCATAACTCTCGTCAAAGTATGCAGAAGCGCCCACTAAAAGTGAATTTACATAGAAATAACATCACGGCCCGCTCTAGCGATGTAAAGCACTAATATAAAATTAGCCAACCTTATTAGCGACGACTCATTTGACACAGGCGGCCCGATTCCTACTGACGTTGGCTAACATTAAATAAAAAAAAGTTATGACGTATATAAAATGCGAGAAACGCCGCGTAGCAGTCGCGTAGCCCTTTCTATTCAGCTAAGATTCTTTTTAAGACGTCGTTAATCTTTTGAATTGTTCTTTTTTAATAACTAAAAAGGTTTATGATGTAGAAGTTCATATGTTTTGATGTTTAAATGGTGTAATTAAAATTGATCAAAAGGACAAAATCTTCCGTCTTAATAAACTTGAAAACAGTTTTTAATAAATTAAGGCAAATAATTTAGTCTAATCAGTAAATCTTCGTAATTAAAAAAAAAAGAATTTTGTAGAGAATAAAGTTATTCGCAGTTATTTTACTTTGAACAATTTATTAGTGTTAAGAATTAATTTAAATCTTACAATCTGCACAATCATGAATAATATCAATAAAAAAATACAAAAATCTAGTTATATTGTACGTTAAAAAAGATTTGTATAAATGAAGAAAACTAACGTAGTATGACACGCTATACAAGTAACGCGACAGATTTATGTATGGCAATCATAATATTTAACGCCACTAACAAAACGGTACAAGCATTTGAAAATAAAAATAAATTGTTGCCGCTCTTTGAGGGACGCGATAAATTTATTTTTATGTGAAATTAAGATGTCCGCCGTATATTCATATGTTTATTGACGGAGCGACGACTATTTATAAATTAAGGGACAAAACAAACTTGCTACAATCACCGGCACTAAAGTCATGTACTAAAATGTTTAAATTATGAATCCATAGCGATGGCCTGCGACTCGGTCCGCGCGGGATTAAAAAAAGCAAAGTTAGTAGGCTCTGTGTTATTCCAGACTATTTTCTATATGTATGCCAAAATTCATCGAGATCCGTTTAACCGTTCTCGACATACCTACAAACAAACATCCATCCATTTAAACATTCACATTTATAATATTAGTAAGGTTATAAGTAAGAATGCCTAGTTTTTTTAAGATAGATAACAAAAGAAAATGCCAGAGCGATAGGCGTTTGCTATTAAAAACGCAGAAATAACAACCATGCCTGTTCTTTATAGCCGTAGAAGCACTTTATCTGAGTTCTACGGTCGAAGACGTCTACATCAGAATTATTACATTTCAGTGCGTTCTTTCGAGTGCGAAACTATTGTGACTTTTAAATCTTAACATTCTCAACGGTCTATAGTATGTAAACGCCTTTAGTTATCAAAGTTTCAAAGTACTATACTACTTAATTTATTACTGATATAACTGAAATATAGTAAACATAATGATGTATAATCCTATAATATTTTTTATAGAATAATGACATATCATTTTTTGTCTGCTGCGCTTAAATTACATAGAAATATGTTAATACAAATTCGTTGTAAAAGTTACGTAGAGCAAAACTTCTTTCTGCTTACTGTACAAGAATTATGAAAACAATGGTTTCCTATTAAAAAAAATGTAGCAAATTAATATTTTTTTAGGACGACGGTTATTTTTGTAGTGTTCTTTTATAACCTTTAAATGAATCACCTTAAAAATATACTTTATATAAATTCAAATATTCAAACTGACTTCTAATCAAGAAGGTTCATTAACCCTAAACTAAATTCATTACAAACGAGCCAAGTTACTTAAAAGCTCGATGCATGCGCAAGTAATTTGCCCTGATAGATTCGTCCCGGGGGACTAAAAACGGGCACTTTAGAGGCGATTAAGTGTGTGGTAACCTGTCAGTATGTCAGAGTATCTCTCCCTGTCTAATAGCCCTCGTCTATTATTAAACGATCTGTTTGAGATGCAGACAGCAGGAAACTACCGGCATACCATTACAATTAATAAAGTACAATAATATCAGTGACTTTTTAAATTTCGAATAGTTTTTTTTATCTCACAAAATGAGAATTAGTCAGTTAAACACAAACTGCGTTGAACTGAACTAAAATAGGCGTTGTTAATATTTTGTATTAATTCTTTGAACTCCAATATTAAATTAATATTTGTGACAAAAGCACATGTTGTAAATAAATTTGTACGATTTTTTTGCAAGAAGCTTAATAGAGAGCCACTGGTAGTTTCAAGTAGAGTTAACGCGTATTGATAAGGCATGTCTCGGTAACACTGTAGATGTCTATATCCGAGATAGAGCTTTATATGTCAAACTTTTAAAAGTTCCAAGCTCGTATATTAACCTCTTTTGTTTTGAAAAGTTATTACTCTATATTATTTTTGTCCTTACCTTTCTAACATCCTTATATTTGCATCAACATCGTAAATGTTCTGATGACAACATTTGAACAAAAATGAATGTGTATGGGTACATCGGTAGGAATAGGCCTAGTAAGAGGTGGAGGTATGGATTGTGTCAAAGGTGACGTGTTCCAGAAGGGAGTGACAATTAAGATGACGGAAATTAGATTGATCTGAAGGCCAAAAACATGGTGCGTTAACCCTACGTAAAGAAGGACAGAGATGATTACAATAAATGTATGTTTCGGCAGTGGTAACCCACTGTAAAAGTCTCGTGTTAGCCGCAGTTAATGCACTGCATTCCATTTGATATCGAATTAATATTTCTGGCTCGTACACTGACATCGGCTTGCATCTCTCCGGTCAGATATAATCATATCGGAGACATGTTTTCCCGTTACTGCAGGGCTGTACCAGATTTGTCACACCTCCTCTGACAACCTACACGTTATATGGCATGTGGACGGACTATTATCGCTAAATATGTAAAAAATTTTGAAATGAAAAAGCATTAGGAGATAAAAGAGATAGCCAAAAGTTATTATAATGGACTAAATAATATGTAAGAATAATCGTAAAATTATTTTTTTCATCTTTTGTAATTTTTTAAACTTTTTTAATGCTGTAAATAAATAGGTTGGGCTATTTAAAAACGGGATGCGTACTTAACTCTGTTAAATTAGAGACTCTAACTCTGATAAAAAATAATTAATTACTCTTTTTAGTTAAGTTTATTTAATTAATTCTTATTTAGTTAAAGATTGTTCTAATTTTCTAGTTGTAATAGAAATTTAATATTTATAAAAAAATATCACTTGATGATAATTTCACTTTGAATTTCAAATTATATCATAAATGATGTATATGAAGCCATAAAATATACATAAAATTTCACAGTGATGGCTATGCAGACGGACCAGGATAAGCGAGAAACCTCGATTAGCAAGAAAAATATTGCTGTCGCTTCGACTCTCGCTTATCCAGGTTCGACTGTAAAGCGACAATTTATTACAAAACTATAAAAAGATGGCAAGAATTCAGACATTAATTTTGTTCGGAAAACGATATCGTCCATAACATAAGCAATAAAAGCTATTACAAATTAAATGTTCAGATATGTGACAGAACATCGCCGGCTCGCATCCGGCGTCTCCAAATCCCATAATCTCGGGAACGTGATTTCGGGACAACGTGATTTTATTTATACCACGGGATTACCGCTCTTTATATTAATACCTTAGATTGTAACGTTTATAACCTCTCTGAGTGTGAGAACCCCTTAGCGTTACAAAAATAATTATTTCAGAAATCAAAGTAACTATACTTTAACTTGATATTGATCCGCGCGCAACGAAATATAATTAAATAAGGGGCCTATGCGCTATTCCAGACATTACTGTCGGTTTTACGGCTTTACCGATATAGCTGATAGCTATTTATTCTTTTTTTTCGAATTTATGCCTTAAAGAGCTGCTTTTTATTTAACTTATCTATATATTAAGTATTTTTATATATCCACGCGGACGGAGTCGCGGGCGACAGCTAGTTTATATCATTAGCAAGATTAGATATTACGCGTAAGATGCGTTAAAATTGTTAAGAAAAGCTCAAACTTTTTGATGGTTGGAAATTGTGAATGAAATATTGACTAAGCCTTTTCTGACACAAGGAAACGTAAATCTTCGAAACTAATATTGTATACTCGGGTCGCGAGTATCAAGCTTCACACACTTAATATATAAATCGTCGACGCAAGTCGTCTGCTCAATACAGGTAAAGCGACTACTAACTCGAATTTCAAAAAGTCACCTGTATAGATTTACTCTGCCGTCTTGAAAATCGCTACGAATTTCCTTGCGACTATCTTGAAAAACTGGTTGCAAGCGACCGCCTTAGGCGATAAAAGACTTAATATCAGTGATGCATGTCCGTGTTTGAAACTCTGTGACATTGCATTGCCTAAGTTGCTCTGCGACTAAAAAGGCCGGAATTTGAGGGTTTAGGTTAGTCTTGTGTTTAATATGGTTATGAGGAAAAGCCCCTTAGCATTAAGTGAACAAATTCAACTCTAAGGAGAGTTTAAGTTACCATTAAATGGCTGTGGTAGCAGTGTGATTTTGCATTTGAAAGAAACCGCGCAATGGCACTTTCACTGTCAAGGTCCAGGGAAAATGTCAACATATACGTAAGCGTATCGTACGTGCTTTGTTTTGCCAAGCATTTTATAAGTATCGTCGAATATAAATTTGGTGTTATGGATTAGTGGAGTCATTTATGGAATATTGATTTTGGAATACAAATATCCAAAAGCAATAATAACCTGGAAAAAATATTGTCTTTAATAGTTTATGTTGGACATTTGTTTTTTAAAGAAAAAAAAAACAAATACGTCTAAAGTCAATGTTTCTTTACAAATATCATTATTTGAGTAAAATATCTATGAAAATACTTGTTTTATATAAGCTTAACTAATTGAGTATACTCACCAACACCGAAGGCTGTTTTTATTAGTGGACAATACATTTATTTCAGCTAACAAAATTAAATCAAATATCGTTTATAGTAAAATTAAAAAGAACATGAAAATAAACAAAAAATAAAAAAATCTTCCAAGGTAGTAATAAAAATATCAGTAAGTAACTCAAAAAACAAAGCAATTATTCTAGTAAGATAATCCTAGGACATATAACGACTTAAAATAAGAGTAAAGAGAGCGAATGCGGACAGCAATAAATCTATGCAGATTAGTTATAAAATAATACAACCTACTTTTCTAAGTCTCCTTCGTTCTCGCAACGTGGCAGCTTTCCGCCGGTCGACCGCCGCTGTTTTTCTCTTGCACGCCTTACAAGCCCACGCCAAGCACCGCCTACTCGGTCCCAGCACGTGCTGTATATGACTCTCTTCTTCTTTCGTATCATCATTTCTCTGATTGTTTTTATTCTCATTTTTCACCCCCCGACAACATTTTTCATTGGCATTAAGATCGACGTTACCTTTGCCTTCGTCCGATTTTTGATAATCGAAATTAAAATTGTCATATATGTCACTGTAACTCATTGTTTTTGACACTTTCGTTTCGCGCCAAATTATTATTTTTTTTCAATTTCGGGCGGCGCGCGCCGCGACTCCTACGACACTGAATTCAGTCGAGGGGTGAATCTCGAGTCGAGATTTACAAAATATGTCCGCTATTAATAAACTGTCTAGCTGTGTGCCGTCTTAGATCGTTGAGAGATGCCAATTTATTAGTGTTTGGATTGAAATTGATGCGGGTAATATTTTTCGGTTGAATTTGTAGCGATGAAAGCGTCGCAACGTTTTTTTTTAACACTTCGCTTTCTGGTTACAGATCAATTTAAATGTCGTCTGATATGTGGCTACAGTTAGATTACAAAACGCTTTCTTCTTGTTTTCTTTTTCGTTTGGATTTCGAATACTTCAGACTTGTTTTATAGCTTGTCAAATGCTGCTTTTACTGAATCTCAACAAAAACTCCTCGCTATTTAGATTTAGATTAAATCAATATTTTTTAGTTAATATTAACTTAATTTAACACAAACGAATAGGCAGTTTTGTTTATAAAAGGCGAGGAAATAATGTAATAAAGATGGCGGCATCGTTCCTCCCTTTAGACTATACAACTTCTTTGTAATGGCTCGACTTTTACAAGAACTTTAATAGCTTCCTTTCGCGGCAAAATAAAAAAGATCATTATCTTATTCATTTCAATTTGCAGGGCAAAATTAAAAGTAAATGACAATCTATTTTTTTTCCATTAATAATGAATCTTTTCAGTGATTATTTTTTATTTAAATTTTGTTTAATATTTCATGTAATTTAGAGTAGAGTATTTATTACTAATGCTTCTGTAGTTTGTTAACATTGTACCTAAGTTTTAATTAAATAAACATGTTCTTTTATATATAAACACGGCTAAACACTCACGTATATTTTATGATATATATTGAATATACGTGAGTGTTTAGCCGTGTTTATATATCAGTTTAGTATGTCTCACGAAAGTTTGAATAATTTAATGTTTTTTTTTATTTTATTTTAAAAGTGATTAATATGCTTAGAGTATTTATAATTAATTTTCATATTACGTTAACTTAGGTTTTATAACATATTGTTGTTTAAAATGCTGTGAATCATTTCATTATAAGACTTTTTTTGTCTATTTCAATTATTTTTTGTTACAATTTGACAGGCCACATAATAAAAGCAAAATTAGAGGTTATGTTAGAACAGATCGGCGCAGAGCCGCTAAGGGTGTCGCGCATGCGCCCCAACGCTGAAGCGAGATGGAGGGATGCTGGAAATGGCTATAGGCATCCGTGGAGTAGGCACATTGTAGTATTTTTATTTGACTAAATATCTTTCTTCTCGGTTAATCTTCAGTAATATTAACCTGAAAATATAATTTAATAAGGTGTAATGATTAAGTTTGAGGAAAGACAATAAGTAACACTTACATTGGAATAGAAACAGTGAAAAGAAAAGTGTATTTTGATGATATGAAGCTTTATCTTTATTTAAACTTGCTATAGGTTATTTTATTATAAAAATGACTATCATTAAAATTAATTTCTATAAGTAGGTCTGAAATAGGTTCGATTTAAAAATTATTAAAAAATGCGAGGAAAAAATTGTAAAGCGATTCTGTCGGCTACTCAACATATTCTTCGTTCACGGGCACAACATCCCCAATGACCGGGGTGTGATCCGCGAGCAAGGACACTTGCGCCGTAAAATTAACAATAAAATATTACAGTGCCAAAATAAAACCATTAAAAATTATAACAAAAATGTCCGAATCAATGCTATAGAAAATTTGAAATAGGAACTCGATGATCTCGTGAAAAAAATTGTTGTATTGGATCGTGCGGAATCAATTTGGTGAGTAACGATTTATACTTTCTTTTTTTTTAATTGTGACTAAACCATAATTAAAAAATTATTAGAAAAATGTTTGCATTATAATCTACGCCATTTTCTAAATGTTTTTTGAAGATATACGATCTAAATCAACGAATCAAATGAAACAAATTTTTAAGGTTAACTTTGTAGGGAAAAGGATATTTAAATAATAATTACGTTATTAAATTACGATGATAATTATTAATTAAGGCTATTATTGGATAGAAATAACTAAAAATCGAAGGTGCGCTGACCCAATTTTCTACAAGATGACATTTACCTAGTACGTATACGGGTGACCTAGGTCATGCAAAATGCTAAAAATGTTAACTATATTGTAAATTGTAAGGATAACATAAGCTATCACTTCGTTCATTCATATTATACAATTAATTCATACAATGCCAAAGATTGGTTCACTATTTATTAACAAGTTTTTAGATTTTTATTATAGAATACTTTCAGATTTTTTTTTAAATTTAGATCAAGTATAAGTTGATAAAGTTAGTAAGATTTTTTTTCAATAAATTACTTTTAATTAATTTTGTATTATAATTTCATAATTCTTCATAATCTTCGTTGAAATTCCGTTAAAAATAATCGAGAATAATATTTAATAATAAAAACATTTAAATAATAATTATTTCTCTCTAAACGTTTCATTATTCTTTTATTATATTAAGTAATAAGTGTATTGCATACTGAATTAGTGATGCAGTGTCAAATAAAACGAATGAAATAAATAAATAAAAAATATCCGAAAACTGACTGAATACAAAATGATAAGTGAACGTGAAAAATATTCGAATGTGTATATTAAAAAGTGAAACGAACATTAAAATGGTAACGTGACAGTTGTTTTTATAATTTTTGTCATAATTATTATTTATTGGGTTATCCGATTATTTCGTGCCGATTTTTAATGACAATTGAGACACCTCATTTAATATACTAATACGTTTATAGGCAAATATGTACTAAATTCAGTCGGGTCAATTTTAAGCAAGCTATCGAAAATCGGCACGAACTTATTGAACAATCTATCAAATATTTTTAAATATTTACTTCTTAGAATTTTTCTATTCACTATTCTCAAACCTCTATACTATTATATTTAACAAATTAATTTAATAATTTAGTACATTTTTATAAATGGCGTACATCTTATTAATTTCTATCTTACTTCCTTACTCTAATATTATGAATTTTTGGATGGATGGATGTTTTGTTAAAAGGTATCTCCAGAACGAACTGCATTGATCTCGATCTATTGCGTATATGTAGTACATTGCCTGAAACACATATGTTTTTGTTTAATAAAGCGCGGTCGGAGTCGCGGGCGACTACTAATATAGAATTATATATGTATGTTACGTTAGAATCTACATGCATTTTGCATTTATTTGAAAATGTGTCATTGTTGTCATTTCAAATATTGTTGTACATTATTCGAACGAGATAATTAAAATGATAACTTCGCATTCTCTGTGGTACAATTGCCAGGATAATGAATTCGCTAGCCTAGAAAATGCTTATTCATACTTCGCCATGAAATGACACAATTTCTATTGTTTCCAAAGTTCACACTTCTAAGGAGAGTTCTCTTTAGTGCGTTGTGAGAACAAAGCATTCTAGGTAAAGGCAGTATGTCAACAATATTACAGGAGAATTCCAACTGCAATACTTTGAAATAGCTTTCTAAATTTAATTTTTAAATAATAAATACTTTATAGTCGTCGGTTGACAACAATTCATTCGTAGGTTTCCAATATGACGATTGTATCTTGTTACGATAATTATCAAACAAAGTAAGCAATGTGGCAATGTATTGACGTAACACTAGCCTTAATTAAATGTCGACGTTTATGTCCCCTCACTATTTCATTCTGACATTGGACTTTGTAACGAAAGCACGTCATTTGCGCCAAAGGATTCTAATTAATAATGTCTAAAAGTAATCATATTAAGGAGAAGAATTATACCAAAAAAACAATTCTAAATTCAATCAAATCGTTTGTAATGCATTGTAGTAGCAGTTGTTTGCTGGAACATCTTACGAGCAAATACTATCAAAAACACAAATATGAAGTAAATATTCGGATTATTCGTATAAACAAATGCTTCAGCGTTTTGTCTAAAGCTGTCAGGTTAAATTGTTATCCTGAGTGTAATATAAATAGATGGACTATTTATATTTATCCTCTTTTTGTCCATTTTCACCATTAAAATATTATAAATTCAAAAATCTTCATCATTATTCTTGATGGGTCATATTTACCATCCATTTTCCTTTGAAAAGATCATCGCCAACCTGCCCTTATCCCTATTGCGGGTCGGTACATTATGTACTACTATTCTATACATCTCTATCAGCCGTCATATCCGAATCTACCTCCTTCCTACGCATATCCTCTTTCACACAGTCATTCCATACCCTTTTTGGTCTTCCTCCACCTTTGTAGACATTCAATCTCATTTTTTTTCCTTCGAAAAGATATTATTAGGAAAATTCTCTACCATTGATGGTCCCTATTTATCCTCTACATGTTGGTCACAAATCGGCTGTTTTAATTTCTCGTTTTATTTCTTTAATATAAAATACTAACATAAGTAAGGATGTATATGCGTTTGAATTACATTATAGTTTAAATGTATTTGCTTTTGATAACGTTCTTTGTCCCGTTTGAGTTGTTGGTAAATTACATATTATGAAGTAGAAACCACTGCAGTTTGCCGCACTGGCTCGCTCCATTCGTATTTGTTCCCAACATACATCGCTCTGAATTCATATTTATAGAGTTTAATGTAAAAAAAAATAATTGCTGCAATCTATTATAAAAATCACAGTTTTATTTTGATACATTTCAAATAATTGAAAAGATTCGACCTCGTCCACAGTATGCCTTCAGTAGAAGCTTTTTTCAAGATAGGATTTAACTGAATCAGTATAAAATTTATAAGACCATTGGAACGAGAAAGCGCATTTTCTTTAAGTGGTCATGCGAATAATCGTTCGGTTCCGTAATCCTATCAAATATTCAGAACCCGTTGTTTAAGGAACTGAAATTTGATTTACTTACTTCAGTTATTTAAGCGTTAAAATTACGTTTTTTAACGTCAGAAAAAAAACAACTATAAAGGAATAAATTCACACGATGGTGTATTGGATCCTTATTAACAAAAATCTTCCGACTCGAGAACCAATTAACATTTTCTTATACTACAGTTAAGTATGAAAGATATTCGTAAAAGGCGCGTCTTTGCTTTGTCATGATGTGGTTTAAAATTCCAGAAATATGTATAATGTTTAATTAAAATCTTATTTGAACAAGCTCATCTGCTTTATTTCATTACGACGTAACTTAAATTCCTTAGCTGCCGATAAAACAAAAGTGAGTGAAAAATATCTTAAAACAAATACAGGGTAAGATAGGTTACGTAATTTCGATTTGAATTGAGCTCACGAATACTCTAAAGTATTAAAACTAGAATAATAAAAAGTAAGTGAAAACGCTTAAAAATCTCTTCTAACTTCGAGTTATGACGCAGTGGTACTTGACTATGGGTTTATTTATCAGATTTTTTATCACTCAGATCACATGTCTTCCAATCCGCCAAAATAGCGCAGCGACCGCTGCCCATAGACATCCGCAATTGAGGATTCGTTGCGTACCTTTAATCGACGGAGGCGGAGATGCAAAGAAAAAGAATATTTCCCCTTCCTATGCGTCCACTCCTCCGTCATATATAATTACCGTATACTAAAATCCTTTCTTTATAAGACAAGAAGGCTGCATTTAGGCCTCCGTCACGCACACTCATCAGGTGAAACAAGGAATCTATTTCACTTCACACCTGTCGTGTGGTCCTGGTATTGAATTGTTCTACCTGGCCCATTCATTCAACAGATGTTGTTGTTGCTAGTGTCTGTTAAAAGACAAGTTTTCTTATAAACAAATTTATTGTATAGACTTCGTACTTATATCTTTACACTACCAGACGTGCCTTATTTAACACTTTCAGGCACTTCACAATGCGCGAAGAGAATGTGAAGGATGTCATTATCTCTTTCTAAACGCACGACCCAATTCTAGTCTCAAGCTACGTGTTCCATTTTAAATATCAAAGTAGTTATAAAAATCATTGTTCTCTTAGATACAATTATTAAAATATACCAAAGAGTTTTATAATTAGCACGTCCTCATTGTATAACATAGTCTATAACGTGACTTTGTCTATGGTTCTATCTTTATTATCTTTTTTTTCAGCGAATACGACTCCTGCTTCCTGACTTCTCTATCCAAACGTTGTCTATGGTACGGTTTGCTCGAGTTCAAGTAACAGTTACCTTTACCGGTACAATAAATAATTCTTTTGATAATGATTCTGAATTTTTCTGGCTTTAAACTCGTTGTATAGTATCATAGGTATAGTAAAAACAATTACACTCTCAGCATCTGAAGGCGTACTCTATAACAAGTATACTCAACAAGAGAGCTCGAGTGTTTGCGCCTTGGGCTCCCCAAACAAAGGTGGAGGGCATCTATATTGGATGAGTGAAAGCTATCTCTCTATGTTGTACAAGTTATTTTAATATTTTATTGACTGTCAGAAATTTTGAAATGAATTTTTTATATGTCATTGTTGTCTTGTTGACAAAGTTCTGGTAATATTAACACTGTCCTTTAGTAGCCGCGCGCAGGATTGCCAAGTAGTTTGGCAGCTTATTCAATACAAACAAATCAAATCTTTCCTTAGTATAAAGATTATACTAAGGAAAGATTTGATTTATATTGAAAGATACTATCTTACTAATATTATAAATGCAAATGTTTGAACGAATGGATGTTTGTTTGAAGGTATCTCCAGAACGGCTACATGGATCTTGCTGAAATTTGGTATAAATGTAAACACAGTTTGGAAGAGCATATAGGAGGCAACTAATGTAGTTGTTTATTTTACTCCGCGCGGACGGAGTCGCGGGCGATTAGTATAATACCGAATCTTGATGTATGCTTCTTAAAAGTTAAAAATTTAAAATAATTGTAGTATAAAACTTCTTCCACCTCTGTGAGTATTTTGCAACGATCAAATAAAACACAACTTTTACGTACATTCTCAAAGCATCCACTTTGAAAGAAACCTTTCTGCTTCGCCCGACAAGGTCTCTGACATTAAACGAAATGCTTTTCGTATTCTTTTAAATAGAAACGAAATATAAAATGAGCTTGTATTTTTGGGATAAATTAAAACAACGATCTCTATATAAATTTTAAGTACCTTAATCGTTGTTTAAAGCTATGATTAGAAAATGTCTGTCATTCATTTGTCCCAGACAATTTATTTTTCTACATTAATATTTAAACATCGATACTTACATAATTCGGAGCACAAAAGTGAGCACACATACCTCCGGAGTCCAATTTTGTGGTATAAAATTTATCTATAAGGAAAATTCTATACAACCTCTTTTCTTGTTTGTAATGGCCGGGCCGAAGATTTAAATCACTTTTTTTAAACCTCCTTAGAGGACATCGTCAATAAATTTAATTCGCGAGTGGACAGTCTAATTACTTAGTGACCTTTCTGATTATTTTAAGTACAATCAGCGTCGTACAACGTTCAAACACAAACAGAGCTACATTTATTTACAGAAGCCCATCTCTCGCCTTGTAGCGGCGTGTAAACACTCCTGCTCGCTACATAGAGCAAACAACTCCACGACTGGGCTTCCAATTTGTTAATAATTTACACTTCAGCGATTTATTTACTTGAAATCACAAGATGTTGATAAAAACTTGACATAATATTAATTGATATGTCTTCAAGAATTTGTAGACAAGATTTGAAGGAAATGGGAAATATTCTTTCTGTTATTTTCATTTTCTGTGGAGGTACGCAACGCATCTGCAACTACAAATCACCTTATTACAGATGTTTTTTCGTTTGCTACTCTATATTATAAAGTCTGTGTACGTCGTTCGCAGGAGGTTAGCGAAGCAAGCGCGCGCGGTGAGAGCCATGCACCCGGCCGCCAGGTGACGCTGCCGTCTGCACCCGCGGAACATGTCATGGGACTCACTAGAGTCGCGCGACTTCCTTGGGTCAGTTCAACTACAAAAATATAATACCCACTTTACATAAGTAATACACGAAAAACAACCTTCAAGCAGTCGGCAGCGGTAATTACAAGCCATCGGCTTGCTGCACGAGGCATAATCAGTATATAATTTTACTATTAGCTTTACAATTGTTTATGGATATGGACTTTTATATATTTTATATCGTTATAGCGGGGTGCCGGCACATCAGTTGTCGGCAACACGGCTCCTCAGCTCGCCTGACCCTTCCAGGCACCAGCTCGAAGATCCACCAGGTATTGCCGTATTATATGAAAACACAATTTCTTGTTTATTTTCTACCATAAAGACGTCAAACACTTCAATTCGAAATAATTCTTTATTTATACTCAACTGTATCAACTCTTCTAAAGGTCAAATTCAAGTTTCAACAAGCATCGCTTATAATGTCAAGTAAAATCTTGCTGACGTTGTTGTTTCGACATAAAAAAAGTTAGCACATGTTCTGTTTTGTAAGCAATTTATAGTGCTAAATGGTGTATTGTTATTCGTTTCCAGAGGTATTTCCGTTCTCAGAGGAGTACCAGGGTGAGAGGAACGGTGCGTTGCGATGGGGCTCTCGGTTCGGGCCGGCTCACCGGCCGCCGCCCGCTGGCCTACTCGACTGCTTCCGAGGCTGCCGCTCCCGGCTAGATCAGTATCTAGCCAGAAGAAAAGTATGCACGTTACTTATTGTTATGACATAATTCCGATATTTCCTTGATTGCTTGAACAAGGAGAAAATCACGTTTCAATTCTGTTAATGTCACTTATCCCTTGTTAACCACTTAATACGATAGTTAGAAAATTGTCATCGATTGAGTCAGGAGATTGTTGAGTTCCTTGCGTCTATAGGATTTGCTACAGTAAAAAGAGCTCGTATATTATTAGATCGAGCGTGGCGTACGTCTGTACGGTCAGAACGAGCAGCGGCTGGCGGTGAAGGTGTGGCTGTCGGCGTTGCGCGGAGTACGACACCGCAGCGACAAGTTCGCGCTGCTTGGACACCTCTATCAGGCGTACATGGACTTTGGGAAGTACAGGTACATATAGAATCAATACCTCTAGAAATATTACTACCAGGCGTTCATAGATGCAAAGACGTTGGTAACCACCGAACATTCTTAACACATGTCTATTTGTTGCAGAGAGTCGTTAGAATTTGCGCACCGCCAGCTCGGGATATCAGAAGAGCTGGACTCGGCACCGATGCGCGCGGAGGCGTACCTCAATCTGGCGCGAGCTCATCAAACACTCGGAGGACTTGACAGGTATATTACAAAGACTTAGCTTAAAAAAGCTTAAATGAAGTGATTCAACGTTTACTATAAAAAAAATTGACTACTTCTTGAGTAATTTTTTGTGATAAGTGTACTTTTGTCTCTAGGGCCTTGTCTTACGCCCGGCATGCGCTGTACAATGACTGTGGGGGAGGGTCCACAGCAGGCTGCGTGCATCTCACGGTCGCATCCGTCAGCCTCGAGCTGGGGGCTTTCAGCAAGGCCATGGACGGTTTCCAGAAGGCCCTGGCCGTCGCTCAGTCGCAGAACGACAACACGCTATTGCTACAGGTTAAATTTGCTACACCGTTAAACAAGTAAAAAGGACCTGTAATAACACGATGAGACTGTTTATAATACTAACATCTTGGTAAATCAGATTCACCGCTATGTCAAGCCTTTATTTTTTAAATGGAAGAAATTATGTTGGATTTGAGTGAATCCCAGGTACATCTATTACTATTATCTACAATTAACTACTGGTTTTTTACTGTTAGGTGTACGTGGGTCTATCGGAGCTGTGGCGTCGGCTGCGTGACGCGGAGCGCGCGGTGGCGTGTGCAGCGCGCGCCTGCGACCTGGGCCGAGGTCCTCGCGCTGCTGACCTCAACACGAGGCACCACCGCGCCGCGCTGCTGCAGATGGCCGCCGCGCTAAGAGCTCGCGGAGAGCTGGGCGACGCCCACGACTACTGCAATGTTAGTCATACAAATAGTCATTTGAAACTATTACAAGTATGGTAAAGTTGAGCTGTGCAAGCCAGAGTCAAAACTTTCCAATATTTCCTTTTTCTTCTCTTATACCCTTGCCCTAAAACGAACACGCATGAGCTATATATTTAGAAGCTGAGTTTCCCCTGTTAATCTATTACTATGTACTGTTATGTAGGAAGCGCTCCGATTAGCAGCGGTGGCCGGCGACCAAGGTTGCTACGCGAGGGCTGCAAGAATAGCTGGTGACGTTTACCGCCGGAAATGTGACATCGGAAAAGCTCTCCGGTACTCAACAGTACTTATGTCGTCTTATACTTGTTAGCACTCAAACTGCTGTAAGTTCTGTCTGTAAATATTGTTCGTGTAGGCACTACGAGGTGGCGATGGGCGCGGGACAGGCGCTGGGCGACCGGCTGGCGCAAATGGAGGCGATGGACGGCGCCGCGCGCTGCCTCGAGGCGCTGCGCCTACAGGGCCGCATCTGCAACTGTCGCCCGCTCGAGTTCAACACGCGCCTGCTGGAAGTCGCCACCTCCGTCGGCTCTAAGGTAACAGCCGACACCATACAATGCTAACACTAATACAACACCCCTTTTTAAATTGTTTATCTATAGCGAAATACACCTTTGCAACTTTTAGTGCGACATTAAGCCGGTATTTTTACACTAGATGTTGGTGAGACGAGTCCGGTTGCGCTTAGCGGAGATATACACCGCGCTGGGCGACAACAACGCGGCGGCGAGGCAGAAACGTGCGGCGGCCGCGTGGGTGGCGCCGGCGTGCGCGCGTTGCCGCGAGCCGCTCGCGGACCGCCCCGAGCCCCTCGCCTCGCTACCCTGCGCCCACATCGTACACCACGCGTGAGTACTCCCTCCCGCTGTCAACTGACACACTTAAACGCCCTTTAAAACTCACTTGAGCGGTCCCTTAGCGTAGAATTCATTTATCAGTGTAAATGTTGTGTGTCAGTTGCATGCCGGAGTCCTGGTCGCGGCGTTCGACACGCGGTGCGAGCGCGAGCGCGGCCGTGGAGTGCGCGGAGTGCGCCTCGCCGCGTGCGCCCCGCGCCCCGCCGCCTGCGCCACCCGCACCGCCCGCACCCCGCACGCTGCCACATCAGGTATCTTCTATTAAAACAACAAATATAAAAAATGCACTATTTCATTTCACAGAAATCTTAAAACATGTAAAACTGATATTCATTCATTTTTTAAATATCTCTTTTCAGGATTTCCCATTCGGTACTCCCCCTACCCTCCGCGAGTCAGATCTTAATTCCGTGCTGTCAGACCACAGCAGTCAGCAGGCTACGTCCAGCGTTTAAAAATAATTATTTCATAATTTTGTTTTTTAATTCAACTTTAAATTATTGATAGTCATTTTATCAAACTAATTTATTAAATGGTAGAGTCATCAAAGGCTACGAATCATACCATCATAAAATTTATGTTACACAATAAGATGTTTAGTTAAATATTAGTAGCAAAAACTCTAAATCTATACAAAAAAAAGTAAAGAACATGTCCATATCTATTTACATCTAGGGTAAAATACCCAGTTACTGACCTCTGTTGAAATATTACATAATGAGTTGAGAATACTAAAAAGGTCTAGAAGACATTAATTGATATTTCCTTAAATAAAGGAGTGTACTTGTTTATTCCTCCATTTTTTTGACGTAACTTGTGTTTTCAAGAGTCTCGTAAAAATTTGCTCTTAAAGAGATAGAAATAAAATTAATTATTGTATAATTTCATACCATTAACAACTGTACCTGTGTTCAAAGAATTATGAATGTTAGATTTAACACTCCATAAAATAATCTTGTTTTTATATCTATATGAGTATTAAATAATATTGAGTATTAATATTCTAAAAAAAATGAGTATATCTATTATAATATTAAATATTAAATGAATATTGATGTTGTATTTAAGATCTATATGTGCCAAAAAAATACCTCGGCGATGTTACGCTTCTATCGTGATACATGTTTTGCAATATTATTTAAAATGTTGGTTTTTTGTTTTAAATTCTTAGTTATAAAAATCAATTTCAGATTTTTTTTAAAATCAAATTCGGAATTTAACTTATAAAATTATCATCGATATGATTTGATTAGTATATTCAAAGGGGTAACGCTGCCAGTATCTTCGGAACCTTGCCTAAAAGGTTTATTATATACATTTTAGTTAATTATTCGTTTATAATATTTTATTTCATATCATAGATTTAAGAATCATTTTATTCACATTAGTAATATAACAATATTTTATACCGACTTACATTTCAAACAATTTTATTAGTTGAAATTGATTTTTAAACTAACGAATTTAAAATTTAAAACATATATTGTAGGTGTAACTATAGAATTAGCTACTAATCTCCACTTTATTAGGACATATGACGCAAAAATTATTTTTTCGTATTCTGTAATGTTACGAAGAAAATCCGACATTCCGCCGATGTATCGGCACAACACTAGCCTTCTTAAATTGTCAACGTTTATGTCCCCTCACTAATCAATCTGACATTTGACTTGGTAACGAAAACGCGCCACTCGCGCCAAAGGATTGTAACTAATGTCTAAAAGTACAAATAATATACAATTTAATTTTTGTTTTATACAACATTGGTATATCATATTATGGATATTTGATATTAACTTTATTTATGAACATTCAAAGAGTTTCAAGTGGAGATTGGTAAGTTGATATAAGTGATTTATTCATTAATGTTACCTATTAAAAATAAATTAAAAAATATATTACAAACACACGTTAAAATGTAAGGTCCACATAAAAATATCTCAAACTGCCAAATATTTTAGCGGTCAATTACATACCTACGTAAAGCGATTAAACATTAATTATAATAAATTAATTGCACTAGTTCTACCGAATGGCACAAAGAAGGGACAATGGACAGAAAAAAAAATCTAAATTTTACTTTAAATAATAACGTGAGAAAACAAAAGCAATAGTATGAATATTTTTTATTTTTATTTTTTTCTTGCTTTTTTACTCTAGTTTTTTGTTATTCTATTCATCTAAAATACTAAAGTTAATGTACTAAAAAGATTCAATTTAAGGCTAAAAGCCTACTTACCTAACATACTATGAAGTGATGCCTTTTTCAGCGACTTTTTTTTTCAACAACACTCCTTACTTTATTTTTAAGAACTCTATTGGTTTAAAAGTATTTTCCCATGTACATATCATAAACGAGTTACTTTATATTTTTTTTATTACAGATGTTAATCATTTTCATCCATTGTCCCTAAATTTAAAGAATAGTACGTACTATGATGCTTATATAAATAGTTTATCAATGAATTCTTTGATGCATACAAAAAATTCAAATAAAATAAAGAAACTTAAGTCAGCAAAATCGTTAAAATCGCATAAAAAAAATAAAATTATAATGTACATAATAAACGAATACCATATAATAGATAGAAAAATGAATACCACACATAGAGCAATTTTGATCCACCGAATTCTTTATTTAAAAAAAATTAAAACTACCTACAAAAATCCCGAAGTACAAAAGATAAGTTTTGTGTTTTTGTGACGTTTACTAAGCTTTTTAATTATCTAAGCTAGGAACTTTAAATATCCTCAAAATATATAGAATTTAAGTTTTATTTCGTCCTAATTAAGTTACCTCATAAATGTACCTGCACTATATCTAAGCTATTATTTTACACTAGGCAAATAACGGTATGTATATTTTATTGACGAAATTTTTGAATTAATTCTTGTAAAACGCTGGATAATTCCCATTTCTTGTTACGCAAATTGTATTAATCCAAAAATATTCCCTTTCTCAATATACACCATAAAATACTTATCTCTATTAATTTAAAAACTTTATTTTTATAAAAGCCATTAAGTATTTAACGGCCAAATTGTGTCCTGTCCTTTATTAAAAAAAAAGTTTTTTTTATATGTGTTAGAACTTTTATGTTGTATTTTCAAATATGTAATTATTTTAAATGTATCCATTATCATATTTTACTACATACATGTGAATCGAATATATGAATATGAGTTCCAAAAATAAAGAAAAAAAATATTTCCTACACCGAATAGAAAATAATAAAAGTAGATGCATATAATCGATATTTTTTTGATAGGATACCACTACTATATTTTTAAAAGTTTATCAAAATTTAGTTTTGTGTTTGTCTAATATATTAGAGATTTAATTGATGTTTAAGATTTTCATTTAAAAGAAAATATATATTGTAAATTCTTTATCAATATTTTTTAATATATTGCTATTATGAAATAAAAAAATAAGCTACGTAAAAATATATTTAAATGTTATAAAAGTGTCCTAAATATGTGTGTTAATAAAAATAATCTGTTTCTCTAAATGTCGAACTAAAAACTATTATGCATAGCTTAAATATAGAGCAATATATATTAAAAGATCTATATTTATTTTATTTAAGTAACGGAATTTAGTTTAAGATAACTCTTTTATTGAGAAAAATCGTTGAATGTTAGTTGTAAAATAAAAAATATACCCGACTGACTGTTCCCACGTAATTATTCCAAAACACGCAGTGGAATGGACATATGTTATATTATTCTAATACCGCGAAAAGACCCTTATGTCAGTCGGGGAATTATCCAAGGTCAAGCACAAATATTTAGAAATATAATGATAATTATGTCTGAGTACTTTATTTTCAATAACTTTTCAGCTATTATTGTTTTTGTAATCGAATGACTGTGCCAAAGAAAATTGTTGTTATTAACCCGGTAGTTGTGAAAATGGCGTTGTGTTTATCGATCATGTTAGAAAATGTTAAGTGTAATGAGGTATGATTGTTCGTTATATTTTAAAATTTTAATTGGAATATATCAAATTCAAATTATAAAACATGTCGTATTTTATTTCAACTTTACCTGAACAATATCCTAAACTATCTAATATCTTTTTTTAAGAGGGGGAAACTATCTAATATCTAGAAATATCATTTAGAAAAAAAATGCCATGTAAACTCCTAACGTACGAAAGGGTCCAGGACTTGAGGAGTACTAAAAGGAAGACTCCCTCGGGCCTTAGGCCGATGTAAAGGGATTTTATTTGTATCGATGTAATCTAGGAGTCAATAAAGCAATAACTTTAAAAATTCATAACGCCTCGAGAAGATGCTCCAAAAAAGCGATGTGTCCCATAATAGCTCACATTTAGCACTCTCTTTAAGCTTTGCAGGTTTTTATTTTTGCTAAGGATGACGAAAAAGTGGTGTCGAAAGAAAATAAATTCACTTTGGCTAGGAAGCTCAAACACAGAACTAGAACTAGATTCCTTTGTCAAGCATTGAAATTAAAAACTAGCAAAACAGGAAAGCCAATTCATTTAATTTAGACCATTCAATTTCTATTAGGGCTTAGCTAAGTACTTTTTATAGGTAATTTCTTTGTAAATTTAGGAAAGTACCATTGTGCGGCAATCCGGCATTGTATGCTGGCGGCAATTTTCAAGTGTTGCTAGGAAAAATATATTCCTGATTACAATTAAATTTATTTTATACAAACCCAATATCTATATCTAATATAATTTTTGTGCATTTTACGGCCCAAAAGAAGAAATTATTAAATAAAATATTATTAAGACAATTTAAAAAATATAGGTTTTAAGATGTAAGAATTGGCTGCACGATCAAAATCATTGACATTCGACGACAAAAGTTGTTTACTAAAAAAAGTTCATTTGTATTGATTTTCTGTCGCTCAGCTCGGTGCCTAGATTTTCCGAAGAAAATCAATTCGTCGTACCATATTGATATCTTCGGTGCTCATAGGTAGCAAACGAGAGGTAATAAATTTATTACAACGAATTTATATCTAAAAATACATTACTTGTGACGTTAAAAAGACTGTTTATCGACGCGTAACGCAAATCAGTTTAGATATCTCCTATTTTCCTAATATTTTTACATATTTTCATTGTTTTAGATAAAAATGAGCTCCATAGCGCAACAAGAATCTTTTGTTAAGGAGAGTTTATCTCAGTTCATCGCGAAAAACATTCCATCCGCGAATATAAATGTAATCGATGATATCGTTCTCGCTTATGTGATTTCTATATTGGAAGAGGCATCTCAAGACGCCTGTTTTGATGTCGAAGGTACGGATGTTGTGTAGTAAAACTGTTTTAATATGTTGAACCAAAAATATTTTTATTACTCTCAACATTGTGCAAATAGTATAACATTTTCTGTGTATTATTTTACATTATAGAACATGTTGATTTTATGAAAATACTTTCAAATAAAAATTGTTTGAGACTAAATATGTCAAGAATATTCCATCAGTTAAATATTTTCAATATCCAGTTCTCATAGTGATTAAACCATATGAATTGAGACCCACACCCCTTTGTCCCTTGTCTTTTACCGCAACTTGCTTTGTAACTTTAACCTTATGTACATGCAAATAAATTATATAGAATCAATTGAAATTATTTATTTTCATTCTTTAGTGCATGGCTGCGATATTTCATTAATAATCTGCATATATTTACTAAAAAATAAGACACTTCTGTTTTTAATCTAGGCTATTCAAATGTTTTGTGGAAATGCTAATATTGTGTTATTCTGTAGGTTTCATAGAGATGATGGCAGCGTTCATGCCTGACTTTGCAAGCATTGATGCTGGGGTGGTGTGCACCTGGGTCCTGGAACTGGAGGCTCAGCTGTCTCAACGGGTGGAGACTGACTCCGCTTCCACCAGCGGTGAGTAACATTTGATAATACAATAGGTATTATATTTTTAATTGAATTAAAATGTTGATTTTTTTTAACTGGGTACAAGTTGTTTTGTTGAATAAAATTGCTAATTATTCTTTCCATATAATTTAGATGACTCTGGTGAGAGTGACAAGCTCAGTCTTACGCTGCAGAGCCTCAACGAGATGTTGCCTTCTAAGAGCAACAGGTAAGTGTTTTAGTGATATTTTCTATTTCAGCACAAGCAAATAACTGAGTTTCTTGAAGAGATGAAATATTAAACACTTCAAATTCTTGAAACTAAGTTGTTAAATATAATAATTTAATATACCCTCAAGTCATTAAAAAAGTATAATTTGTTAACAGGATCTAAATTTTTCCTCATGTCAGCTAAAATTTGATGCTACATATCAGGTCATGTGATTATGCCCAGCTTATTAACAAACTCGAATTGTTCAATTTTTATAAACCATGACTGTTTGATCAGATCTCACTCCAACTCTGAGAGCTCTGAGAGCACTGAGGGCCGCCGTCCCGTCATCGACGGCGAGGAGTACGCCGACCAGTGCCGCGTGCTGCACGAGATGTTCCCCAACACCTGCTCCATGGAGGTCAGTTAGAATTATTTCCTACTTATAGCAACATCAAGTTTTTTTTATAAAACAAGCTGGCAGCAAGAAAACTATACAAGCGGTCACCTGACATAAGTATAGGTAACAAGCAGCAGATTTGTTACCAAACTGTTATTAGTCCTTACTAGTTACTCCTCGGTTAATCAAAATAACAACCATACAGAAGCACAACTCAGAATATAATTTAACCCCTTTCTTTTATTAGATCCTAGAAGTTGTAGGTTGTAATATTGTTATAAGATATTTGATCTGAATATGGATGTAAAGGATATTGTTTGGTGGTGAAGGAAGGAATGTTTGGTAATTGCTTAGATAAAGCACTGCGTGTCTATCGCTCGTGGGGACGCGGAGCGCGCGGCGGCTACTCTGCTGCACCGTCGCGAGCAGGGCCAGGCGTTGTCCGCCGCCGCGCTGCACGCCGCGCCGCGCTCCCCGCTCTGCGACGACAACGAGCTCAAGTCGCGCATCATCGCACGGTCAGACATACATACACACACAGAAACACATATATACTGTTCAAGAAAATCTGACACTGTGTCTTACTAAAATGTCGACGTTTATGTCCTCTCACTAATAATTCTGACACTTGACTTGGTGACGAAATCGAGCCATTCGTGCCAAAGGATTCTAACTATTAATGTCTAAAACAACACACATACATACATACATACACACACATACTTCATACATTCATACATACTTCATATTGAATTGTGATACTGTACTGTATTCCTTCAGAGATGTAAATAATTTTTAATTACGTAACTTGTATTACGATGTTACTTATAAGTAAATTGAATTGCATGTTCTTGTTCCCTTCAAATATATCGATCCAAAAATAACATGTTAAGATGAAATATTCATACAAAAGAGAAATTGAATTAATGTGAGATGTAAATGCCGTGTTGTTTACTTTTATTTTAATAACATCGTTGCATTGTTTTACAGCTATGTATACGTTGTCTACCAACTTAACAACTTTATTATCTTTTACTTTATTATTAGGTTGAGAGTCACTTTTTAATTCTAATGTAATTAGAAAATTGCTTTAATCAAATTTGTAAGAATAGCGTGTCCAATAATGTATATTAATTTGTTTTCTAGTTACTCTTACGTGGACAAGAACTCCGATACCAAGGAGCACAAGCCGCTGGCTCCCAAGATTGAGCCCAAGAAGATGGTGCGCTATCGAGACAACAAGATCGTCTCTCTCAAGGGCGAGCGCTACACTGAGGTATGTACACAATATCTATCCCTCTCTTTCTCTTTTAAGAAAACAGAGATAACATTATGTTTTCACATAGATGTTTCGATTATGGAAAGTCTTTGTAATATACATCAGGTTTTTTCATAAATTAATTGCAATTACAGTATTAATTAATTTATTTAAAAACAAATGAGAGAAAGTCGCATGAATGATTTTTAATTTAGCAAGCGAGCCGTGACATTGACATGTCATGTTCCCTTAGGTACCGAAGTCCGGGATCGACGAGGAGCAATTGAAGAAGCCCAAAAAGCAACACTGCCCTTAACCTTTAGAGCCACATCAGTACGGTGAAAAAGCGGACCCTTTCTCTTTGTCCCATCTTCATGTAATCGTTGTTCCCCATCCCGCACGCCCCATGCCCAGTGTATATCCTACGAAACTATGTCTCTCTCTTACTTCAATGTTCGTCGATGTAATAAAAAAAACATGTAGTGGGCGTAACGACATATTTAAACGTAGTGTAACATGGTCACAATCGACCGTTATTATAACATACGCTCAAATTGCGTATGCGTTTTTAAATACGTACGTAAACACAATACGTACACAATTTTATGTAGTTAGGAATATTCGCTGCGCGTATCCGAACGCAGTTTCATTCGCACGTATATGTTTTTATTACGTTTGCGTACGATTGGTTTATTTGTTTTTTGATATTTTTTACGGGCGTGCGTCCGTACTTTTACCTATTCGTAGTGTTGTACCGACCAGAGCGCGTGGATTTTACTTTATGTTGTTCGCGGCATTCCTTATTCCGCTTTTTTTCGGTACTGATTTTTTTAATGTAACTATTATGTTACACCGGCTGTCTCGACTTAACAGTGTTTTTAGTCATTATTGTTTGTATTTAATTTGCGTATTTATTATTAATTTTAAGCTCTCTACAAGGCAGCTGTTCGTCAGTATTATTTTGATTGGCAGAACTATGGCATTGCATACGACCACAGCTTGCGATGGCTCTGGGGTGCGACTTTGTGTTCAGTATAATAGACGTTTAAAAAGAACCAGGGTTTTTGAGGATGTATGTGTGTATGTAATGCAAGCCATAGTTTGCATGGAACTGTATAATCTGCCTTTTGAAATGTGCGACGGAGACATTTTTTCACTAAAATATTGCATGACATGTCGTAATGTCGTAAGCGAAATATTTATTCGAATGCAACATTTTAGTGACTACGTCCGCCATTTTGAATTCCTTATAGTTTTAAGTGAAATGATCTGTCAGATACCTGTGATTTTAAATTGTTATTATTTTATTATAAAAAATGTGATTCGTACGATAGTTTTATTGTTTTTAAAATCATCTGTGATTGTGATGCCATTTTATTATACCATAGTTTTCCCTAAAAGTGGATTTTATATTTTAATTTTAGGTTTTGTATTAATATTATTGTTAATAACCATTATAAATAAATGTTGTTTTGTTTATAGAGTCAGTTTAAAACGACTGAATTTTAGCAATATATAGGTTATTTAATTTGCAAAGCGTTAGTGGTTTTGTTTTATTACTGTCTTATAACAGGTCCTTATAATTTTGATTATTTTAAATGTTTGACAATTTAAAAATCTATTTACCGTGATCAGTTCCGACGTGATATTATAAAACCACTATCACTTCATTTTTTAAATGAAATATTCTCGAATAGACTGATTCTAATAGTCAAAAATCTCATCCAATGAGGAAAGATAACTCAAATATATTATTTATCTGTATTTCTATTTCGCAGGGATTCACCACTTTAATATTTTACTATTTTGAGCTTTAATTTTTATAATAAAACATATTGTTCTCATATACATTATAAGATATTTCCGACCTATATACGAATTAAAGAAACGTATCTACTAGACCATAGATAAATGAACAAATATTTTGTCTAATAAGTGGTGAAGTGGCCCTATGTATCTATTTCTTATAGTTATATTTAGTACTAAGCGCAGCTGAGGCTTTTAATTAATTTGCATTTATCATCAAATAACTACGAGTGTTTACTCGTAATTGTATATAATCAAATTTGACAGATATTCCATTCGTGAAAGACATTCACATTTTTATATAATCACACTTACCGTAGTTAAAAAGTTTCAACGATCCATTTTAATGACTACTTGACTGTATATTTGATATACTACAAACAATTAGAAAAAAAATATATTGAAATATGAAACATTAAGCCGTCAATAATCTTCATTTAAAATTAAAAATAATTTAACCAATTGACAAACCATTAATACATTTAATTATACTTAAGAACGCATCCATTAATATAAAGTTTTGATAATAATTTTATTTATATATTTAAATAAACATTCCTAAGAAATGCTAGCACTTTGCATAATTTTTGATAAATCTCATACAAGATGGCAGTCGTTCCCGAATCGTCAGCGTCGATAGCTACAAATTATAAAAAAAACTTTTTTCTTCGTTTCTTTAAAAAAAAAACAATGTGTAAGAATTTAGCCAAATTTGGTGCTAATGAAATTACAAATTGCCAAATTTTGTCTAAGACGTCCTAATTTCACGCCTGCTGTCGCTTTCCATCTTTCAGACTTTATTTCATCTAATCATCTATTTAGTTTTATTGTTTTGACTGTAAAAAGCTTTATTTTTATTAATTGAATCTAAATGCTAATTCTGTAATTTTTTCACTTTATTCATTAACGTAATAATTTGAGTTCCAAGCACATAATAAATTTAAAAAAAATGTCTAACAATTTAAAATTCGATTTAAATTCGATAGAATTTTTTTTAATATTTTATTACTTGAGCACTGGCCAGATACTGGCATCAAAGTCACAGATGAATTAAAAAAAATAAAACTGAAATTTTTATATTGCCGCATTTATTTTCTATATGATTTTTCTTTAGTAATATTTAAGTTATTATTTAATTAATGTATAATCATAGTTTTTAAGTGTAAAAGCGTCGATCGCGCACTATGATGTCATATCTGTATGTGACATGAACAATGTATTTAATATATCGTTACGTACCCTCTAAATAATTGTTTTATTCTCCCTCATATACTTATAATACAAGATTCTACAATTCTGCTCAATTAATAAGTCAAAAAAATCGACTGACAAATATTATTTTATTTTGTAATTGAAAATTATATTTTGAAATTAACTAATTTTGTATTTTGTTTTCAGAATCCAGGAAGTTTTAGAGATTTTATTTCAATTTTAAATTATTGGTATTTATTAGATTAATGACTTAATCGAGTTTTTGTTCTGCGATTTATACTGTTGCATTGTAATAGGTTGCCGTACATCCATATTACCCACAAGCTAGACGGAATTATCGTTGAGTTGGTGGGATGAGTGCGAGGTAGTAAACGAAGGGGCTTCCCCTAAACACAGCCCTAGGCTCTTAAATGGTAGACGTCTGTTACGGTACTGTTACAAAAGAGATATTGGAATTTTCAAAAACTGATTCCAAATTCTGCGACTTCTAAAGATTAAAAAAAATAACTTGATTCCTTCTAATAATTTATTGTCATTGTATCACATCACTATCGTTTAGATTGGAAATAATTTAAAATCATGATTTTTACTTATGGCACAAATGAATCTTCAAAATAATTTATTCAGTTTCCATTTCGTTGACGAATAGATATGCGTTATCTGTAAAAAAAAATAAGTAAAAAAGTTTTTAAAATAAATCGACTAAAACTAGGATTCATAAAATAAAATGTCTATGAAAAGCGCTAAAGCATTATTATATTAGTTGTACGTTTAAAAAATACTTTTTGCAATTTGAGTTAGGTTTGTTTCACATTACTTACTTTGAAGTGGTCCAAACTTGCTATGTACTACGCTTATTACATACCACTACTTATCACTAAGGTTCTAAATGAAACTACAATACGTACGATGTCAGAATTTATTGAAAGGTACATTTACAAAATAAATAACAAACAACAATATTACAATGATAATACATTATTTATGTTATGCATAAAATTTAATTCGAGTTAATAGTACATGAAAAAAAAAATTAAGCCAAATGAAAAAATATGAAAAATAAAATCTATACCAATACAGCTGTTAACAATAATTCTTTATAGCACTGACAATAAAATTGACTACTTTTGACAGCTCAGGTAAACCCTGATTTCATTGAAACAGAAAATCCATTAAAACTTGAAAATAATTTAATTATCACAGTATTGCCACATCGAAAGTTTATTGTGATAATTAGACAATCTATTTTCCATTTAAGTTCCAATGACAGCTGTCAAAAATAAGCCTTTATCGTCTGACGTGAGATTAAAACTTTTAAAATTACTAATTTTGTCATATAATGTAAAATTCTATTTTTAGTACAAGGGCAGTTTATATGTAATAGCAGATTCGTTTTCGTATAATACTATAATTCAAGTAACACATTTAATGCGTCTCTTAGGTGGTAACTAAGAAAACAAAAATCACAAATTTGTAAAATCACACCAATCCTTGTTTAGATTTAAAAATTGAAATAAATAAAATTGTCTAATTTACTATTATAATACTACGTTTAGTTACGTTTTGAACTCTTTGGAGTATCAAGAAATACTTAGCAATTTTTATATGAACATAATATGGGCAGTGAATATTTTTTTTTAATATTAAATCCGTAAAACAAAAAAAAACAGCAAACTTTACGGATATTCATTTGGCACGGTATTCTATGGCAGGAAAAATATTCAAATAAATATTTAGTTTTATTAAATTTGTGCGTGTATAAGAGGTATTTTGAAATATTTTCTTTTATTCACTACCCACATGGACAAGAAAGCAATGGATTACAAGTTGCGAAAAATTACCTTTTACTGTATTTTTTACGATCTAGACAATATCTACAATCATCTACAATATTTTCACAAATATCTGAGAAAACATACGGTTAAAGATGTTTATGACAATTAATTATATTTAAAAAATGAGTTAAGCTAAATTATTATTTAAAGCAACAGCAATTTTTCGTTTACATAAATATGATAAAAACTATGAACAGATTAATTTTAACACCATCTAGCGGTATTTAAATAAAAACAATTAATTAATTACAACGCGAATTACAACGCTATCTAGCGGGCAACTATCGCAACTTGTAAAGCATATGTATTTTGTGATCTAGTGACCGACGTGACCGATGTTACCTATGATGGAGTTGACGACATCAGTGGAGGAGGCGGTACCGCCGCAGTCAGGCGTCAGCACGCGGTCCTCGTTGACGGTGCGGTGAACAGCGCGCCTCAGCAGCTCCGCGTGGTAGTGATGACCCAGGTGCTCCAGCATGTCGATTGAGGCATTGATCATCGCTATTGGGTTCGCTACGTTCTTACCAGCGATCGCGGTACCTGAAACAAGATTATTATAAATAAAGTACATTGACTAAAAATATATGGTGAAGAGAATCATCAAGATATAAACTCATATCTATGAAGAAATTCATAGATGTACACGGAGGCATCCACAATTGATCAGCATGGTTGACAAGATATGCATGACCTCACAGCATAATGTCTGAAAAGTCCACTGCAAGAAAACAGCATGAAATCTTACCAGTATTCCTAGTGCCGGGTTCAAACACAGCATAATGGTCGCCATAGTTCCTGCCGGAGAGCAGACCAGCTCCTCCCAGCAAGCCACACACGACATTGGATACAATGGAGCCATACAAGTTAGTCATTAGCATCACATCAAACTGGTGCGGTCTGAAAATAAATATAGAATACTGAAATATCCATTTTCTTCATATAGTACAGTCCAAAATCGATGATTTAGATATTAAAAAGCTATATTTGATTTATTAACTAAGGTGTGTAAATATGAACTAACTTAGCCACAAGTTGCATGCAGCAGTTGTCAATGATCATGTCATTGTGCTCAATCTCCGGGTACTCCTTGGCGAGGCGGCGCGATGTCTCCAAGAACAAACCGTCTGATAATTTCATTATATTCGCCTTGTGGACGGTCGTCACCTAGGAGTAAAAATACTATAAGTCAATAAGTATTTGTTGTCTTTAAGAAATTTAAATTGGCACCACCAAATACTTTGTTTTTTTTTCAATATCAGAGCTTGGTGGCCTACTATTTACGTTAAATCTTTATCCACCATTCAGTAGTCATTTTAATTGCATGTTAATTGTACAATAGAACTATAACTTTCTAGCTAATACTCTGAAAACTGCATACACACCTTCTTCTTTCCATTCTTCTTAGCAAATTCAAATGCAAAACGTGCGACTCGCTCCGAGTTGCTGGCAGTCACAACCTTCATGGACTCAATAACACCACGCACTGACTCATGCTCCAACATAGCATATTCACCCTCTGTGTTTTGTCTAAAAACAAGTAAGTTATCTTATATAATGAAATATAAACGTTTATATTATTACCAAGTAACTAAAAAGCCTAAACTGCTCTGGATAAAATAACAACCAGAGATAGACTACAGTCAGGAATAGCACATAAGCTAGGCATTCTTTTGTAATTGCATGGTGACAAAGTGCGCCAGCTAGCACATAATACTATTGTAAACAAGATGTCTTATGTTTATGGTGTCAGAGTTCAACATTCAATGAATAGTGTCTTTGTGCACAATTGATTAATTGAAGTGTCACAAACAATTTTTAAATTATAATCGTCCATAAATGCAACATGTGTGAAAGATAAGATAGTAGGGATAACAAAAAAGGCTTTACTTTTTATTATCTTTATTAATTTTGATTAATTCCATTAATAGTTTTCATCATAAATTTCTAGAAACATGATGGTAGGAAATCGAGAAATATAAATGTAATTTGTAAATGGTTTTGATGGATTGATGGATGTTTCTTAGAAGGTATCTCCAGAACAGCTCAACAGATCTTGATGAAATTTGGCACAGATGTTGAACATAGTCTGGGAGAACACAAAGACTATTTTCTTTTATCCTGTATGGACGGAGTTGCAGGCAACAGCTAGTGTAATATAAAAAAAGGTTTTGTACTGTAATCAGAAAACAGAAACATAAAAATGACTACCTGATAATGGTGATATCAATATCCTTGTGTCTTGTAGACACTCCAGGGAAGGATTTGCAGTTGAGTACATATGCATACATATCCAGTTCATTACGAAGTGCGACATTGCGTGATGTCACATATGCGGCTTCACTCTTTGTTTCAATGTTACCCTGAAATATTACAAGTGTTAATTGAATAATACTAAAAGGATAAAACACTATATGAGAAGAAAAAACACTTTGTCCATTATCCTGTTAATTTCTGATCCCAATATTTTTTTCTCAGCTTTCTAATTTCAATTATTTTAGCCATGAATATGAAACAAATGATAATTCGGTCTTCAAAATTGGTCAAGCAATTTACGTTTTACATTTGACCTTTGAATAAGATTTCAAAAATTGGTTAAGTAAATGGTATAAATAGAAGGCTACATTGAGAACTGGTTTTAGCACAACCAGCACTCTGGGTGAGAATTTGATGGTGAGTACAAAGACATTAAACATAAAACATGCATACCTTAAGGCCAACACCATTTCTCTTTATTGTTGTGATAGCATACTGCACATCATCATCATTATCAACATTTGGGTCAATGTCAACTACCTCAAAGTCAACTGGTGCACCAATATATCTAAAATATTTAAAAATCTATTAGATTAATTACGTGGTTATGTTATTAATTAAAATATAGCTGTTTTGTAAGTCTCACTTGAACTTGTAATGACTACTTCGGAGGTTTGGGCAAACTTGTTGAAAATATAATATTCAACACACAAATTCATTTCTATTCTGGGTAATTATTGGTAAAGTTATATTTAACAAAATAAACATGTTAATTAATGTGTGGGTTTATTATTTTTATTTTTAAAAACTTGCACAATAGTATTGGCAACTATTAGTAATGTCAGGTTAATTTTAGTAAACTTACTTGAAAATGTCTCTAACGTATCCCATGCACTCCGGTCCGATACCTCCACCAGGTAACATGGTAACAGCGTGCCGACCACCATACTGCGCTTTAGGAATCAGCTTTTGCTTCCTGATTACTGGAGTTTTATGCTGTACATCGAAGTCGGATAAAGTTGCCGGTGCTGCTGCAGAGCTGGCGAACGCTGCGCCTTTTATCTCTGGCAATACCAGTCTTGTTAGAATTCTTACAGCCATTCTTCAGTTCTTCAGCGATTTAAGTTTTAAGATTTTGTGGTGTTAAATAATCGCAGGAAGTGAGGAACTGAAAAATGTTGACAGCTGTTGTTTTGATAGATGGCGCAGTTGTGTTGTGTCAAATATCTCAAAACGTCACGTGACAAATTAGAACAAAGTTTTGGGTAGCTTTTCTACAATTTTAAAATTTTTGAATAACTTCAATATAGCTTTTATACCAAAATACACATCTCCGAAATAATTCAGGATGCCTGCTTTAGAAAAATATTTTAAAATAAAATGACATTGTTGTTAAAAAATTTATACTGGCAACAAAAACCAGTCAAAGTTTTTTAAATATTTCTGTTGCGTGTGGCAGCTTTTTTCCACGAGTCGAGGAAGCAAGTGGGCGTCCATTTTCCTTCGCCATATTGAATTTGGTCGGACATCTTTGGACGCCATGTTTAGTCGGACATATTTTATAAACATTTTCGCGTAAATTTCAAATATTTTCAGGCACTAAATATTTAACTTTTTTTCACTGAAGTGTATAGTATTGATTGCAGTGAATATTGTCCGGAAAAATTCTGTGCCTGCGCAACAGTCCATATTTGTCTCCTGGGGACCGTGGAGCTTTTGTTATAAGCTAAATAAAGGTAAACTATTTTCACCGAAAACAATCGTAGTCATTGACACATTGTAACAAGTGTTTTGAATTTTCTATGTATTTACGTGTCAGGGCGTATTACAAAGGTGACTGAATGAAGGTCATTAGATAGGAGGTTTTGTCTTGTTAAAGATTGGCGTGGTCGTTTCTCTAATTATCTCAAAAATACTGTACTCATACCCGGCCGGTTCCTCCATAGTCGCACCTGCTGTGTGTTATAGTTGATTTTACAATTCCCTAGCAATATAAAAGCATTTACTAATCATGTTTTAATCACATATGAACGTATTCATAATTTGAATGGTCATTTACCTATATCGGGTAAATTGTAACGTGATATCACAACTAGTTTGTAGCAATGATATTACTCCAGCAGTTTTACCGAGTTAATATCAATAAAATGCCAATGTTTGAGACCTTTACCGTTGCACGTACTTTCAAATCTAAAAATATATAAACATAAATGCAGCTTTAGACTTAAACATAGCTTACAATGTCATATAATACGCTGAATTCTTCATACGTGTTTACTAATGAAGTACACTGATAAAGTTTTTTGGTTGTTGATATACATGGGCGTGTGTCATCCATCCTTTTATTTGTCATCATTTATAATAAAGATGTTATATAAAATACCTAATAAATATTTTCTTGTTTACATAATGTGATTAAAACATTGTTATCATTTCTATAGGTGTATATATTTTACGTAATTCCGTTAACCGCTAAGTGTGAAAATAAGCATGAATATTGACTACTTGGTTCTAATTAAGTTAATTAGAAAGGAATTAATTTAAAAACAGCAATAATTTTGACAAACACTATATTAGTGACCAAGTAATGTTTAATTAAATGCTATGAGAATATCATAGGCAGTTCAATGACTATTTTACAAATTCACAAACAACTTTTAGCTTAAAAATCATAATGTTAATATTAAAATGCAATAAATAGCAATTATCTGTTTTGGCACAATCACAGTTGTCAAACACAAATTAAAATGTTGTGGATGTGAATACTTACTAATTATAATTCACAATTATATTATTAATAATATAATATGATATATATATGATTCTAAAATTACATTTTCAGGGCCCCAAAATGATGAATCAAGAGATAATGTGTGAAGTTGAGATTGGGACACATGGTGGTATGGTAGAAATAGACAATGATGACCAGGTGGGCGTTAAGGTACATATTTAAGCTATTTATATGATAATTTTATGTATTTTATCCTTACTATATATTAGTTTAATAGTACACATTATAACCTTTTTAGTAACAGATTTTATAAACTTGTACTGGAGTGAAAGTAAAAGGAAAAAATGAGTTGAATTGTTTATGGTTACTGACACTAATAGTCAATTATAACTTTTTATGGTATATTTTTCCTAACTTTGTTTGTATAACTTGTTTTTGTGGAGGAGAAGACTTTTGTAGACAAAACCTATCTTACAATTTTAACTTTAAGGAGCTTTCCGGTTTCACATGCATAGACTTTTTAGAATTATTTTTTAAATACTGCTCTGGGATAATGGCATATTAGTTATTACTAATATGCCATTATCCCAGAGCAGTATTTAAAAAATAATTTTAGTTTATTTATTGGCATAAATAATACAAGTCTCTCCTCTTTATAATGTTAGTGCAAACATATACAAGGTTTTATTTTATGATTTTCAGTATGAAGAAATAGAAACAGGTCAATATGAAGAGTATATAACAGATGATCAATATGAAGAAGTTGAGGAGCAGGTCATTGGTATGCAGCATTTGGAGGAGGGTAAGTATTTGGTATTGCAACTGCTTCTGGGAATCAATAACATTTTATATCATTTTATATAATTCACTTGATATTAAGTAAACTTGACTAACTTATAAGAAATGAGAACATGTAATATGTAAAAAGAAGAAAATACCTTATAGTTTTACAACAATAATGTATCACACACACCCGTAACCAGGGATATAGGCAGAGACCATGGACCTCCATTGAATGCAGTTCTGGCACACCACTTTCCTTTCTTCTAAATTCATATATCTACACATACATGCATTTGGTTTCGGGTTTTTAGCAACACTTTTATTTTTAGTATGGAGTGAATTTAAGTAAATATAAATGTAATTCATCATTTGTCAAATTACTTATATGTAGTTGTTTTTGTAGTTACATTGTCACTATGGATGTTTGTCATTTCATTCTCCACAGGTTTTATAAAAACCTTTAATTCATACAAGCAACGTCGGCTTTGCTGACAGATTATAAAATTTCAGTTGGCAATGAAGAAGTTATTTTACCGGGTATTTCGGGAGAGGAAGTCCTGCATCCTGTAGCTGACAACCCATATGAACCAGTGTATACTGCACCACCTTCTACAAGCAACTCAAGGTATTAAAATACTCACTATGGAACTCAAACTGTAAATATAAATTGGTTAAACCACATTTTGGCAACAACCAGTAAAACAGTAGATCCTGTCTGAACACTATTACTTGAAAGATGCTATGTATTGTCAACCAATTCTGGGCTTATGCGATTGACAGTCCAAAACAATACATTGCGGGGTACTTTCAATATCATTGTAAACACTTTGGCTGTAATTTGTGTTGTAATACAAAACTTTTAATATATCCCCCAGAGTGCGAGGTCGCGGACGTGTCAACGCAAACAACGCTAATACCATTCATCACCTGATGCCTATTGGTAAGTTCCAACTATTATCTCATGTTACTAATATTATAATTGGAAGTTTAGATTTATTGATTGGATGTTTGTTAGTAGGTATCTCCGGAATGGCTGCATGGATATTGTTAAGATTTAGTATAGATGTAGAACTTAGTCTGGAAGAACATTTAACTACTATTTTTTTTTAATACCGCGCGAACGGTGTCTCAGGCGATAGCTAGTATTGTTGTAAAAAGTAATCCTAATATATGTAATTAAATTGTTTAGTTTTCATCTCTATCACTAGTTTTATCTCTATTTTTTTTTCAAATACATTGAGAGGGATGACAACATGTTTTTGTACAAGTGTCAGTTCAGTGGAAACTCTTGATTATATTATAGTTGATGTAAATATATTCCAGGTGAAGTGCCGATGGGTCTTATGGAAGGCGTGAACGCGAACCGCAGCGCGACGAGACGATGGGAACAAAAACAAGTACAGATCAAAACTATGGAAGGAGAGTTTTCTGTCACTATGTGGGCTACGGGCGAGGACGATGGTATGCTTTATACACAATTTTTACTGTGTTATTTAGTTACTGGTGTAAATTTAACGTGAAAGAAAATAATGGTTGTTTTGTTTCAGATGACGGATCAAATCCAGAGCCAGATCCTGACTACACAGAGTATATGACAGGCAAGAAGACTGTTATAGGCAATGAGGCAATGCCAGGTTACTGTTTGTTTTTTATATTGCAATAATAGTTATTGGTCCAAATATACATACATAATGTAAAGCGAGATTGTGGTCAATATACATAAATGCTTTTGTTATGTCGTCTACTGGAACTAATTTTAATTCGTTGCTTAATTTTTATTTCAATCCTTTTTATGGTAAGACTAGTAATTACCCGCGTCTTAGGACACTGGGAATTAAAAAATCAAGACATACAAACAATCAAATTTTTCCTCTTTATAATATTAGTATAACATCATTTTTTTATTACAGAACATATATTTTAATTGTGAATAAATCGGTGCTAAAACATTTTCAGGTTTAGATCTATCAGACCCAAAGCAGTTGGCGGAGTTTGCGAGACCGGGACATAAGATAAGACTAAAGAAGCCCCTGCCAGAGTCATCTGATAGAACGATAGGTAATCTAACTCATATTTTAACACCTTCAATGCCATGATTTTTAACATAGTTCACTTGTTGGATGAGTTGGTAGTATTAAATGTGAATTAATCAATGTAATTTAAAGTTTATTTACTATATTTTTATCTGTGAAATAGGGGTTTCAATATACAATAGAGATGAAATATAATTTAAAACTATGAAAAAAATTCCATTGCCAATGGGAAACACCCCTTTGTAGTATACCTTAAGTACTAGTACAAGATGTAGTTGTGATGTGATGCTTACGTGTCATGTTATGTTGCACGTGTAATATTGTTGTCGTGTTGTGTTGGCAGCGTGTCCGCACAAAGGCTGCACGAAGATGTTCCGCGACAACTCCGCCATGAGGAAACACTTGCACACGCACGGCCCACGAGTCCATGTCTGCGCTGAATGTGGTTTGTAACTTTACCTTTTTTTTCGTATCTTATAAGTACTTTACTATTCCCATTAATTCCTTTTATTTTTTGCCTTATTTTATTAATTATAGTGACTATTGCAAGGCTCCATTTGAGCTTATTTGTACTTTAGAAGACATTTTTATTAGACAGTTTAGTTTTTTTTTGTGTTGTTTAATATAAGTGTATTTGTGTAGATGTTTATGGTATTAATATTATAGCATTAAAAAGGTTTTAAAATAAAATAATATTATTGTCATTGATTTAATTTTTTCATATTATATGTTGTAGGTAAGGCATTTGTGGAGAGTTCAAAGTTAAAACGTCACCAGTTGGTGCACACGGGGGAGAAGCCCTTTCAGTGCACGTTCGAGGGCTGCGGCAAGAGGTTCTCACTTGATTTTAATTTAAGGTAATTTTTTAAGTTTTTATGGCATGTGTAAAATGTTCTACCAATTTCTACATATGTAAAAGAATCTCGTATTAGTTGCACTATTTATAACGGCATAACCGATTTGGTTGAAAATTGATGAGCTTTGAACCATGAGACCTACATAAGATTCTTTTTATCCCGTTTTCGTTTGTATTTGAAGGTTAACAGGATAAAGAAAGGCTCTTCAATCTTCATAAAACAATAACAAAAAATGTTCTCGCTTATTTATTAAATGTTTTATGTTGTGTTTAGAACGCACGTGCGCATCCACACAGGCGACCGGCCCTACGTCTGTCCCTTCGACGGCTGCAACAAGAAGTTCGCACAGAGCACCAACCTAAAGTCCCACATACTTACACACGCCAAGGCCAAGTAAATATGTATAAATATATTTTATAATTTAAGTCAAGTAAAGACACTGGAATCCGCCAGAACATGGAAGTGACATCTGCCTATTGACATCCGCATTTGCAGATGTGCTGCCTTCTTGCATGATTAGGCCTCCAACAAGGATTACTCAATCAACTCATCAGACGAAACGCGGAATCACTTCTAATTGACTCATGTCTTCTGTGTGATCGTAGTATTGCACCAAACAAGCCGGCCCATTCTTGCACCAGATTTTGTTGCTGGCGTCAAACACTGTTGAAGTTGTCCCTAATAATCTATTTACTGTGCAATATGAAACTATTAAATATATTTAACCCAACCAGATCAATATAAATAACACCTATTGTTTACTTTCCAGATCAAGAAATTCATTATCACGTAACGGTGGCGCGGCGTACGAATCTGCGAGAACGACGCCGCAGTATGTGCAGCTGGAGGTGTCTCCGGATGACTCCAACCCACAACTCATCTTCTACACGCACGAGTGAATGTGAACAAAGTGATGTGATACAGACACGTGATTAGTGAATTATATGTCTCATTGACAGACTTGTAAATATATTTAGTGACATGCATTTACATTTGTGAATAAATGTCCAAAAAAGCATAGTGAAAGAATCTAAAAGACTGCGGATATGAAATAGTGTGATAGTGTATAAATAGGTTATCTAATGTTGTTAGTGAAGCAATTTTTGTAGTCATTTTCCTACGAAAGTTCCAAACGGCGGTAGACCTTATAATAAATGGCCGCCTGAATCGCTCTAGCTGTTAGTGAAGTGTTTATCATTTTGCAATGCCATAGATGAATACAATCAAACCTGGATAAGCGAGAGTCTTTGTCTGGTCCCGACAGATGACGTCCATAAGCGGGAAACTCCTTAGAAAGACACCTCTATAAGTGAGAAAAATTGCAGTCACTTGGACTCTCAGTTATCCAAGTTCAACTGTAATTGGATGTTGGATTTCTCTTAGTAACTGGCTTTGGCTGTTTTAATAATTAAGAAAATAAAGAAGAGATAAACGAAAAAAGACGTAATCACAATATATATTTTACCTAATAACGTAATTTTTTTTAAACTTTGACTTTAATATTAATATATTTTTTTTTATTTACGACAAGAATAAATGACATCTCTAAAACTGTCATTTATGTAAACTATGATTGCTACCAAAGATATCCAACATCTGATTCAAAATTAAAAAACAAAACTGATTGTGCTTTTAGTAATGAACATGGTTCATTTGATGAATTTATAATAGTTTTAAATATGGCTTCAAGTGACAAAATGTGTATAAACAAGTTGTGATTTTATAGTTAGCGCACATGTCCTTAGGTGCGGTGACTTAATTCTATTATCAAGTTTATTTAATCATTATTGTGATGATTTTCTTGGTATTTTAAATTAAGGTTTAGACTTTGTATCAATTTTGGGAACAAGTAAAAACGCTGAAATCGTTTTATTAATTCAAAATTAAGATTAAATTGGTAAAAAAGTCACTAGAAGCCTCAAACGAATTAAAACATTCTTGTTTACCTCATATTACTGATAGTCTCATGTTATAGCTTGACCAGGAATACGAAAAACCTAGCCATATTGTGGGAAAATAAAGAACTATACTACAAAGCATAATAGAAGCCAGGTTTTTTATATTCTTGGTTAGGCTATAGATGATAATTTTGTCAATTGACTTTCACAATGTACGATTTATTTACAGTAGAATTATCATTTTGCTTTGGGAATAATTACTAATAATAGCTACTAATTTTTTTTAGAAAATGATTTTTCTCTTTATTTTCGTTAGTCATTTCATTTTTAGTATTTAAATATAAAATAACTAAAACGATACGCTTTGTTATGTATTTGGCCACAAAAATGGATATCAAAATTGTTATTTACCACAGTTGCAACAATGTTGCTATGGTGACAACAATTTTAAGTACATATTTGTGTTGCCATGATTGTACATTTTGTACTATATAAATGCCAAAAAGAAGATGTTTTGTATTATAGAGTTATATGTAGATTTTTTAATTAAGGGGAGGTTCATGCAGTCTTAAAAAATAATTATTTTCTTTAATGAATTTTGACTTAACAAATGTGAATCTTGTAAGTGTTGTAAGGAATGTTTTGTTGTGTGCAGGTTTTATTTTAGTAACATAATGTAAGTATTCTGAGAAAGTTTATTTTGTTCCGATGGATGTTTCCCATTGACTGATTCCATTGCACATTGCAACATATATTTGTATGTTTCAATTAAATCATATTTTTATTGTATTCTGTAACTGCGAAAATCAATGGAATGGTTTTATTTTTATTGTACCATCGCGATGTGATGAAAGATTTGTCAAGTGATATGACAATCATACAAAAATAAAGTGTAAATATTTCTATAAAATGTTTGTTTTACTTTCAATCATTACCATAATAATAAAGCGAATTTTAGTTCAAAATTATGGACTTCCTTTTTATAGTGATTACACGTAAATAAATACATCAAATAATTTCAAAAACGTTGTAATCAATTAAAAATGTAACATTTTACAAAAATATATTTACATGTATAATAATATTATGTATACCATACTCTATAACCGATATATAGAAAAAAAACCTAAAATAAGTTTGATTTAAACGTTTTTAAAGTAAAATTTACATCATTTATAGGCGATAACGCACTGTGTGGAAAAGAACAAATGCAATTTTACAACTAAAATATACAAAGATTTATAATTTTCACAAATATAAAACTAACCATGCATTCATACCGCAGAAACATTTACAAGTCTCCGTTGCTACAGATGAAACATGTTTCCATGAGAATGTTTCCGTAGTCAGAATACATGGATACACTAACAACATGAATTATTCATAGTTGAGTTAATTTTAAACTCATAAATTATATTTTAAACAATTACAAAGTGTAAATCAGTTATGTTAAACAATTACATTTTTAAAGTTCCACAAATTTATTTAATTATTCGAAGTTGGCATCTTGAAATTATATTACAATCGGACGAAATATTCATCAATAATTTTTAAGCCTATTTTTTATTGACATTCTATTAGCTACTATTCTTGTCACCAAATAAGACCCCGTTTTAGACAGACTATAAAAAATGACACAATTTTTTTAGCGTAAAATAAATCGTAGTTTTATATTTTTGTATTTATGATTCATTAAAGAAATATGAAAGCTTTTATGCCCTTTTTCACCTTTTGGTGTAACATTTCGTGTACTTATATTTTTAAAAGAAATTTATAAGGATGAGTAAAATTAAGAACAAAAAAAAATTCTGTACAAAACAAGCTATTTTAAAATAACTATACACAGCAAAAATTTAATAAATAAATGTGTGCAAATATTTATTAAATTAAACAAAGTCTAGTTAATTGTACGCAGATGTGTGCAAGTATAGTTGAGTTTTCACTGCAGAAACATATAGAAACATCATTCTCTTTAAAAAGGTAGAGTAACACGTTTTCGTCACGTTCAAGTTCACCATTGGATTGACAGTTTTACACTTTGATACAGAATAAAAAAAAAATAGATTATAATGGCGTATTAAATATTTTACGTTTGTGTGTCAATTTATATTTAAAAACCTGAATACAATAAGCATAATGCTATATAAATATATATTTTTCTATTTATTAAAATGTTTTGTGCGACTCACATTTTCAGACTTTATGTAAATATACAAATATTATGGTTATATAAAGCTGCTGTTTGTAAAATAATTTTAAATATTATTGTAAATATATTTGAACTTTATCTAAAATGTAGATACAATATGAATTTGAATTATTTTTTCCGAAAAATTGTATCGAAAAAGTTAACAAAGAATTTTATAAAATGGGGTAACCTTAGTATAAAATTCTTTATATTTCGTAGATATGTATTAAAATGGCGTAGCTTTCAGTTAGAATTATGACATATTTTAAATTATAATAGAAAATTTTGCATTGAAATTTAACACTAACATAAAATATAATCTGTGCAACTTAAAGTGTATATGGTTTTAAAATTACAAATATTATTTAGTTTCCAGTTCTTCAAAGTTAAAATGAATTTACATTCAGACACAAATCTTTGAAAATGGGACATTACAAAGAAAATAAGATTGCAATTTAAAGAAAAAAAACTACTAAAATGAAAATCAGCGACAAAAATACATTATGTACAAGTTAAAACTCTCTTAAAACTAAAATGATGTTGGACATTTTTTATTACTTTCAACATAAAAGTTGAGAAAAATACTATAAATATTTTTTCTATAAAATTTTAGTAAAGCGCCATTATAATTAAAAGTCGGGAAGATACTATTTTTAAGAGTAAAATTGCAATGTATAATTATTTACTACAAGTCTTATGATGATTTTAAGTTGCCCGAAGGCATTTAGGCCTTTATTTATCATATATTCATATCAATATTATGCCTTTTTACCACAAATAAAATAAAGAAAACTGAAAATTAAATATGACAACGTAGAAACAAGATAACATTTTTCTTATAAATTTAATCCATTATCAAAACACTTCATACAAGATGCTATGAAGTAAATCAGTGGATAGATAGAAAAAAATTTAGCTATCTATAATCTCTAATTCAAGATTGATAGTGCTTGTTTACAAATAGTTCCCAAACATAATTTATTTTTAATATTTAAAATTTTTTTTAATATTTAAAATTAACCTGAAATTCCTTTCCTATTTTTTCATTAATTTAAAATTCATAAGTTTTTTTACGTTTTTTTCTCAATGCACCGCAGTTTGACTTAACCTCTTAGTTATCACATCACAAGGCATACATATAAAGATATAAATATACAATAGTATATGTTATAAGCGCTTACTAACTAAATATATTAGAGTACTAATATCACTGTATGGGACATCACGCGTTGCTCAGCAGCTCACTGGAATAAAAAAAAACAATTTCTTATAACTTTGTCTATGGTTTGTTTCATAGATAATATTCATAATATGTTTAAACATATTGTGCTGCGATATTTTTCATTCAATTGAAATAAACATCACCATCAACTTAATTACATTGCAAGATTTATTGTCAGCGACAGTTTTTAATATATACAGAAAAGAAAGTCGTGTTAGTCACACTATTTATAACTAAAGAACGGCTTTACAGATATGGCTGAAAATTGGTGAGGAGGTAGCTTAGAGCCAGGAGACGGACATATAATACTATTTAATCATTTTTTTTCGAATTTATGCCTTGAAGAGCTGCTTTTTATTTAACTTACTAATATTATAAATGTGAATGTTTAGATGGATGTGATGTGGATGGATGGGTGTTTGAAGATATCTCTAGAACTGCTGAATGGATCTCGATTAAATTTGGCATACATATAGAACATAGTCTGAAAGAACACATAGGCTACACTAATTAAGTTTTTTTATATATCCACGCGGACGTAGTCGCCGGCGACAGCTAGTTAATATTAAATAACTGTGAATGGGGGGCTTACTTAGTGAGTTCTCTCGAGGTGAGCGGTCCGGTGAGACCGGATCGTGACCGCGACCTGCTCAGCTGGGCTCGTCGTTCAGCTGAAAACAATACATACATAAATTCATCTATACATTCATCCAAGTATACAATAAATTTCTCTTTATATATTACATTAAAATTTAAAAAATATATTAAGTTTAATAATGATAATCTTGTCGATACTCCGAAGCATAAATCGACAGAACAATAACAACGCCTAATTATAATCAAATTTTTTACGACATAAAATAAGTAAAAGACAGACAACATCTAAAGCAAATAATGTATAGTTCATTTCAATCATATGAACTATTGAAACATGCAAAGATCACGACAAAATAATCCGTTGAAAGATAACAAGAGACTTAATTAATTTACACTACTACTACATTATCTTTAATAAATCCTTAAAATCCAACATGATAGCTTCAACTAATCCATTCTAAAGAAAGTTCCTTACACTTATAGTGGATGGATTTTTATGACTCAAAATTATTTCGTACAACGGTTTATTTCGATGAACTGATTTGCATACAACTACTAACTACATAACAATTTAAATAACGAAAGCACATTGTTTAAACAAATATTAAAGATGTTAAAAAATCATAAATTATATTCGCACAATATTTAAATTAAAGTAAGCCTGAAAAGAAAGTCAAAATGGTCTTCTAATAAACATTTCAACGTAATTGTTAAATATTTGTTTTCATACGTAATAGATATAAATATTAACATCGAAAGCCTAAATGTTAAAACAGCACTTGTCTGTATGTCTCAAGCTTGGGTGATGAAGACCGTCGATTCCGTCTGGAAGATCGCCCGCAACGTAACATCGCCGACTCTGTGCCGACAAATTACGTATTACTACACCCATTTAAAACATAACCTAAAACTTACACATCATTTTTTACGCCAAAATTCATAAATACCAGAGAGTAAGCAAAAAAATTTTCTCATATTTCCTTTTAACGTTGGTAAAATTCTTTACAATATCGGAATTAAAAAATTCGTGGCACAAATTCCACCGAATTATAACATATTTTGAAAAAAAACCTATTAAAGTGAATTGCGAAGCAATGGTGTTCTAAAACATATTTTAAAAAAGCGGTAAAATAACTTTTTAAAAATATTTTTGCAGCCAAAAATACTTTATGCACGATCTATAACAAAACGTGTATTTTGAAAAAAGGTGCATAGTAATTTGTTTGTATTTTGTATGATTAGTACCTGCAATACGTTGCAATATCGCTTGCACCAAACTCTCCTCCTCACTCGCGTCCTCTATGTGTGCGTGCAACATTACCTCACTGTGTACGTCTAATGCAGTGTGCGTCAGAACGTCACATCAAATACAGAACATAAAACAACAGAGTATATTTGTATTGCCATTAAACTTAATTTTTTAACTTTATTTACACCAAAAAAAAATTATAACAAATATTTTTTTCCCATTTCAGCAGAAATACATCCAAAAAATCTGATTGATAACTAAATGTGTCCAAAAAGTATCATTTTAGTATTTTTTTACTTTTTTCTCAAATTATTAATTTTCAGTGATGTGAATGAGTGAAATATATTTTAACCCATTCCATTTACTAAATAAATATAATTAAGGTAGATTTTCACTAAGATCCTGATAATAATACATTATGAGAGATGTGGTAGGAAATTAAAATAGTATATTTACCTCCTGCGACTCTCGGGTTGGCCTTCTTCCGCGGCCGCTCTCTACTGAACGCAGAGCCGCTCTGCAGCGCCTCCATCAAACTGAAATAACGAATAAAGGTCAATTAAATAAAAATAAAAAAGCATTTAAAGTAAAAGTAAATTCAGCATATAACTTTGAGACTCAAGATTCAGTATTATAAGATTCAAACTTTTTAACTGCTCGTAGTTATTTGAAAGCAATTATTTGTATAAGTGTACAAGTGAAAGCCAGATGGACCCATGCGTCACTCACGTATTATGTTCTAATACTTAAAATTAAAGTTTGTATGAGGGCCATATAAAATGTATGTATGTGTGTGTATGGTACCTGTCCATGACGCCGTCCTGCGCGCGCTCCATGTCAACAAACTGCTTGTATCTGTGCTGACGGTCCCTGCGCTCGCGCTCCGCAGTCGCGCGCGCCTCACGCGCTCGTCTTGCGCGCTCCTCCGTCTCACGCGCCACCACGTTCTCTTGGTGCGCAGCCTGTGCAACATTAACATTGGTAAAGTCAGCTCACCAACCCCCGGGGTATATCAAAAATATTATTAAACTAGCGGGTTTCCCTTATTTTTTTATTTTTTTTAAATAAGATTTTTATTTAAAATAAGAGAAAAGGTGGGCTACAATATTTCCGCACATAGCAGGTGCCTTCAATTAAAATTCCTGTCACAATCGGACCAGCTACATAAATGTTTACAAATTTTTTTTTTTTTTAATATTACATACAGACACTCCAATATATTATTAATATGTACACATGTATAAATAAAACAGACAATTTTTAAGTTAATACTCACAGCGAATGAATCTTTAAAGGTCTTGATATCAGAGAAGAACTCCTCAAGCGTGTACTTGTGCGGGTCGAAGACGTAGTACTCTGCGAGCTCGCCGTACAGCGCCTCCATCTTGCGGAACATCGAGTGCAGCAGGTCGCACTGCTCGCGAGCCTCCACAGCGAATGACTGACACACGGCTAAGGTAATTACAACTGTATTGTCTAGGCAATAGATGCTATTTTCAATATAACTTATTACAGGCGACATCAGCCACTTTAAAAAAATTACCCAAATCTCCAATCACAAATCCATTTGTTAGTTTGCTAGTGTGCTAGTTTCCACAAGTATCCTGTGGCAGTATTTTGACATGAGGCCTACAAGTTTTATGGGTTTCTAGTCAGAAAAAAAATCCTAACTTCTATTGAACGTCGAAAGTTGCAACACCAAGCAATTAATTTGCAACTTGTGTTATCGTAGTAATTCTTTACTGTTTAAATTAATACATACAAACTTTGCAAAATAAAGTACAGAATTTCGAAATTATGAAAATGGCAACATTAAACTGCGCAGCTGATGTTCCCTGATTGGTTGAAATATGTCGCTGTCAAAATGACATAGTATACAAAAGGATACGCCCATGCTCTCATTGAATAAGTCGTCTGGACTCTGCGGTACGCGGGCGTTGTTCAGATCCATTTCCAATGCTTTTATATCGTTTTCCATCTTCTTGAGTGCTTTCTGAACATTTTCCATAGACACTCTCGCCGCCCTGAAGACATAACACAATATCACTCGTTTAAACTTAAACCCGTGAAGAAAATTCATCTTTCTATGTTTAAATAGTATTGATCCTTCGAGTCGGATATAAATACCTGTCTATGTGAGGCATTTCCTCCGCAAATGTTAAAGCATCAGGGAACTTGCTTTCTATCGTTTCGACTAGATAATGTAGAAGTGTTTGTTTATTTTCCAGATCTTTTGTTGCAGTCAACTGAAATAATTTATGATGAATTTATTAAAAAAAAAATTACTAAGATTTATATTATTGTGTAATTTTGGAATTAGAAATACCTTAGTGAGGAAGCTTATTTCAAAACCGTATGCACCAGCATTATTTGAGCCCGTATTCATATAGTTTCCAAGTAGTAACAAGAGCTCCAATATCTTGGCGAACTTGCCGCTTGATTTGACTTCTTCGCACGCCGCAGTGCCCGATACTATATCCTGAAAATATTATAAATATTTGTAATTATAATTTACTTACTGTCACCCGCGACTTCGTCCGCGCAGAATTAAAAAAAACTAGTAGCCTTTGTGTTCTCCAGGCTATGTTCTATATCGATGCCAAATTTCAGCGAAATCCGTTGAGCCGTTCTATGTCCAAACATACCTTCAAACAAACATCCATCCATCTATCTAAACATTCGCATTTATAATGTTAGTAAGATAATTTTAAATCTACATCAAACTTTTGAGAAAAAAAATGCGTTGCTATTTTTTTAGATTCGTTCCAAAATGAACAAAAAAGGCGAGTCACATTTCGAAAATAGTTACATATGTTATAGTACTCTTAAGAGATGTGACTCTTTTCTTGTCTCTTACCGGTTTAACTTCAGATATAAGCTCAGAGTAGTGTTCCCTGAAGGCCAGACTCCTGAGGCGGGGCACGAGCCGCTTCACATCAGCTACAGTGGCGGCGAACTGCTCCGCCTCCGTCAGCTCCTCGCTCTTGCATTTCAACTCTGATAGCTTTTTTAGTTGATCCGCTGGAGGTATGTGCTGATAAAAAAAATCTATATTTGAATGTATATCAATACAATATCAATAAATGTTTTTAACTTAATAAAGTATAAATTAATTTAATAATTAAGATACCTTATAATATTATGAAAGTTCTTTTGGGGGTTTAAAACTTTTATTTTTTAAATTACTTGAAAAAAGATCTTCGAAAAGAAGCAGTACGCTATCTTTATACTATCATATATGTTTAGTTGTTGATTAATGAAATTATTTAATATAGTCCATATAAAAAGTAAATTTTAAGTTATTTTGCAATTGTAATTCATAAAAAAACATACCTGTATTAACAGATCCAGTACATCAGCTGTGAGCACAGTTGTATCACATCGGAGCACACATGTCCTGATATGATCGTAGGACATATGTTTAAGGCTGCCGCTCAGCAGGATGGACAGGTTCTGTGCAGCCTTGCTGTCCAGGACCTTCAGGTCTTTCACCTTCTTCAATGTATGCACCCTGGAATATACATTATACCTTTGTGACGTCAGATAGAGTTTATGATGACAAGCAAACTGCTTTTAATTCTTTCTAAGCTTTTTCCTTTTCGAATTGTTTTGTCCACTTCTATCTTTTCCAAACGTAATAATCAAATTTGATTTTATATCTTTTGGTGATTTTAAGAGATTTTTATCACTATTTGGATATTATACAATAGTTTGTACTGTGAAACCTGGATTAGAGAGATCGTTGCCCGAGAAAAATATCGTGGTCCCTTGGACTCTCGTTTATGTAGGTTTAGCTGTATTTTTAAATGTGAAATCTCAATAACAGAGAAACATCGAAATTGATGAAAGACTCTCTCAGATATTAGGACATAATATAAGATTTTTTTTAACTAACTTGTCGACCGCATCTTCGTTCTTCTTAGCGACAGGTTTGCTTGAGAATTTTTGCGCCAAGCCGGTTAGGATGTCTGGAGACGCAAGTTTGTCCTCTTGGACCTAAAAATATAAAAAAAACCAACTTAATCCTGTACCAAGTACAATTAAAGATAGGAAAAAAAATTATTGTATATATTTTGTGATATTGTAAAGAAATTAATATATTACCTTAACCCAAAATGCTTTCTCTGACATCTTTTGTGGTATAATTGTCTTCCAGTTGGCTCGCTTCAGTGGACCTTCCACTTCCCACTTCTTTTTAGGTTTCAAACCATAAGGTAAAATGTCTGGTTGGGGCTGAAACAAAAACATCTCCTTTCAGTAAATTCATCCACTACTTTATCTAAAATACTCATTCACTAAGCGTCACTTAAGTTTTAAACAACTCGGCAGTTTTGTGTGCGACAGTAGTAGTTACCATTCTAGGCGCGGCAGGACCTCCGAAGGGCGGGGGCGGAGGAGGTCCTCCCATCATGGGAGGCGGAGGCGGCGGTCCGAAGCCCGGCGGAGGCGGGGGCGGAGGAGGACCACCCATTCCCGGCAGCGGAGGCGGAGGCGGAGGACCACCTGCTCCTGGAACATAAGAAAAACATTTAATTTATATGGAACATTTATTAAAAGTTGTATCCAATCAAGTTATTCTAACAGAGAAAGATTTAAAAAAAAAAGAATATTTACATTTAACAAATAAACAGCAAAGTGACACCTATTGTATTAACAATTTAATAGCATTTTAAACTTTTATTTATAAATTTTAACTTTTAATATTTATTTTCAGTCTTAGAAACAAAACATTTAATATCAATAAAAATATTAAAATTTGAGAATTAAAATTAAAAATCATGCACGCACATATTAATTCCATATAAACATGCGTTAAGTATCAACATTAAATAAGTGCAAATAATTTTTACCCACCTTTAGGCATCGGCGGAGGTGGAGGTGGAGGTGGACCGCATCCTATAACATTACATAAATACATTGCGCATGCAGTGCGAGATAACGCCATTGTGCGGTACAAATTCATTCAAAAGCTGTGTTAATTATGTATAACTTTAACATAATATATTATTATATAAATAACAGATATTTTAATTTGTTAATTGAAATAATAAATTGATTAAAGTTAATGAAACATTTTTGTAAGAAATTTTAATCTTTACTTTATTTAACTTGAATAATTTTAGCACAAACTTTCTTTTTACAATATAGAAATTTAAAACTAAACCAAATATATATATAAACATAATTTGAGAATTAATTGTATATTTCATAATTTGAAAAAATCAATAAGTAGTAACCATCACCGTTAAAAAATATAGTTATAAAAGAAAGATTAATTTATATTATTTGATTTTTAATTGTTGAAAGACAATTGTTTTTAGTATTTTTTTTAAAACTTAAGCATTAAAAGTGCTATAGTGAAAAGAAATTAAGAACAAAAAATTACCTCCTGGCATCGGAGGCGGAGGCGGCGGTGGTGGTCCTCCGGGACTGCCGATCGCCTGTAAAATAGTCATGTAAATTATTTGTACACAAGAAAAAACTTAAAAAAAACAACAAAGCATAACCAGATAAACTCTACCGAAAATGACATAGAACCGATGTTGTAACTGAAACCAATACATGACGCTGTCAGCGCTATCTAGAAGATTTAATTTTCTTTCTCGGTTTTGTCCTTTAGTAATTAAGCCAATGTGTAAAGTTCCATCAGTTTATAATATACCTTGGCGATAGCAGCGATGTTGCCTTGCGAGACGCCGCCCGGGCCGGTGGGCGTGGCTGCTTGCTTGAGGCGGTCCTCCAGGTGGGCGGCGCGTGCCTCCGCCTCCTGCCTGGCCGCGATCGCCGCCTCCAGCTTGCCTTTCAATTCCTCTATCTTACGTTCTTCTTCCGCGCGAGATTTCTCTGCAAATATATAAGGATTTATTGATAAAACGTAATAAAATGTAACCGTGGACTACAACTCTTTTATTACCCTTTAGTAAATAAAAAACTCTTAGAGCGGTAGCCCGTACAAAAATGTATTTTATCCTTTTTTTTAAAGTTACGAATATTTTTAAATAGTTATACAGTACAGTGGACTCTCGAAAAGTGAGAGTCCAAGTGACCGCGATATTTTACTGGTTTTGGAGGTCGTCCGTCGGAAGCGGATGACTCTCGATTATCCAGGTCCAACTGCATCGCAAACGGGTGAATATAACGAATTGTAGATAAATATTTACATATCTTAACCATATACAAAATTATGATCAAATAGATTTATGTAGTAGATTTAGCTGCCGAAATGAAGGCAATAGGGCTGACATGGCCCGAGACCAAACGCAGAGCGCAAGATAGAGCGAACTGGTGGCGCATTGTGGACGCCCTCTGCCCAACTACGAGTACATAGGACTTTAAGTCAAGTAAGTTAGATTTATGTAAAGCGCAACTTTGATACATTTTGTGATAAATATCAAATATAACAAACCTATTAATCCATCAATAAGGGGTTGTACGTCAATATTGAACCGCTGCGTCGCGCGGAAGTCTGGGTCGTAGCCGTTTTTATGTAACACTATCTGAGTCACACATTCCTCTATCAGCTTGTAATATGCCGGCCTAAAATAACAAAAAAACAACATAAAAATTGTGAATAACAAAATCTATACTATTATTATAAAGCGGAAGAGTTTGTTTGTTTAAACTACTGGTCCGATTTGAAAAATTCTTTTTTTGTTGGATAGTCAATTTATAGAGGAGGGCTTTAGGCTATATAACATTACGGTGCGACCAATAGTTTCTTTTTAATTCCGCGCGGACGGAGTCACGGGCGACAGCTAGTATAATATATATAAGATATTAGGTGACTTAGAAAAGTTCAAATACAATCGAATCTGGACAAGCGAGAGTCCAAGAGACCGCCATAGGTTCCTCTCTTACAAGTTTATCGCTTATTTGTCTGTACCAGACAATGACTCGCTTATCCTGTTTCCACTGAATTCACTGAACTTTAACCACCTTTATAATTTAAATTTACTGTAATATTTTAAGTAAAAAATATTACTTTTTTGGTGCAACATTACACAAAATATCCGTTTTAAAAGCTGCCGTTTACCTTATTAACTCATCATCTCGTATGAAGAGTAGATGTTGTAATATGGACAGCAGGTAGGGTTCAGCCGGTGTGTCCATCACCAGGTTCTTCACCAGCTCGAAACATTCGTTGGGGTCATTGAAGTCAACTCTGAAGACAAACAAAAGAAATAAATAGTTAGAAACAACGTTAAAATATTACATTAAAAACTATATTTTTTGTTTATATTTACATATTAAATATTAATAAAATTGAAATGTCTGTATGTCCATATCAAGAAAAAAATCATATTTCGTATACGTCATGTATTTGGATTTTTTTTTTGTCTGTATGCAAGGGTGAGTTTGTCCGGGTCTCCGGAAGGTCTGAACCAATTATCATAAAACTTTTTCGGGTAGATGATGCATGCGGGCATATAATATGCTATTTTATTTTAATTCTATGCTGTCGGTGGTTAGTTAGTAATAATTAATGTACACAAGGGTATGTTTGCCTAGGTAACCCACCTGACGTCATCAAACTTGGCTAGAAACTCGTCCTGGTCCGCGGAGGCGTGTGTGTCGAAAACATTCATCTGGATCTGTCTGGCGCCCTCTGCCGCCGCTCGCAATTCGTCTAAAAACAGAAATTTACATAAATATATTTTCTAATCTGTTTAATTCGCTGTCTAAAGTTTTCATATTTCATCTAAATTATTTGAAAAATTGATTTTCTAGATAGAAATTATAAATTAAATTAAGCAAAAATCAATATTTTATCCAATAAAATGTACTTGCTTGATGCTAAGATATTATGTATGAAGGGATAGAAAATACAAAAGTGAACCTTACCAATAAGATCATAGAGCCCAGTTCTCATAAACTCGCTCCGTAAGTGCATCCTGAATTCCAATTCTTCCGGCTCTGTGATTATAGCATTCATAAGTTGCATACATCCATTCTGGAATATAAAAAAAGAATGAAGTAACTAGCCGATACAGTCAAGGAATTTAATTTACGACCCAACAAAAAACTATATACTTAACTGACAAATAGGAATTAGATTTGTTTACAAACTTCTTAGATTAGTCCCTTTTTAAACCATTTTAATGAATAAAATTTAATCAAATTGTAGAAATTCCCTACTCTATGGTTGTAATTCTAGAAGCTTCTCAAACAATCAGTTCTAAGAGCAATGTATTCAATCCAGTGCTGCTCAATATCGAGATTATTTTAAAATTTCGTATACAGAGCGCGCAATGTATAGCAAAACGTTACCTTTAAACTCTCAGGAGATTTACTATCCAAGCATTCCACGATGGGCAGCAACCGCGGACGTCTGCTCGATTCGCCCGCCATCGTGATCGCTTCCAGCACTTTCTCATGCCCATTGGGGATAAGGCAAATGGCTGCCAGCACCTGGAACATAAAAATGTCACAAATTATTATCTAGTGTTGCTGTTAATATATTACAAAAGATATAAAAGTTAATTAAAGTTTACTGTCTTAATAATAAAGAGTGGACATTTTATTTATCGACCAAATCTATAAAACTAGTATTGACAAAAAAAATCGAGAAACAAAAACAGTCGTATTTTGTTTAATAAATTAGATCATCTACATTAGTCACAATATGCGTTGTTATAGCAACAGCGTCGTTGCCATAACAACTACGTTGCCATAATAACTACGTTGTCATGGTTACCTTAGCCGCTTCCAATGCACAGTGCGGTTTGCGCGCATCAAGACTGCGCGCGAGTACGGGCAGCGCCTCCCGACATTCGAACACAGTTCGTATGCCAACGGTATTATTAAGGATGGCAGATAAACATCTGATGCATTCGTACTGCACACGATCGTAACGAGCATCGCTGGTAATACGGAGAAATTGTTTATTATTTTACAGAACTAATAAATTTATAGAATTGACACTGTAACTTTTGAAAAAAAATGTAGTTAAGATTCAATTAAGTCCATTCTATATTTAAACATAAATCGCATCCTTATATCCTGTTAGTCGAATAAAAAAAGAAGGTTATCAATTTATCTATTTCTCTGCGTGTATAAGGTAGTGCTTGTCGGTAGGTCCGATTTTTTTAAATTTTAATACTGAATATCTGACTAGTAGATGATTTTTTTAACCTTTGTTTCAAATAACTTACCGGTAAAATCCTCTACCACTGATAGCGTGGAAAAATACAAAAAAAAAATCTTTCAATTTAACTTGAATAAAAACTTTTAATATTACTGTCAACCCTACAAGGGTACCATGTAATCAGGAATAGAAACGACCTTTAAATTGGACCTTTTTTCACGTGCTAGTGGAAATCACTCCTAACAACTTACTTTGTATAACATATATTAAGTGTGGTAAGTAGACTCTCGATGCCTTTGGTGCCAAATTCCTGTATCCATGACAACGGATTATTTGTGAGAGCTATCCTCAAGTTCTCCAAGCAGCCATGCAGCTTGCCCACTGATAGCTCCGGTTGATTTAGATATGACACATAGTCAGATGGCTTTTCAAACTTTGAACGACCTTCCTGGAAAGAAATTATTAAAAGAATAAGATTTTTATATGTGATTAACAAAACAAATAAAGAAAGATATTTTTAACTTTCTTTCGCATTTTACATATCTCCAAAATGGCTCAACGGATCTGAATGAAAATTTGGCATAGATATAGAACATAGCCTGGATTCTTCCATAGGCATAAACTACTTATTAAGTTTTTTGTAATTGCATGCGGACGATATCGCGAGCGAAAGCTAGTTGCAAAGTAAAAACACACGCAGGCAAGAGTTTATCACATTTTTTTTAAATAAAAGAATAAAGCAATATGTTACATGAACTGTAGGTAAAATAATAAAAATAACATTCAACAATTACCTTGCGATTGTAATAAAAAAAGCAGTGAAAATGATTAGGCTTATAATTATTTTTAAGTGTTATAGGTTTAAATTATTTGTTAGGGAATAAAATCTAAACAAACCTGTGCATTAACAAATTTGTAGGCAACTAACATTTTCTTCTTTTGATCCCTTGAGTATTTTCTTAACGGTTCTTTCTTCTCCTCACTGATATTCATATCGGTCTGGAAAGAGAAAGTAATATTAAAATGTAACACTCTGATTACAATAAAAGTTGAGAACGTTCACCTTTAACGACAACTGATAACAAATTGTCGTTTTATATTGCAAAATTCTTTACAGTACCGCGTTGAACGTGAGTTTTTAACAGACAAATCACACCAATGAATTAAAAAAAATCATCCCTCTAATCGCTCTATGAAAATAGAGTTTTTATGCAGCTTTTATTATACCTTATGCATAGGTAGTTGAAGTAGCATATACGTCTATCAAAACAAAAAGCCCAGAGTAGACCGACATGGAGTTCACTAGACCATTCCTAAGCCAACCCATGCTGCAGTCAAACCGATCTCTTATCAATCATCAACCTTATATCAGGCATCAACCTTAACGAGATGAGCAACTTAGTAATAAATACGTAAATACTCAATAATCTGATATGCCGAGACGATACATGCGAAGAATGTAACCGCGGGGCAAGACTAGTTCAATAACAATGCTTCTGCCACATACCAGCATTTCCTCAAATCTTCGTTGAAGCTGGTTGTCATCGAGGGCATCGATCTTGTTGGTGTACTCCGCGGTGGCGGAGGGCTCGTCGTCCTCAGCGCGCGGCTCCGCCCCCCGCGGCACCGTCTCGTAGCCGCGCTCGATCCCACCGCCCGTCTTCTTCGGCCGCCCGAACCATGTGTCCAGCTGGAAGAAGAGAACTTTTGTTTGAATAACTATCGATGGCCCATATATTTCTAAATTAATACACACATTATTAGTTAGAATCATTTTGAGCGAATGGCGCGCTTTTGTTACTAAGTCCATTGTCAGAATGATTAACGAAGGTACATAAATGTCGACATTTTAGTAAGGCTAGTGTTGCGCCAGTACACCTGCACAGTATAGGATTTTCCTCCTAACAGACCTAACAGAGGTACAAATTGCAGAAATAGATCACAATAATATTCCGGCAGCTGATGGCACTCTTCGAAGTTATGGAAATTTGAAACAGTAGATATATACTTAAGAAACGAGTTATTATAACATAGTTCGAAGCTGTACCGTAGATTACTTTTGAATAGCTTTCTATTTAGATATACCATCTATTCGCGTTGTTTAACGGATGTATTACCTTAACTAGTTTATCACAACTCATTATATACAAGATACTCGGTCTGTAATTAAATAACGATAGTTATGGTCTACTTAACTCGATAACAAAGAAATATTTATGTATTGGTATATATAGGTAACAAGAAACTGCTACGTTTCTATCTTTTAACTACATATTTATTTCCTTTATGCTTCAAATATTGATGACATGACGTTACCTCTCTTGAGAACTTTCTGAATGAAAAATAAAGTAAAATTTGTAAAAAAACTATGTAAAAGATAGAGACATAAAGAGGTGTCTTTTTTCTATAAAAAGCTTTTATAATTTACTAACTTTGCATTCATGTTTAAAATCAATACATAAGTAACAACTAATTATTTTTGGCATTTAGGAAATGTTTAGTCGCGTGTTTCCCAACATTTCTAAACAAACATTTAAAGCACTCAAGAATGCTAAATTTTTCGTGCTCCGCGTTTTAATTAATTTATGATACAGCTCACTGTAGCATGATCGTAACAAAAATAGGTTAATAATATTCATGTTAAGAACATAAAACAGGGTCGTACTTCCGACCTATTTAATTAAAATAAAGGTGCTTTATCATTCAAGAGAACGTACATAATTAGTACTTACGGATTTAAACAAAAAGAATAACAAACTATAATAATTTGTATACGACAAATAACACTTATTTTCTTATGCGATTGTCATCTTAATACGTAAGATCGTATGATTGTACCACAACAATGATGTAAGCTTCGTAAAAATGATTCGCCCTTTGTAATAAACTTTTTGTAAATAAAAACAAATTAATTTTTTTTTGACACTTTTCAAAGGATGCCTGACTGTTGTGCTTATTGATTACTTTAACATGTGGTACCATTTAACGATCATATAAAATGCTTTTCGATTAAGCAACATTGCTATATTGGTTTGTTAATGCACACGACTAATCGGGAAACGATAGGGTTGTCACAGCAAGATCATTCTCAAACAGCTGTTTCGGTGAATTTATTAATATTCTGCGCAATACTAAATCGTCAAAAACATGATATACCGATTGTGTAAGGAGGGTCTGCAATTAGGTTTTCTTTTTCAAAATGAATTTCTTATAATTTAAAAACAAGTTTTCAACTGACTGATCTTCGCAGTTATAAATTACGAAATAAAAACTGCAAATATAAAAAAATTGGCAACCCTAATATTTTTACGGAGGCCATTGTCTCGTATCATTGTGCCTTTTGAGGTCCAATCGATTCATGACTGTCCGTCCGCAATATCGCTAACAATGAGACGTCGCCAGCATTGAAGATTGACGATTACACACTTTGTATGGAACACATGTGCTACAAGAGTCATATGTATTGCAATTAATAAAGAAAACATGGATTCCATAGTAAAATGCTACAGTACAAAATGTAGAGAACTAAAGCCAACGCCTATGCGTAAGTTAAAAACAAAAAATGTACATAGAGATATACATTATTAATACAAATTATATTGTTGTTTCACAAAGAAATATGTTCAAAAAATCTATGACTTGATTTAATTTAAAAACTTACCGAGAATGGCGACCGCTCTCTAACATATTCACCTACTACTTTTATTGTGTCCATTGTATAAAAAATAAAACACTTTTAAAACTAAATTAAGCAACAAATACTATAATAACATAATTCGCTCACATCGTCCATACGCACAGCAAAATATTTACAAAATTAAGCACGTAAAAAAGTCTTAAAACTCGTTTCCACGATAAAATTCACCAACAAAATGTACGATCACTTAATCGGTACTACACACACTGAGTTCGGTCGCACTTTCCTTGCAAATTAGCGAACTGATAAAAATAAAATCATCTTTCCCCTGATGATGCTTCACTCATCTGAATATACTGGGCGATGATGTCGGCCATTCAGTGACAATAATAGACGTACAAAAAGTCGCATGGCGAATTAACTAAAGGTGTTTACACACTAATAGCGGTAATAAATTAATTTGTTTTGACATTACTTATGACGGATTAGCGGTAATTTCTTTTAATAGTAATATAATGTATAATTTGAAAGAAGCATTCATATATGTAGTGTATTAAAGAGATTTTAAAAGAAAAAAAAATTATCAAATTAATTCGATTATTGCTATTTTTATAATAGTTTTTTTTTTTAATTTAATTTGATTACAAAAATGAAGAGAGCTAAATTAAATAATGAATCATAAGATCTAAATGTGACGAAATAATCTTCACGATCATAAAAGTGTAGGAAAAAGAAAACTGAATAAAAAATTGACGTAAAAAAAGATGAAAACAGTAGATAGAAGACGACTCAAGGTCAAATGAATAATTAAGTACACGAAATTAAATAACATGATCTCATAGGTGATGCAGGTTAAATAGGAACTTATTTATAGATTTTGAAGAATCCTTAGATGCACTAACAGTATAAAAAACTTAAAGAAACAAAACTTAAAAATATTAAAATATCTGTTTGGTATTTATCGACTTTATATTGAGAAAATTAAATAAAAATATTCCCTAAAAAAAATAAACGAAATGCCCCAAACGTGAATTGAGCTGACAATATAGCTTTTTTAAGCAAAATTTACGACCTCAATTATGAAAAGCTTTGATAAAATTTTAATACTTAATTTACTTTAAAAATTATAGATTTAATTGTGATTAATTTTAAAGTTAAATAAGTTATTATTATAAAATTTGTCATCAAATCCTAGCCTTCTCAAGGTTGTAAACAATGTTTAAATGCAATGCAATTTAAATCTTATTACTTTCACATAAGGAAAATTTTAACAATGCAATTGGCACAATTCCAATTATCTTGGTTGTATATTTACATATGACACAAGTGTACAAGGTCGTTGACATTGACACCAATGACACAAGGTGGGCCAACAGACAACAGTGAAGTCATCGAAGATGTTATAAGAAATCATAGTTATTCTTCTTATTTTTGACTTCATCTTACTAATATTTATAATCATCAGCTCACTATAAGTCCCCACTGAGGGGCTCCGAGCCCCTACGTTTAGTGACTAAGCCATTGTACTAATATTACTAATGTTAAATGCGATAATTACAATGTATGGATGTTTATTACTACGTAACTACAAGTGTTAATTTAATCTGCTTAAAGTTTGGATTGCAGTTTAAAGTTCTTACCGTGGGTTTCCGAGACAAAATCTTCGTTTAAAACATATTATAATTTCTGTTTTGTCAAAGATAAATGGCAGAGATAGCGATAGGTTTTACACAGATATATTGGTCACAGAAACCAACGGTTAGACTACTAACAACTTAAACAACGCTATCACGTCTAACAAAATCTATGACTGAGTACGAAACTTCTATTCAACGTCTAAACGTCAAATCAAACCAAGGATTTTTGTCCGTTAATTTTAACAAAGAAGATAGTATTATTTACTAAACCCTAGTAATAAAAATATATGTTTACTAATAAAAGTTTACAATATTTCACCACACTATGACACTAATTCGCACGGCTCCCAAATATTGGCAGTAAATTTGAATTTTGTAATGCATTTGCGACCTCCCGCGATATCTTCGCGCGAATACTACCTAATGCATAGTGCACATCTTGTTTAAATACAAGTGAAACGAAGATGTTAAAATATGTATTTAATAGATGTTGCTCATAAATAAAATATTTCATTTTTTTTTCTATGTCTGGCTCCGTAAAATGAGAACAAATAACTAAAATACAAAACATATCACGCAGTAACTTGACCTTCCTTACTTTATTCATACCAAGGCCAAGGCTCTCTATAGATACGAACCGCCGATGAGAAAGACAATTATAACTTTAATTGATCATAACCAGGCTGACATAGCCCCACGCATTTTGTCTAACTAACACGTGTGAACACACCAACGTACTGTTATTAACAGACATCAAAGAGGAGGTTTTTATTTCGTCGTTTTTTTTAGTTTTAAGACAATGAAAAACATACTTTAACTGTCACATTCCGACGTTAATTTCTCACTAAGGAAGATTGTGTAAATTTAGTATGAAATATTTACACTATTTAAGAAAATATTTAAATAACGCTTTTGATTCTGTATGCGACAAATACTGATACATACTTGCCAGGATAGTTAGTCATTTAGAAAGGAGTAAACAAAGAAAGGAAATAAAATGTAGAAACAAAGTTAAACTTAAACCTAAATCTGTCAAAAAGTAAGAAAATGCGAAATAATTAAAGTTTCTTAACTTACATTGGAATTTAAAAAATATAAACAGGGTGCCCTTATTTACTATCTAATTTGTGGTCATACATTTAAGAATTAATCCCTTCATACATCAACGTATTACCGTGATACTATCTCTTCGTCCATCCATACAAAAAATTGAGTAAATTATACGAACCATTTTTAAGCAACTTCATGTACACTAGACACGGAACAAAACACTACACATCGATAATTTTTCACACAATAAACTAACGCGCAGACTTAGCAAATACCATTCATGGCATGTGTGATCGAAGTAAATGTTCAGACAAGCAGTGGTAGAAAAAACATAAGGCAAAACCGATCCGCGTTTATAGGGTTGACACAAACTGTATAATTTTTTTTTTATGAAGTAAACATTTATAGACGTTCATATTTCATTTTATTCATCTAATCGCTATGATTTAGTCTAGTGTAGAATATCATTTTAGATATGGTCTGATAGGTGCGTGAATTGAGAAGAGATTATTGTCATAAAGACGCAATTAACTTGTAACGAAAGCCATTTGAAATTAGTACTACTCTCGTGTTCAGTTGAAAAAAACACTGTCATTTATAGCGCTACTATCAGTAATAAAAATACAGTTAATAAAATTGGAGAGTCCGTATGTAATATTGAGAAAAATGTATCCTAATGTATGTAATAACTTCTTGTTCCTTTGACTTTTTTCCGGGTACGTTTGAACTGATTTTGACGGGACTTTCTCTGGAAGGTTGCCGACGCACACGGGCAAATTATATGTTACTTTTTTAAATTCTGCATTGGCGAAGTGGAGGGCTATCGTTAGCAACTCATATTTCACAACCCTACGTATTATTATTGATCAGCGCAAACGCATGAGCAATCCGGCTGAATGTAGTAACGATTACGTCACTATGGGCGCAACTTTATAATGAAATGATATTATGTGGCGCCGGATGATACTATTATACGTTGTTATTTTGATTGTCTAACTACGATGTACTAGCATCTTATTACAACGGCTCTTAGCAAATAAAGGCCAGTAACTTCATATTATAAGAAATATTAAAATACATTAATAAACATGGAATGAGGTCATCTCTGACATCTGACAACTTGGTAGTGGTTATTTGCATTGTCACCTTTAACCTCAAATAAAATTGGCAGCATATTTTGTTAGGATCCATTAGGTTTTTGTGTTATTGAGATGCCTAAGAATGATTGCGATAACGTCTTTTATAGTAAATAAATAAAGGCCAATAAACTTTTACGCTTTGTATCTGATAGGAATACCAATTGCTATCTTACTATCTGGATAGATAAAGATTATTCGAGAATGACACAGATTTTGCGCCTATAGAAAGATCTTAAGAAGTGTGAAGACGATGACATTCGTATACCAGCTAAATGATTTCAGCTTTTGGAAGTAACTGGCAATATTATTTTGACGTAACGGCAGGCAAATAAAAAAAATTGTTAAACCTATGTTGACTCGATTTTTGTCTATATTAGGAAAACTTCCATCTTTCAAAGCTCGTGCTAAACGTGGTGAAATATAGAAATAATCAATTCGACTTTTATGATTTTGTTCAATAAAACGATTGGCACAGGATGATGTTTTAAATACTTTAATTTATTTTTAAATGTATCAATATAGACAATGACGGTTCACCTTTATGCCATACAAGTACTCTAGTCGTCCTATAAACCAAGTCGCCTTCGACTGTGACACCAAAGCGCGCTCTCTGCTGAATATTAAACATAAACACTATACAAGTCTTGTAATTCAAAGGTTATTTAAAGGATACAGCATGTTAAAAAATATTAGGTGAAGATAAAATCAAAAATTGCCAAAATATTTGTCGTATTTTACGGCATCTGTTCAAAATCTCTGTATGAGACATATCGTCATCCCAGTCACTACAAAATAGAGAACAAAGAATAACAATGTGTAAAACACAGAGGATTTCGGTCTCAGAAACTCACAGTAAGTCGATTAAATTATGGCACAATTATTTAATTAATAATATTCTATAGAATAAGACTTTATCGACCTTAAACCTTCATTAAACAATTGTGAGCTATTCCATTTTTTTTTTAATTTCAAATAGAAAATGCACGCTGACAAAGTCGGAGGCGATTGTTAGTTATGTTGCATTATTGTATATTTAAACCGTCCAGTTACAATAAATATATATACACACACACACGAGTAGATATGCCGAGTTACTTTTTTTATCACACGTATTTATCGCTGAACGCATTAGCGAACGTTACCTCTAAACAAACGTTTAAGACAATGTCAATTACAGAGTACAATACAATGTTCTTTGATGATTCATTAAAAGACGGAATATGTTTGTAGTAGATAATCGTTAATCGAACTTATGAATTTAGGTTAATAAAAATCTTACTAATTATAAATGCGAATGTTTTGATGGATGTTTATTTGAAGGTATCTTCACAACGGCTTAAGGGATCTCGATGATTGGCATAAATATAAAACATAATCTGAAATAACACATAGGCTACTTATGTTTTTTTTTAATATCCGAACGGATAGAGTCGCGGACGAGAGGTAGTCTATTATTATTTGTACAATCCAAGGATAAATCCCGTAAAGAAAATTTTTATTTTTTTATTTTATGGAAAGTAAATAGGGTTATAAAGCTCTTTCCTAGCTCTATCAATCTACATACATGCAATTTGTGTTCTTCCCCGGAATACTATTGTATTTAGTCGGGTAACCTTGGGTTTTAGAGACTAAACCTTGTTTAAGCTATTGTTATCTCTGTTTTGTCAAAGATGAAAGAAGAGGATGACCAGATGTTTTGTACAGATATTTTGGATTCTGAAACACACGGTAAGTATTATTTATAAACTATTGCGTATTTTTATATCAATGTCAAATTTGTATCACAAATCTACAATGATGTAAGTGAATGAGATCATCTCGTACATACGCAGTTTAACGTTGCATCTTTGGTATAACGTGGGTGTTATGGAAAATCATACATTTATGATAGATTTATTATATGACATCACCAACAGTGGTAGAGCCCGCTCTAACATCTACGAACGAATTGGCCCGGCTCGCCCGGTGAAATACCACGACCACACAGAAGACAGGCGTGAAGTGGAAGCAATTCCGCGTTTCATCTGATGAGTGTGCGTCCCGGAGGCCTAATTTAGTCCTCTTTCTTTTCCCACCTTTTTAAGGAAAGGATGGGAAGTGGAAGTGGACTTTCCAGATGAGAGACATGTGCTATTGCGTATGTCTATGGGCAACGGTCACTGCGCTATTTCAGCGATTTCAGGTGGCCGCTCGCTCGTTTACCACCTTATGGTATAAAAAACCCCTACAAAAAATTATTCTCTTTGCTCTACCGCATTTAAAACCTTGAGTTTTCTTTAAGTTTTGAAGTCAATAAATAAAAGGATGCAGAATGTGTCGTATGAAAAAGGAGAGACTAGTCAGCCTTGGTTAGTATTGATGATAATAAAACACGTGTGAAGTGACCTTACTATCCTTTTCAATCACTGATTTAATTGAAATATATAAATAAACGCCTCTTACATTTGTATCAGTCAGTTAATCCTTTATTATTAAAAGTAATCACCGATTAATCTGTATTGAGATATGTTTTGTATTAGTATTCAAACAATAAGTTTTGACATATGTAAAGTAGTGACAACGCCATCTAGCGATTCTTTTTTACCATTTGGAATTACGGGAAAAATTCGACTCCTGCGCACGCTTTCCTCTACTTACATCCAACTTTGCATGCAAGTGCGTAGAACATGAACATAAAGTTTGAATGTTATAACACAACTTACCCCCTTTTTCCTCCATGTTTCCTTGCGTTTAAGGCGAGGCAAGCTATAATACTTGCTAGCCTCGCCTTCCGGTATATTGCCTAAATGGCGATTAGGCATTATTGGAAAAACAATATTCAGTCACTTTAACAACACATCACTTCCAAAAAGTTTTTATGTAAAGAACTTCACGTCACATTTTTAATTAATTCATTGTAACCTAGTAATGACTAATATACGTACGTAGACACTAACATACGTTCGTAGTAATACTATATTGATAAAATATTGGAAAAGGAATAAAAAATGGCGAATCCTGCAAATGCTATCAATAAACTGTTCTATTTGTGTAACACACAAACTAAATAGAATCTTGGTTATTTCAAAACGTCCACTCTTGGTGAAGATAACGTAGTTTTAACATCATTTTTGTTATACCGTAATCTATATAACTGATAACCGATTGTTACTGATAATCAAGATTCCTTTTCACGCATTATATTGTAGTGACTCATTTTATTACCTATGATATACAAAAAAAAACATTACCCTAAAGTCTTTCGGCTTTAAATAAAAATGAAACTGCAAGCATGAAATATATCACATTGTAAACGTCATTGGATTTGAAATTGGTGACAATTTACGAGTCGATAGTAATTTAACCCCTAGTAGCCTGATTTACATACGAAAGTATTTTTTTTTAATATTACTGTGTTTGCTTCATAAAATAAAACCATAATGAAATTTGTTTTTTTTTTTTAAATTCGTTGCAAATAATATTATACAACAGTAAAATAGGTACAGCCAACCTATAAAAAAACTAACAGTAATGTGAACATTCGGTTTAAAAGATTGGTATCGAAATTGAAACTCTAGGTTAATAAGGGTTAAAGTCAAAAGGTTTGTCATGAAGACCATTTGTGATATCAGAAATACTCATCAAACCCAGAAAAATTTATATCTCTCATTCTAATCATATCTAGCTATTTGACATTAACTTCGTTGTCAAGAACATGTTTATAAGATTCTCCCTACCAAATAGATGGATTTTTGTCATCAGACTTCAATATACAAACCCTTTAATTAAATGCATAACGGTTTTAACGCCTACTAAAAATGCGGTCAAATAAGCAAAACCAATCGGTATTTTAATAGGAATTTTAAACTATTATATTAAAATGTAGTTTGTAATCTTTAAATTGATTCATTTACAATAATTGTAGTTAACGCAAATAAATTTAAAAGACAGAGTCTTTTTAAGAACATGTATATAACAACTTTTATATTGTGTTTTTCTTATTTTAGGGCATTACATAAAACCGGTATCCGAACATCTTCAGTCACAGATATGTCTTTTGTAATACATTTAAACATGCTAATTAAAACCATAGCAATCGGGGACAGAAAACCGTGGAGTCGACCGCACCTAAACATTTTTTAAATAACACGACCGGGCTTGTGTATTCGTTATTAATTATCACATAAACAAATGGCCTCGTCTGTTTATTATTAAATCACGACATTAGTTTTATTAACTTGGTTTTGTAAGTATACCACTGAATGATATGCATATTAGAAAATGTAGCTATTCTGTACCAATATCCAAGTAATGGAGTTAAAATTTATAATAATCTTAGAACGATTAAGTTGCATTTCTTAGGTTGCGTCCACATCTAGAAAATAACGAGCCGCTTCGAACAGTTCGTTAACATCTGGGTTGTAGACGCACCCTTACATTGCCAAGAGGTTTAATGTCCTAATTAATCCTATAATTTTATCTTCCGTTGATGAAAACTTTAACAATATTTCAAAATATTAGAAAGTGGCATATGATTGACGTTGTGCAAGTTTGGAATAAATAAATAAAACTCGTATATACTAAAGTCATTTGAATGACATTAAAAATCGATTCGCAATGGTATGTGACAAAATGAAGCAAGTCGGTAAGGGGCACAACTCAATGACGTAATGAACTACTGGTTTCCTTTTAGTTCTTTACTATGTTCACTTTAGTAAGTCTAAGGAGGTTTGATTTTTAAGAAAAAAAAATAATTCACAAATCAAAGGTACTGGCAATCAGAGGAATAATTTCAAACTTTTTAAGATTCTTTTTCCCGTTACAAGACAAATTCATTGACAACTTTGTTTTAACGCTTTATAATATAATTAAGATTTAGCGCTGTCTGGGCTTTATTAACTACGCTGGCCCAATTACGTAGCGATAATTATAAATTAACTGAACAAACAAGCTTTAATTTACCTATCCTCAAAGTCATATTGACTAGGTCAGATTTCATTTGAAAATGCCATAACAATGAATAAAAGATTGTCGTTGTTTGAGCGATATTTATAACTTCAACACCATACAATCTCATGGTCAAGGTTTTTACAATACTCATTTCAATAATTTACTGCATTCAAGCACAAGTCATTTTAAGTTAGATTTCTACTGCCGAAATACCTGTATAAAAACAAAAGTTATTGTATAGATGTTTTAACAGTAGAAGACCACGATTAGAGCGCTAGCTGTATTTGTCAGGGACTGCAAACCAATGTCACGTGTGCCTTTTCAGGGACTCGAAATTTGGGCACGTCATTGATCACAAAACTTATTGTGCGTACGAAAAATATTGCGAAGATATAAGTAAACATTTTGCATTGTTCCCCAATGATCACAAAGTCAAAATTATTTCCTAACACGTCTATGATATTACTAAGAAAATTGGCACGTTGATATGTAAAAGTTTAGCATCCCCGGTCTATGTAAGGAACTAAGAAAGAGAGTGATCTTAAGCCGTTAGTTATTCAGTAACAATCGGTTTCTGGTAACATATAATAGGTATTTAAGATATACACAAATCACATTATGTAATGGCTAGCAAATATCATATATATATAACTGCACAACACAAATTACATATACAACTGTATCTAAACCAAATCAAACAGAACTAACGTTATATTAAACACAAATCGCGGACACATTCACTGAAAGGACATCGACTGAAAACTAAACGAAATCTACTGGCGAAGTTATATCGTTGTGCATACAGACGTCAGAGACAGGTACCGTTAGAAAAAAAGACTGAATGTTAAAAAAAACAATAAAAAAAGTGTCATTCCAATCGCCTAGACGCACAACCGCAATATCATGAACTGATTATTTTTTCTTATCTGGTAAAAAGTCCATTGCCTAGTATACTTATTATAGACTATTATAATATTTTGTTAGGCACAATTTGTGCACTTACCAAGGGTTTCTGAAACCAGTATCCTCTTAAAACATATTGTTATCTCTGTTTTGTCAACCGAATCTATGTCGAATGAAAAGTCGATGAAAAAGGTTTAGAACTTTTTCTTTTTTTAATAAAGGTCAATGTTAATTCTTTTATAAGGAGGTTTCGCTAATGCTTTTGCAAACCCTACTCGCTTATCTAGAAACGGTTGTGTACATACCGTACGAACGTAAACCCTCAGTCTCAGGCGAGTACGACTACGAGGAATCAGCTGATGGATACTTGAGCCGGTACACGAATAAGAATGTAACCACCATACAATTACGAGCGAATTTCCTGTGAACATTCCTCATATCGATTTTGTAAAACTTGGTAACGAAATAAGTAAAAATACACCATTTTTTGAAACCTAAAGCTATCCTTTTCTATTATACGGCGAGGGTGATATAAAAGAGTGAGTAAATTAGAGTATCAACTTGAAAGTTCGTTTTGTACTTTTTAATTGTATCTGATAATGATATGCATTCCGTGGTTACGCATATCATTATTTGTTTACCATTGCATAGACGATCTGGGTACTAACCAGACCAAATAAAGTCGGAAATATTGTAGAGTTATCTACTAAAATTGTTACTTACAAAGCCACTTTTCGCTTTCTCATGGCGGGACATTTTTCTGTTGTTAACATTCGACCGCACCATTCTGCAACAAAAATAATAAAAAAAACATAAATAAAAGGACCACACTAAATGGAAGTCAGTAGTCTCTGCCTACTCCTCTGGATAAAGGGAGTTATATTGTTGTTATAAATTTCATAAGCATTTATTCTTATTAACAACAGATTAAATTATAGAACTCGGATTTATCAATAAAACGATTGATTATCCTTACGTATGTACGTTCTAACAAATCGCATATACGAATGTAGCCCCAGTACATTTCTAGTCCTGAATATACTGATACACAAAGATCTTCAAAGATCCGTACATTTTAAACCGTTCGATTTAAACACGATACCTTTCGCTAAAAAGATCCATAAGCTCTCTTTGAATGTGATACGAAGACTCTGTCATCACTAAAACTTTCAACACGCACTTGTAAACACACGTTGAGCTTAAGTGGTTGCACTAAAATATCTGAACTGAGAATCTTGTGTCTATAAAATCGCTGGGAACCTAAAGTTATCGAACTTCTTTAGTTTAGAGAGAAACAAAACAAAACACAGTGTGTTTAGATCGCGACTGAGACCGCAATCGAGTGTAGTTTCATGTTTCTCACGTAATATTGTTTGTATTTTGGAATTCGAATATTGATTATACATAACATATCCTAAGTAATGTTGTTTTACTTAAAATGCTTATCACTATTATGGCCACACATTAAGTGTGAAAGCAAAAATACATACAGAATTTGTAAGGGTAAAATTCTACGAGAAATAATGAGTTATTATGCCCATTGTTACGAACCAGCCCCTGCTATTCTTACATAGGCATCTTTTTTAGTAATGAATCTCCCTAAATGCAAAACGCTGAACTTTGTTGGAATATTGGAGAAAAATAATTTCATACTAGGGATGCCTAAATACTGCTTAAGGGACCTCTAAATTTAAGGGATGGTAGGTAAAAATAGCTGGCAGCAAAGAAGAATATCTTCTTTAAAAACTGAGTTACATGCCAAGAGAAGAGTATTAAGATCGGTTTGCTTGTTTTTGTTTTAATGTTAAATTTAAATATGTCATACTAATATTATAAATGTGAATGTTTAGATAGATGTTTGTTTGAATGTATGTCCAGAATGGCTGCTTGGATCTCGCTGAAATTTTGCTTAGATGTACGACATAGTCTAGAAGAATACTTGGATCACTAATTATGTTTTTTTTTAATTCTGGGGAGTCACATGCAACAGCAATTCTTAAATATTAATGACATAGCAGTGGATTATAGAAATACAGCATTAAATACATTACAATTTCACATAAAAATGTTTTTTTTTTGCTACAAACACACTAAATAACCTTTATTTTCCTTTAAAATGCTCTCATACCAAAATATTTTACATACGGGTTATTCAGCTATGTACATTGGCAGTATTGTTCAAAGTTAGAATTACTCTTAATAACATTGGCTAATTGCATAACTATTGTTTTCTTTAATGTAATAAACAAAATAAATCAAACCATTATTCAACAGAACTAATGCTTTAAAATACTTGATTACTAAATCCATAGTTTAAATATCAAGTAAATTGATAATTGACACCTTGAAATCCTATGTTTTCCTTATTATGTATATTGTCATTGTGTCACATAAATTTGTATTTTATTAATAAATCTCAACTTTAGCTTTGTTACCGTTATAACTTAGCATTTTATTTTTAAATAACAAATGTCAATAAATGTATTTTGCTATGCATCAACTGTAACTTCCTCCGCAGTAAATTAAATGTAAGAAATATGAAATTCTTATGTGTATTACAGAGTGCAATTTAACTCTGTACCGAATTTTATCCAGATATTTTCATTGTCTTTGGAATTATAAGGTAAATATCTATACATCCATCCATTAAAACTATCACTTACAAGTAAAATTCCATAATTTTAGCAATTAAATAAACTTTTGGTTAGAATGGAAGTTTAAAACTTACCTTTATATTTATTGAAATCCAAAAATTTTGTTAAATGTCTCAAAAAGCTTTTTAAATTTACAACATATCTTTAATTTGTGTTTACCAAATAATTGTCTACATCTTCATTCATCTACAATAATGTTTTAAAATATAACAATAAAACTTTAATGATTTTCTTTCATTAAAATATTTGTATTAAAATCAAAAACTGTTTAGTTTAAGTTTATATCGCATTACTCGCTGACTAATGTTTCCGAATTCCGAAGGCTGTGGCGCGCCAAATGATTTCAACATATTAAGGTTGGCACAAATAGAAGGCAAAGTTTTGACAACAGTTATAATGATATGAAAATCGCTACATATCATCCTAAATTGAAAGAAATAGTATATTCATCGGTAGTAAACTTCTTTTTGTCAGTATTTTTATGAGTTTTTACTTTATGCGGCTTGCTAAAACAGATTTTCTATCATAAAAAGACAAAAACATGATCGTAGTAACTGCAAAAGTAGTATCATCGGTATAACCTAAACAAACATTAGTGATAGTGTGTTTTATCTTATGTTAAGATAAGAACTAGATAGTGAGTCTATCTTACCACTAAGTATATGCTGATTTATTTCCATACAATCCCGTAAACATCACTCTTTTGATAAAAACATGATAGATAACACAACAACGGTCATCACCACACATTAACTAGTGATGCGCTTTACTTTTTTTAAGTACACGATTCGATTTGACTAGTGATGTACCCACAGCTTGAATTTTTAAGATGGAGCACGAGAGCACGATGGAGTTTTAAATGTAGTAAAACGATAAATCTTTAACCATGGCTGATGTGAACACTCACGAAATGATAGTTTGTTTCGATTCTTCTAAGACTTAAATTATTTTAAAGACCGTAACTAAATCCAGCAACCCGAAACCGATGGGTGAGTGTAATCGTGAAAACTTTTTGATATCATGAAAAGTGTTGTTCTAAATTTAAAAATCTCTCGTAATCGCCTTTTCTGTTTTGTTTTCTTTATTCAATCTGTCATTAATTTGCCTTGGTAGCATTTTGCTGATTCACTAAAATTCTTACAGGTTTTCCTGGCTCAACATTTTCCATCATAAACAATACAAAATTGCCTATTATCAGTAATGGATAAAAGTCAAGATAAGGCGAAGAAATGCTTCTGTGCAAGATGTTTTCTTCCGGTTGAAGATGAAGATAAAGTGGACATAGAGGGACAGAACTTTCACAAGATATGTAGCATGTGCTGTAAGTTACAAAACTTATCAAAACTTTTAATACATATTTATATGGTCTCTACTTTGTTTTATAATAAAACTGGTGGTCTTTACTACAGAAAATGTGCGTAACATGCTGTTTTTTTTCTTAAGTGCCAAGTGGTATCTTTATCCTTCCCTCCTTTTATCTTGTAACTGTTCCCTGCTATGCATTTTATTCGGTGTCAATAAGCTTTTGGGTTGGCTTACGTTTAACATTAGACCAGTTGCGCGCTCATTCGTCTCTTCTTGCTACCACAAACACATGTTCCAGGCGTATGTCGAAGGATTCCATCAGCTGTAAAGATGTTCTACGGCCACGTATTCTGCAACGAGTGTTTCAAGACTCACGTGCTATGCAGATTTAAAAATGATGCCCCCCACGTTCACTCTAATAGCTGGTGGATGCAATGGGCACCTGGCCCAAAACCACCACAAAGTAAGTGAATGGTTTCTTTCGTGTATGTATCGTTTCGTTTCGTCTTCTGTGTACTCATCTCTCCTATTTACTTCACAACTATATCGTTTATGAATGCAACTTCCAGTTTTTATCTCGATATTTTTAACTAGGCGAAAAAACTTCTCAAGACGGAAACACGACAGTACCGAAAAGGTCGATTTGCTCACGTTGCTTGCAGCCAGTAGACGACGACAGTAAAGTTGAAATCGGCGGACAAAGCTTCCATAGCCAGTGTGCTAGATGCTGTAAGTTGTCTTTAATATTATTCACATTGTTTATCTCTTAACTAAATCCATACATGTCTTACATAAACATTGTAACAGCTTAACTTGAGGACTTTTTTTGTATTTATAAAATCTATTTACTTTAACAGATTTCTGCCATGAAATTCCGACTTCTAAGCTCAAGATTTACTATGGGCAAGTTTTCTGCGAAGATTGCTTCAATCGTCACGTTCTCAATCGTGGCAAGGACAATCCTTCCGATTTCTTTAAGCATTGTTTCGAGCACTGGCAGAACAATGCTTTTTTCGCTGAGAATATGCAACAATTTATGAATGGGAGCAAGGAGAATGCTCCATTTATATTCATGATGCAAGGCCCCCAACCGCCTTTCTGTCGTTGCGGCACCGGACCGCAAGAATGGTTCCAGCAAAATGAACCAAAGAAATGTTAGTAGGCTTTATTTATCATATTTTTATCGTACCTAAACTCCAAATAGTTTTAGATGTAAATTCTAATGGGTAATGGGTAGTTAGTATTTGGCATACATATAGCTCAAGAACTAGAGAATTTGAAGTGGTTAAGCACTAAAATTCAGACACGACATATCACTATGGTATAATAGTAATTATTTTGTCTGTAGGTGCGTAATGGTTGAAAATGAAACATTTTCACAGCACCGGCCACATATTCTACTGGTGGGGAGTCTTTCGGCACTTGTGATATATCATTTGAGTTTTGCACAGAAGTATCGGAAATACCAAGCCGCGCTTTTACAGAATCAGCAAATGAAGAAAATTTTGCCGTAACCGGTGCGATGCAAAAAATTGAAAAGCTAACAAAATACCTACAGAAAAATGACTATATCACAAAAAACTGCAAAAAATGGAAAAACTTTGTTGATTTTGATGACAAGGTTTCAATTGAGCCTAAAATTGATGAATCTATCTCCGGTTGGATCGATTTACAAGATCGCAAAATGGAAACACAGCAATGTCCTAAGTGTTTGTGGCAATGTGGTCCTATTTATGTTAACAGTGATTATTTACAGAATGAAATTGTTTGTGGAGATTACTAATATTTTGAAATAAAAACTTGTTGAATCTCCTTGTTGAAAACTTATTTAAACTAATATGATGAAAAGACGGTACCTTATTAGAAGTCTTCGAACGACGAGTAGTGAGACCAGACAGAGTCCAGACCTTCTCGGGCTCTATCAATGAGTGGGAGTTCTCGAACTGTAGGAAGAAAAAGTGGTGTGGGTACTAAAAGTTTTTGATGAAATCTGACCACAGGCTAAAACTTGGTTCATTTTGTCAAGTTCACTAAATAGGTTCCTTTCATTTGTAGGTAGGCATATTTTTTCAATCTACTCATTTTAAAAACCTCGGATTCTACGGAGTCTATCGATAATGAATATACTCTGCGCTGTACTTGTATTTTCATCTGTTTCCTTTACGTCTTTGACAAAAATCTGTAACGATTTCGTGCTGTTTACTCTTTGACAGCACCAACAACATAAGTAAAATTGTAAAATAAATTCGTTTTACAAATTCCATAAGATAGGTGTGGCACAACATTTCTTATTAGAAATTTGTATTTTCTTAGTACGGAATTAACAGAAACAAGTAAATTTAAGGAAGGACCAGTGGTTAGAACGGGATTTACACTGAAGATATTTCAATTTCCTATGTTTCGGCATCGACAACGAAGGCGGGGTCTCTACCATACAAGTAAATAACATACGAAAATCATGTACGGACGAAAAACTCCATCGACTTATCGTTCTACACCGTCAGTTTATTCACACTATACGGGAAGGTATGTTATATTTATTTCCTAGTTATTTAATAATATTTTTTGAATTCGTGGGATTACTTCAACAATATAATTTAATGTCTAACATTATAGGTCATCAACAAACCTTCGCTCATCAAAATCTGTGAAGTCGTTACGTCTACCATGGTACATGAAACCTATTTTACACGATGCATTCCTTCTCGACCTTCAAAGAGGCTCCTTACTCACGGGTTTCGTTTCAGTTGTAAGTTGTAAACATTTTTAGTATCCGAACAGTTTAACCAACATATCAGTTGTATGCGAAAAATTATGATGACACTGAATTTGAAACTTAAACAATTAATTTGTGCATCATTACAATGTCTACAATCTCTAATAGGAGTGATAGTACAAGTTGAAATATAAAAGTTTTGCATGGACATGATTTTTCTACATTCTTTTACATTTTTATTTTCAGTTCATAGCTCTCTTTACATTTGCTCAAAGCATATTTGACTTGTATTGCTTGGGCATGGCAACACCAGGAGCAGTACATTATGGATATTATGTATTTAGTTTCCAGTTTGTATATGTCGGAAGTGCCCCTGGTAAGATTTTATCTTAATTTATTCATTATGTACAGTCAAGGAAGTTAATTTCTTATTCAGGTGAAATGTCAGGAACATAATAAAATTAGGTTGAAAACCTAACATTGCAATATACATATGTGTTATCAGATGTATAATATTTGGTCCTAAATGAAAATGTAATATATTTATTGTACATTATGTAAAATTAAGGAATGTTTTCTTTCAAACTTGTACTTTATACAAGTGACATTATCTATAATAAGTTTTATTCATTTTCAGTCCGCAATGTATTAATTGTATTTTCGTTGTTTTCCTGGATTGGATCTGTGGCTGTACTTATAACAAGTATCTTGCTAATTGTTGCATTAAGAAAAGTGAGTACATATTTACATTTTTGATATTATAAATCCTCTAAAATTTCTTAAAATTATGTGCCTTTAAGATTTTTATTTGTAATATTATAGATTAGTATTTGCATTTATATCACACTCACAAATCATATATCATGTAATTTACACAATTTAATTGTATTTCTACATTTTACATAATTTTCTATAACATGTCATTTTCATTTCATTATTGCTGCCTATTTTAAAGCTAGTAAAGACTGGAAAAAATAAGGTATCATTTAATCATAATTTTCATAGCTGTATTCATTTTGATGAACAATTAATTGTTGTTTAAGGGGTGTAGTAAATGAAGTAATTCTCCGGAAAGGTTCTCCATATTGTTAACATAGAATTTGACTGTATTGACATTCGTATTAATACACTAACTGATGCCTGATACTCCTTCCAGTGGAGTAAAAAAAAACGTACTTGCCTATGTGTTCTTCCAGACTATGTTCTACATCTATGCCAAATTTCAGCGACATCAATGCAGCCTTTCTGGACAAACCTTCTAATAAACATCCTTCTATATATTTAAAAATTTCAATTTATAATATTAGGAAGAGTAAGATGTATTAATAAAAGTGTCAAGACTATTGAATCATATCATTAGTAGAGCTAGTATACTTGCATGGTACACTTTGATCACAAGCACAATTCTATTATTCAAAAAATCAAAGTACATGCTAAACTTTACTTAATTTGTCTTCAAGGAATACGAGAAGAAGATTGTACCATGGCTGTACACATTTGGTGTGTTCATACTGTTCCGTACAGTTGCGTTTATATTTGCTGCAATAGTCAATGACATGATATTCTCCTACAATGTCCTGATGTGCCTCTGCTGGGTTGTGTTCTCTATTGTGGGCGTTTATGGCTGGCTGCTTGTCTACAGTCTTTATTTAGAATTGGCTGATTTGACTAAATTGGAAGATCTGGCTCATTTAAGGGTGAGTTAATTTTTATTTTGTTAAAGTGAAGCATTATTTAAATGTTTAGTTATAAATTTTTCTCATAAATATGTTTCCGAGCTAGTAAAAAGTTTTCTTATTAAGATGGCATCTCACATTGAAGTTACAACTATGTCTTTAATCTTAATTAACTAAGAACACTTAAGTTGTATACATTATTTGTGAATAACTCATATTATACTACACTTAGGGATGCTTTTAGTGGCAGTCAGTGCTAAAAGTCTAAATTAATATAATTTCCAGATGGGCACAATGGCATCATTGAATGCATCACTAGCGGGCTCCAGACCTACGACACCTCACAGCACGGTGTCTACTATGCCAGCATCACAGATATGATGCGAGGAGTCCGACAGCCAACAGGCTGCGGAGGTACAGCCCCTCACTTCCGAAGGTGGGTTTGAGACACCAGTGTAACACTGAAATTCTAATTGTTTTATACATTGTATATCCAAACTCTTGTAAGACATATATTGCCATCCTTTTTATCCTCTTTGAAAGATAGAGATAGCTATATTGCTTGAATACATGTTTGTCCATTACTTTATTGACTGCACTGACATTTTTACATTACATTAGTTGATTCCGACTGTAATGGGGTGAAACAGTTGAATACTATCCCTATCTCTTTTTTTCAAAGAGAATAAGTGGGATAGCAATATAATCACAATCCAGGTTTTAAGTCTATCGAGATCTATTCACTCTATATGTAAATATTTTGACTTTACAATATAATTTGGACGAATCAATTATGGAATTTTTCATATCATATTTCAATCTTTTGCTAATAAAGTTTACATATGTCTGTATTTATAAAGGACTGAATTGGATCAAAATCGTACAAAAGAATATTTGTAACTTAATATTTAAGAATATAAGTGCACTTAAATAAATCATGTAAAATCAATGTAAACTTATGAATGTAAGTTTTCACTGCAGTAAATACAAAAAAATTGTCATCCTTTTATCTCTCACAAAGTTTTTGTAATTTGTGGCAGTGAAAACTCACTTTTACTTATACAATATTTTGTACTGTATATTATTTTAATAAGTAAATATATCGCTATTTGGTAGTCAATAATTTATAGTTTAGGTTTAAAAATATATTAAAGGATATATTTTTAAACCTAAATAATATCAGAAAATAAATGAGCCCTTATTTTGTTCGTAATATTTCGTCCATTGAATTAATTAAGAATAGATTTACAGTAATTAGTTTTTAGAATTAAAATAAATATTCTATTAATACCTTGAATCTCTTTTACATTAAATATGATTTATATTTTCGAAACAAAAATAGGTTTAAATTCAAAATGTTCTTTTGTAATACAAAGTAATTAATATTAAAGGCTACGTTACTTTAAGAAACTGTTATTTGTCATAGAAAAATTTAATGTTTATCATGTAATCACTGCCTTGTAACGCAATTTAAGTCTTATCTCAATAGGTTTAGAATACAATTTAATGTAGCAGGTTTCATAACATATTATTTAAATATTACATCAGTATTTGTAACAATTTAAGTTCATTTGAAAGTCAATATTTTTTATTGATAGGTTTTTCTTTGTTTCGCAGATAAAAATATTGTCTGTATATTTTTACTATTGATTTTATTAGAATCAAAATGCATTTATTTTATTTTTATTATATAGCTTGTGTCATGTGTATTGCGTATAACACGTTAAAGTACGAAATAACCGTGGGTTTCTGAGAAATTCTCTGTATAAAACATATTGTCATCCCTGTCATTATCTTGGACAAAACAGAGAAAACAATATGTTTTAACGAAGATGTTAGCTTAGGAACATAAGTCTGTATGTTATTAAGTTTAAGAATACACGAAGCCGTCCGATATTTTAAGTTGTGTAAGGAATTTTATAATTGGTATGAAATAAATGCGATTTTTAAGTTAATCGTCTTTTATCAGTGCAGTGAGGAAAGTCATCTACTATCCCACGATGTTTACAAGTTTTGTTGTAATTACACTTTAAGAAACTGTTACTTATCATATTTGGGCTTTGGAATAATAAATTCAATTCTAACCGTGGGTTTCTGAGTCCAAAACATATCTTATACAGAGATTTTGGTGCCAGAAACCCACGGTTAATGTATTATCTGTAGTAATCATTCTTTACAATTTATGACAAAGTTAGCTTCGAAAACATTCCTGAAGCTCCACCATTTGATAGTTCAATGTTTTCACACAGGACAATAGTAAAACAATAAATAAAATTTACAATATTTTATTATAACACTTGAAATGTAGACATAAAAACATAGATTCTTTGTACATTATACTATATACCTGTAATGTACGCACACCTTGCCAGAGTTAACATTACCTCAGTAATCGTGGGTTTCCGAGACCAAAATCCCCGATACATATCGTCGTCCCTCTCATTATCTTCAACAAAATAGAGAGAACAATTTTTATAGAGGGATATTGGTATCAGAAACCAACTATAAATATTGCAACTTTATAAGCAAATAACAATTGATATAAGCTATATATTTGGATGTTATAAAGCTGTATCTTATTGACGATATAAATGCATTATGACTAAGATGATTTGTGATTTTATGAATAGCCACAAAACAAAAATTATTCTGACACGTTGAATTGGCTGATATTTTTTTAATACTAAATATCTCGTAAATGAAATGAAATGAATCGTTTGTGATAACTTTTTATCACATTTTTAATCTTTTAAGAAAATTTCTAATGTTGAATATATAAAATTCTAAGTAATTCAAAGCAAAAAAAACTGCAAAGAATACATACATAAAATGCTCTAGAAAATCCCGAGTATTAATCGAATACATACATATTTTTAAACGAAAAGAAATAATTTGATAATAATTTTAAGCCAAAACCATAATTCACAAGAATATTCAGAAACGAAAATTATGGCAACATTCAATTTGCCAGCTAAATGCTATAATTACATTTATTTATCACACATTAATGTATTAAAATAAAACTAAAATGATTTCAAATAATATCTGTCCTATCACTTGATCAATAAAACGAACTTAAAACAGATTAAAAAAAATACGAAGTTGTTTATTGGAAGCTAATGTTAGAAAAATTGAATGAAATTGTGTTTTTTAGGCTGGAAACATTGCTCGCCATAGCTATAAATATGCGCTGACGTCACGCGCGTTATTCGGACCGCGCTCGGTCGCGCGTACGTTGGTCGACCGACGAACTAAGAGATTCTATGGATGTGGTTCCATAAGCATAAATTTGCTTTATTGTGATATAAACGTGTCATAGTTCGTCGTCAGCCTAGCACTTAATACATTTTCAAAACCAACGTTCAGTTTCTAGCCTTAACGAATAAATAAAAATATTGCGGTATTATACACAAGACAGATTAAAAAAAATGTTTTAGCTATGGTGTTTAGTGAAGACTGCTACTGGGTTACCATAAATAATAAAGACAACATAACACCTAATGATATTCAACATTTTATAAAAAAATTACATAAATATGTGATTAATATACAACATAGAAATCTTACTTTATGTAATACTTAATTCATCAAATATAATATAAATAACCTAAAAGCAACAAAATGAGTTTTAAATCATGCTTATATACAGAAAATTTTAATGGAATAAAAAAATATTTTTTTAAATAAATTCTTTACCATAAATTCATTGAAAATGTACTCAAATATATTCTTATTTGGCATAATTTGTCAATTCCAATATAAAAGTAAGAAAAAACTTTTATGACAAGTATTTTTGATCAGTAAAAAAAATGATACTTTATAAATGTAGGTTGATTTTGTATATAAGAATAATGACAGATAAAAACCTATATTTAATACAAATAAAGGTGTAAAAACTTTAACAAACATTTTAAACAGGGGCTCTCCTATTAGTGGAGTGAAAATTAAATATTTAATTTCATTTGCTAAAAAAAAAATTGATAATAATTTTCAAATAACTTCGGATTTTCTATCTACTTATAAAATTTAATTTAATGATTCTTTTAGCATAGGCTAGTCGCATGTCACAGTGTGGTCTTGGGTTCAACTCGGGTAAGAGCTGTATGTGACCTAGCTCTTTAAGCCAAAGTGCTTACGCTTTATCCGGGCGTAGGGTCCTATATCCGGGTCCATTACGAAGTCGTAGAGGACACTGGACCAGCTTGTATGATGCGGCAGATCATCGTAGAACTCGGGCGCTATACGTTTAACCTGGAACAAGGATACCGAATAAAATACTAACCAGGAAAGGATATGAATTCCTTTTTCAACGATTAATTTCTATATTTTATGTTCTACTAATCAAATTATATCATTTGAAACTCATATTGGAGATATAGTGAAAGAAATTCGCAGCCATTTTATAGTGGCCATCTTGGATTTATTCACACTGTATTCTACGAGTCAAGCCCTTTATGTGATAGCCATTTTGTGGTAGTGACCATGTTGGATTAACAGACCTCTGGCAATCTGCGGCCGGGCACGGCGGGGAAGTCGTGGTGCTCGTTGTGATAGCCCACGTTGAAGGTGATCCAGTTGAGTGGGCCGTAGTACGAGTAAGTCTCGAAGCCTTTGCGGAACATGTAATGCTCTGACACGAAGTGACCTGATACACACACAATCATTAAAATAAAAAATGATAGATTGACTTCAAATATATTCCAAAGATGATTTGGAATTGGCTATTACCTGCTACTGGATGTATACCCATCGCCATGAAGGAACCCAACAATAAGTACCATAGCGCTCTCCAACCTGGCGATAAAAAACAATTTAAATTATTAAATTAGGTATTAGAAAGCAAAAGGCTAATGAAAGGTTTTCATCACTTAAATGTTATAAATAACGGCTTAGGTGAATAATTATCAATCTAGTAATGCATATTAACCTAAATAATAGAACAATAATTGACTCACCAAACAGTTCAACGACAACCGCGTCAAAGAACAGCTGTATAACTAAATTGATCATCTCAAGCGGTGTGGGCGGCTTCGGCCTGACCACCAGTGGACGCAGCGCGTAGAAGAACGGCTGCAGAAACAACCAGACTAGCTTCCCCCCAGTCGTACAGAACAACTTCGCCTCCAATAATGTGGGTAGATCTACATCTATCACTTCATCGCCTTGGTACTGAAAAATATAATGTTACTTGTAACTTAATTTAGCCTTTGTGTTCTTCCAGACTATGCTCTACACCTATGCCAAATTTCATCCGTTCTTTAGATATCTTCTTACAAACATCCATTCCTCCATATCAATCCAAATTATTTATAATATTAGTAAGTTTTCCTTATGTCTACGGTACGTCTCTACAGCAAGACGGAGAAGGTGCGAGGACGAGTAAAAAACGGATTACCGTGGGTTTATGAGACCAAAATCTCGGTAAAAAACATACCATTTCTGTCATTGTCTTTGACATATCAGAGATGACAAAATGTTTTAAACAGTGATTTTCTCAGAAACCCACGGTTAGTCAACCAACAGTAGCAGAATCCAAAGTAAAATATAAAAAGAAATTACTCTGTGGTGTTCCAAGTGATACTTCTTGAAGCTGATAGAAACAGGTACCCCAATCGGCAAGTTGGCAAAGAAGCCAAACAATCTATTATGCAACGGCCGATTGTGGCCGAACGCTAGGTTATGTGCGATCTCGTGTATTGCTGGAAACAAAAATACATTTTCAATATTAATTCCAAAAAATGTTTCTGAATTATATTTGCGTTATGCAAGAGCTTGAGATTTATTTTGATACAAAAGAACAGCAGTTGAAATAGCAGATATAATGTTGCAGTTTATTAGTAAAAGGCAGGTAAGTACCAATAGCTTTAATTTACGTAGACATTGTGAGTCATATCTCCCTATTCACGAAGATTTGTCGCACTTTACCACTAAGTCATAGACAACTTCTCATAGATAAGATAAACTACAAGTATTAAATTTATTATCAACGGAAATTTCTATTACATTCTATTATTTTTTGGTTAGTAATTATTTTGTTTCCTCCAATTTTATAAATTCCAATTTTACCGTGAAACATTCAACATTTCTCTGTAGTGTCTATGGCAGAACTGACAAAAAAACTCTTTCGTTTCATAGTGATCGAAATTAAAATATATTTTCGTCAACAACCCCAAAAGATTGAATTCAAATCACGATTATTTTAATTTGTATGCTAGTACGAAGAAAGTGTTTCAAGGTCGATTGCGTTCACTTACCTAACATGAGTGAATGATTGATGACACCACCAAAGCAGTAAGCAACAACGAGGAGGACTGGCCAGCTCATGTATTTGACTAGCGGCAGCATGAGCAGCTGCATCAGAACCATCGCCAACACCACCCATTTGAACAGAGGGTCGTAGCCGTACAGTTTCTTTATTTCGGGATATTTTTCTGTGAAATTACCAAATAAGAGTTACATAAATTAAAAAGATGACAAGATATGTTCGTGAGATCGGTAACATTATTTGGGATCGTGGTCAAGTTCTAATTTAAAGATATTACTATTAAAGTCTACGTATATTTTGTTCGCAGTAATGTTTCCGCATTCGCGGAGGTAAAGGTCCGTAAAGCCTAAGATATCTTTACCAAATTTTAATGTGTATTTTTACAAAATTGACGTGTACTCAATGAGGATTGTAATTTATGAAAATATCACTTAATACTTATTATGAATAAAGAAAGTTTATTACGATTTCATTACTGTTTGAGCTAACTACGTCACAATATTATCAAGTTCAGTAACACGTGAGAAATGATAACATTTTATATCGTCCGATATTTCTTTTGTTTTATAATAATAGCTGAATAGCAGTAATGTTTCATAAATCAAGAACTATGGCGCGTTTCCACAACGCGCGGACTCCGGTTACCACGTCCGTGTATTGAATCATGAGCTGTGGAAACACACCATAAGAAACAAAGAGAATCTAAGCATATTATTAATATTGGATGCGAAAAGAGGGATGACGTTTAGCCTATAACAATCTTCGAATGATTTCTCGTCAATTTCCATGCATTTCTAATTTTTCACGTGACGCATTACGATTCAAAGATCAAACCAAGATCAATGAATGCAAATAGTTCATTGACTTCCATTAAGCAATTAGTAGCCTACAGTAAAATGGACGTTAATTGATCTATGTACATCGACCACAATTGTAACGAAAATCGTAAGTTATTGCGATTTTGATTATGACATTGTTCGTTTTTTTTATAACAGAAGGGGGCAAACGAGCAGCGGGAACACCGATTTGTTCAACGACGCCCATGGACATCAGCAATACCAGAGGAACCGCAGATGCGTTGCCGGCCTTTGAGGTGGTGATAAGCTCGCTTCTTGAAGGACGTAGTGGTCGTAGACGACTTAGTCGTAGCGGTTTGGAAATACCGCCGAGGACAGACCATTCCACAACGCTGCTGTTGCGTTTATTTGTTGTTCGTTGATTTGACATTATTCGTCTGTTGTTCTAATTGTCACAGCTAATTAGAACAACTGACGAAAACAGTTACAAACATATCTTAATAGAAAAGAGAAGTAAGTTTTTTCATCAGATGGGTCAAAATATGAGCCAAGTCAAAAGTCTCGGTATACATGGTCTAACGTGAGAGATGTTGAGTCTGATTATTTTGACCTCAAGTACAAACAATAAACGTGATAGCCACGCTATAAAATAGTCGAATTATAAAGTGCCTACGTTGTTTTAATCGTCGAAAAGACGATTGTCAAATTTCAGCAAGATCAGTTGAGCCGATATAAAGATACCTTCAAACAAACATCCATCTATCCATTCATTCATCCATACATATATCTTACTGATATTAGATATTAATAAATGCGAATGTTTGTATGGATGGATGGATGTTTGTTTGAAGGTATCTCCAGAACTACTCAACGGATCTCGATGAAATTTGGCATACGTATAGAAAATAGTTTGGAAGAACACATAGGCTACTAATTATGGTTTTTTTTTTAATCCGTGCGGACTGAGTCGCGGGCGAAAGATAATAATGTTATATGGTAAGATGACTAGCTTCGTTTTAAATTAATGGAATGCTCACCGTTTGTATCATATACAAAACTTATGTAGTATCACAGAAGACGTAAGTATTTTTTTATCTTATCAGTATTCATTTACTCGCAATTAATTTGTACAAGATATTGTATCGATAACATGCTAATAGCTGATAACGATAGCACAGAGGACAACACATGGTCGAATGGAAAGTTTTCTTTTTGAAAATTATTTTGATTAAACTTATACTATCATGTTTATTAGGGTTCCCAACCTCGAAAGAAAAAAAACGGAACCCTTCTAGGATCACATTGTTATCCGTCCGTCTGTCTATCAACATACTTTTTTTCAAAAACGCATGAAGATATCAAGCTGGAATTTATATCAAATACTCAGGTCTGCTGTGCCTTAGTGCTGTGAAAAAATAAAACTTTTAAACCCGCGCAGTCAAAAGAAACGCAACGTCGCATATTTACGCAATTTTTGTACAATAAATAAACCAGCGTTTAATCCTTCTGATGTTAAATGGTGACCAAAAGATTGTACGCGGTAGCTTAGTATTTAAACTACGAGTTTATGATATTTTAAATTATGCGTTTTAATATTCCTACAAGGTCAATTGCCGCCTAAACATAGTGCATGATTTGCGATGAACTTATTACACGCACATACCACCAATTCAATGGACGAAGTGGATTATTAAAAAAATATAAAAAGATTTATCTTTAAAAAAACATATTTTTTAACCACAATCACGTAAATTAAAATTTCACCACAACTTTTTAATATATTATCATTTGTAATTAAAAAATGTCAGTAGATAATACAAATACACGTTTTTATCATTAACAGACAAAATGTGGATTAGTGCAAAATTTTGTGAATCATTTCAAACGAATATTTTAACCAACAAAAAGTATAATATTTAACAATTGCTTGTAACGTCTACAACGAGAAATCGCTTCATGAATTAATTGCTAAATCCTTGAGGCTATTGGCCGGCACGGAGTTTGAAAGTTTACTCATTTAGACCATTTTTTGTAATTTAGCTGAATTTTTTATATCATTAGGTGGCAAACGAGCAAGCAGCCACCTGGATTCGCCGAAATAGAGAAGCGACCGTTGTCCAAAGACATCGGCAAATGCAGATGCTTTGCCTACCTGTGCGTGTCCCCTTGCGTGAAATTCACTTCTCCCCATCCTTTCCTCATAAGGAATGAGGAAAAAAGAATAAAATTAGGCCTCCAGCATCATACTGGTACGAAACGCGGAATTGCTTCCACTTTACGCCTGTCTTCTGTGTGGTCATGGTATTGTACAAATGCAAAAAAAATCCTACACAACACCACATAACGAAATTCCAGATCCTCAAACCTGCGTTGATAAAATTTAATTCATAATGACTTGATTATATTTGTGCATAATAATCCTATTTGGAGATAGCAAATTGTCGCTATAGTATTATCTTTCCATACCTGTTATCGATCACGTAACCTTTTAGACAAACGTGTTACGTTAATCTTAATATAAATTATCTATAGCAAAATAATCCAAAGTCACCTGTACACTAATCACCTGTTTGACCGACAAATTTTATATATTCCCGTGAGTTTACACCGCCGAAGCATTAACACAATATTTATTACTAGCTGACGCCGTGACTCCGTCCGCGCGAAATTAAAAAAACATAATTTGTCTATGTGTTCATCTAGGCACATAGATAAATTATGTTTTTTTAATTACGTTTAATTACGTACATATATGGCAAATTTCAGGGAGATCCCTGCAGCCGTTCTTAAGATACTTTCTAATAAACATCCATCTATCCAAACATTCGCATTTATGATATTAGTAAGATTATCATCAACCTGCCCTTGTCCAGAGGTTCCCAAATTAATTTTCAAAACTTCATTGGTTTTGGTGCACCCCCATAACTAAACTGGTTCTTTATCTTTTGAACTCTCAACTTTTTTGAGTCTTCGTACACCTAAGTCTTTTGTGGACCCTAGGATTATCTAAATCGCTTTGAGTATCACTCGATTTTTAAAGAAACGTTTAAATAAAATTATTTTATAAGTCTGCGTTTTTTAGTTTAACAGTTCGACAGTTTTAAAAATACTTGTATTAATGATTATTATATTTATATTTCTATCTAAATAATAATAATTAAATATTTAATGACATATATGTTAAGAATCTATATAAACTTTAGGCAATAGATAAGAGAAGGTGCTGTCTCCTGAAACACAGTATTTGCTAGTTCAGGAGACAGAGCCCACAAAATTTTTGTGAAAATGTTTTTTTTTTTTTGTGTCAATAAAGAATTGTTTTTTTTTAATGATTAATAGTGGATGTTAAATTTTATCAGCAATTGTTAACTCTGTCATTGATAAAACTTTTTCCACTTAAACAGTGTCTTGTCTTGTCTTATCTATTTCGATAGTAGATTTGGCGATACATCCGGCCAGCTGGTCATACTTATCATCATACAAAATCATCGTCCTATACATATTACTATCAAATTAAAGACACATACTTTTTTATAACTAGCTGAAATCTGCATACGTAATCACCATAACAAAGGTAACAAATGCAAATGTGTGGATGGATGGATGTTTGTTAGACGATATTTCCACAACACCTGTATGAACGTGGATCTCGCTGAAATTTGGTATAGATGTAGACAAGTCTGGAAGAACACATATTGAGTTTTTTTTAATTCCGTGTTTACAGACCGCGCTAACGTTAATCAAAAATAAGGCCGGTTGGCTCAACTAGAGATTTTTTTTTAAATTCTGAAGTAAATAAAACGTTAAAAGAGGAATTTTCGAGATTTTATTACTATTCTTTTCTACAGACATTAATAACGCGACGTCGCTGGAACAAACTAGTTTTGTCAGACGGGTCTATTCGTGTGAACTGTGAACATTATTAATTAGCTTCAATTTACATACTAGCGCTTACACTTGAAAATATACAAGGCATTCACACGAGTTCTTGTGAGACGTATTTAGAGATAACTTCTGACGTATTATTTTGTTAGTAAGTTATAAAACTCCGTCATACATTACATATGTTATATTGTACTAGCTGCCGCCCGCGTCTCCGTCCTTGCGGTATAAAAAAAACATAATTAGTAGCCAAGGTGTTCTTCTAGACTATGTTCTATATGTATGAAAAATTTCATCGTGATCCATTCAGCCATTTTAGAGATACCTTCAAACAAACGAACATCCATCCATTTAAACATTAGTATTTATAATATTAGTATGAAGATCAACTTCAACATCAAGATCTTCTATCCTCTGGGCTTATTAGTTTTATCTATATAAACGTTACATGTAAAGGAACTTTCAGTTACTTGGATAGGCTGGACGATATGTTTCCTCTAACAAGATGGGCCGCTGATATTATGCAATGGTTACAGTAGTTCATTTTTCTTTTCCACTTCTATTTCCACTTAGCAATAAGTTCAACTCCGGATGCCGCTTTCTTTTGTATACCAGTCGGGCCAGTAGAAGACGCGCGACTTTATAAAAACAACTAACTGCAGTGTTGCTTCGAGTATAAACAGAAATACGAAAGTAGATCTCCATTCATCATGATATGGCCATTTTATCGCACACGCTTTTTATAAGGCAATAGTTATGTTTGTCAAATTTATCCTCGTTTGCAATGGAAAAATACTGTGAATTAAAAGTATGCATCATGTGCTATCGTGGTGCGTTCGTGTATAGAAGGATTATTGTTATTTCTATGACAATAAAGGTGTAACTGACGAATAAACTACTATAACAAAAATATATTTTCTTTCCTTAAACTTCGACTTATTACCAACTTCATCGTAAATACACAAGGAAATAGAATTTAAAATTTTCATTGGTCAAAACCATATTGTTTACGTAAGACCCGATTTCTTTGAAGTTAAGGAAGCCTCCTTTTACAATGAGGAGCGATTACTGAGTCTAGTTTTGTACCAACTACACGGTGGAATTGTGCGATATATCGTCGGATTTGTCATGCAACAATGAAAAGATCAATTTGTGGAGTGCTCACTCATTATTCTATTAGTACATCATAATGACATTGTTAATATCCTTGGCTATATTTGACACTGTGATTTTCATTGTATAGAAATATATAGCTATCTCCATTTTTTCAACAAGAATGAAAGGGATAACGATTATGAAATTATAAAATTCTCTTAATAATTCTAGGAGGACATAAAATTATTAATTTGATAGTCTGATACAATGGATACCTACTCTACATTTTTAAGTCTCTGTATATTACACAATCATTAAGTTAGAAATCAAACCCCAAATATAAGATCATCAGTATATCTACTGTGCTACTGACTCTCAACAAGTTTTGAAACATTGCAATGTAGTAGCCTGTCGTTGTACTAGCCAATTAGGATGTTAGCATACATTGGCTAAAGCAAACAATGGTAATGAGTTACAAGGAATTATCAAGTTACTATGACCATGTAGATATGAGACAATCAATTAAAGAAATTTTTCACATTTTGTTACAGTCTAACTGATTAATATACAGGTTAAATATCCTTATTATGGTATAAGGAAATTCAACAGCTAATTATCAAAAGCTAAATATATGCTGTCATCAATTTTGTTGCTTCTAGCATAACTAATGCTAAAGCCAAACTGTTAATGAATGGAATTAAAAATAAAACCGGGATTAAAATAAATAGTAATTTTATCTGTGCCAAATTTCAATAATAAACATCAAACCATTGCAGAGATATCAAGAAAATATGTTAATATACCACTGGAACTGTAAACAAACTGTGTTCTACATTTGTACTAACTTCCAAAAAGTTCTGTTTTGCCAATCTAAAGATACTTAGTAACAAACATCTATTGATTCATCCATCCATACATATGCATTTATAAAATGTGTAAGATTAAACCATAATCTAAAGGGAATTTTACCATGCAAAGAGTAAGCACTCATTATCCTTTCTTAAATGTTTTGCTCGCAATTGATGGTCACCCTATAATCACAGAATGTTTGAACAAGGGCCATATAAACTTGTAGTCATTTTTCCAAAGACTTTATTGCATTGATAAGATAAGCACAACATGCAACATAATCCAAATAAAACCAGATATTTGGATTAAGGCAATTCCTTTTAAATACTACATTACAAAAATATTTATAATTTACACAGATTTACATTCTCGGTATGTAGTCTATATTATAAATGCAAATATTTGGATGGAAGGATGGATGGATATTTGTGACAAGTTATCTTCAGAAAGGCTGCATGGATTTTGTTAAAATTTGGCATACATATAAAACATGGTCTAGAAGAATATGTAGGCTACTAATTAAGTTTTTTTTAATTTAATTCTGCATGGAAGGAGTCACAGGCAACAGCTAGTCTTAGATAAATGTTATACCAGTATATTTCTTTTATTTAATTAATGCTGATTTCTAAGGTTTATAGTTTATAGTAAAAATATATTATACAATAATAAAATATGGAAGACTGAAGAAGCTAAGTTAGAAATAAGTAAAAGCTAAGTAAAAAGAAACTGTTAGGAAGATGGGCTACAATTAAGTTGTGGTAACATTAAACTTATATTTCTTGTAGTAAATAATTATTACTCCAAGTTTCTTTATTACTCTTATAAATAATAATTCAAGGAGCCTTGACCATGACATTGATATGCAGGTTTAAGAGTAAAGTCTTTAGTAAAGTCCCACAACATTTAAGAAAAATCAGTTCATAAAAAGTTTGAAGGTTTTTGATAGAATCCAAATGATAAAAATGTGTGCTTTTGAAATATTGTAACTAAAGGAAAAACTATCACATAATTATTATAAGTAAAATATTCAAATCAAATGGTAAAATATAAATTCAATATGCTCATAGTTAAAGTAATTATTTAATATGTATTTGATGCTTTTTGAAGATTAAGAGATAGAAGATTAGAAGTTATTAGTTGTTAATGACAAATAACTAATTTTAGAATATGAATTTCTCATGAATTTGTTAACCTTAAACCTTGTGGGTAATGTTAATGTAGTGTATAGTGATAATACAATCGTGAAAAAATATTAGAATCTATTTTAGTAAGGTGACACACGTAACAGATAAACATTTTCAGCATCACGCCCATTCTTTGAGACAAACAATATGAATACAAAAATTAAGCCTGCAATAATATATTAAGATAACAAATATACGTGCAAAGGATCGTATTTAAACAAATATCGCTTGTCCTTTTAGTTCGAATTAGTTGAATTAATTTACATTAAGTGGCATCCATTTGAATACACTAAAATAAAATTTGCGGTTGAAACTTACCTAAAATGATCTTCCGGCGGCTAGCGTGTGGCTCCTCGGTATGAACCCATTCGAAATCATTCCGCGATACATGAGCTCCCATATTAAACACGGAAAACCGACACTTATGATAAAATTTAAAACATTATTTTTTTTCCAAACATTAACAAGTTTAAGCCCGGCAAAATCAAAAAACGGCAGGAACGATTCAATCAATTTAATTAACCACACGTGACGGTATTCGAACACACACCAACGAGAGATTAAAAGAAACTTGAGTAGTATTTCAGTGCTTTTAGGTTTCAAACGAAAAGTGTTAAAACGATAAACGATGAGGTCAGATAATAATTGACAAGCAAAAACGTCTCAATCAACTGACAGATGCCACAGTCTGACAATGACACTGACACACAAAGAGTATGACACACTTCGAGCTACCATCGAGTAACAAATTTTAAAATTGACTTAAAATCTATTTTACAATTTAAATATAATAAGAGTAGACATTAATTTTGAACTGTGAAAATTAGTGAAGTAAATGTATTTATCTATTGTGTTCATTTTTACATCATACAAATTAATATCTGCCTTTCAAACAGATTAAACGGGAAGGTTATTTTAATAGAATTATTTATTATGTTCAAAAAATATTCGGATCCAAAATATATAAGAACGTTAACGGTTATGATTATATACATAAGTGACTTTAATAGTTACATAATTCACATTCATATATTTTCACAAAGAATATTTTTTCCCTTTCCACACGAACGTGTATAATCTGTAGTTACCCCTTCCATAAACTTGACAGATTTTGCGTCCATAAACAAAAAATTGTCTTTCTGAAGTTTGTGTCTGAACATGGCGGTTGGTAAAAATAAAGGCCTATCCAAAGGCGGTAAAAAGGGCGTTAAAAAGAAGATGTAAGTTAGTAATAAAATCAAATATTTGTAACGAATATAGTGTTTTAGATATCTAAGCCTCAATATCTGATTTGTCACTGGTGATTGCTGTGATATCGGCGGATAATGTTATGTGTCTCGTGTTATGTTGTGTTAAAGTTTATTTCTTGTAAAGTATAATACTACTGCTATTAATCAGAGTAGTGATCACATTCGCCTATTCCAACGATCTATATAAAATGTTCATGTTACAAGTTTTTTGAATAAAACATAGTTGTTGCGAGGTTATAAAAACCTTAATTTTTTTTCAGCGTTGATCCGTTCACCCGCAAAGACTGGTATGATGTTAAGGCACCGTCTATGTTCACCAAAAGACAAGTGGGAACCACCCTTGTCAACCGTACTCAGGTCAGTTCTTTAAATTAAGGCACTCAGGTTGTCGTTCTGTATTCTATAACCTGTATCTTTTAATTTAACCACAGGAGGCAGTGAAAGTTTTGTTCTATGAACACGTGGGTGTCACTGTCCTGTAATTTTTAAATGATGATCCACCTAGCTCGCAATGACACAGAACTGATGAAAACATTTGTTCCCTTTTGATTTTATCACTGAAAAGATTATATATAACTTATTACAAGCTGCCTGTACAATGAATGTATTGCTAAATAGATTGTTTTATTATAGGGAACAAAAATTGCTTCTGAAGGTTTGAAGGGCCGTGTGTTTGAGGTCTCATTGGCTGACCTACAGGCTGATACTGATGCTGAAAGGTTTGTATTTTATGTCTAGTATTTGAACCAAGCACTAAAAACTTCATAGTTAAGGTTATTTTGAATGGTTATATGAAATACTAATAAAATATTTACCTTAAAAAAATACTTAACCTAAAATGTCTATTGCAGTCCAGCTATATGAAAGTAACCACATGGCTTTTGTATCGTTTCAAACTGCATAAATAAATTGCACCAACATGAAAACGGGCCTTTGCATTTTATTGGAAGGCATTTCATGTAGTTGTTACATTATTTTAAACAAGTTAAAAAGTGAAATTATTATACATAAAGTTTAACATTAGATGGGCATTGTTATAATTTGAAATTTGAGTTTTACTTCTGTTTACAAAATTATGTCGAGCTTAATACATACATCACAAATTAAATTCAAAATGCAATAGGTTATTTTTAGTAATAGTAGCATTTAAATATCGGAACACTGACGGCAAATTTGTTTTAGGTCTTTCCGCAAGTTCCGTCTTATTGCTGAAGATGTGCAAGGTCGTAATGTGCTCTGCAACTTCCATGGTATGGACCTCACTACTGACAAGCTCAGGTAAGTTTATCTTGTTTAAATTTTTTTTGCAGTCCAGCTATATGAATGTACTATTATTGTCTTCATATCGTTTCAAACTGCATAAATAAATGCTGTAACATGATAAAAATCTTTATTTTTTTAATAAGGATATTTATGTTATTGCTACAATAGAATATCTTTGAAATATTAACATATTTTATGCCAAAATGTGGCATTGAATGTGGTTGATTAATGGTTAAAATTCTTTTTCATTATTTGATTATTAATGTCTTAATATGTTGTTTGCAGATGGATGGTCAAGAAATGGCAGACACTTGTGGAGGCCAACATTGATGTGAAGACCACAGATGGATATCTCCTTCGTGTGTTCTGCATCGGCTTCACCAACAAGGACACCCTTAGCCAGCGCAAGACCTGCTATGCCCAGCACACACAAGTGAGTATCTATTTATACTATGATATACATTTACATTTTGTACAAAATTTTATAGACTACAAGCTTTTTGTCATGACTTTGTCTGCATGGAATTAAAAAACATACAAGTCTCCTTCTAGACTATGTTCAATCCAATGACTATAAAAAGTATTTGGTTTGTAATCAATTAAACTTTTTTATTTCTTGATTTCATGCACACAATTTTCCAGGTTTTTGAGATAAAAGCAACTTCCGTTGATATAAATTTTGTTGCATAGATGTGAAAAAACATAATGCTTGTCATGATAATAACATTTACTTGAAATGAGATGTATAATCTATGTATATAATTAAATTAATGTTAACTTTGTAATATAACAGATTGGATTTCTAGGTACGAGCCATCAGAAAGAAAATGTGTGAAATCATCACCCGTGATGTGACCAACTCTGAGCTGCGTGAGGTTGTCAACAAGCTCATTCCTGATTCCATTGCTAAGGACATTGAGAAGGCATGCCTTAGCATCTATCCTCTTCGTGATGTCTGCATCAGGAAGGTAATGATCAAAAGAAAATCTCTTATAGAAATACCATAGACCAACTGGGTTTCTGACATCGAAATCTCTGTCTAAAATATATTTTCATCCCTGTCTTTTATCTTTGACAAAACAGAGATACAATATGTTTTAAAAATGGATTCTTGATTTATCAGTGATGCACCCAATTATTTCACTTTTTTATGATGACACACTCAGCTCGCAATGATAACTCACATGATGAAACTTCATGTTCCCTTTTGATTTTATATCTGATGTTTTATTCCATTTAAATACTCCTTTCAACAGTAGTGCAATGCTAATGAGAGCTGTTTGCAGGTGAAAGTGCTGAAGAGGCCTCGTTTCGAGATCTCCAAGCTGATGGAACTTCACGGGGAAGGTGGCGGTGGCAAGCGTGGCGAGGCGGGCGACAAGTCCGACCGCCCCGAAGGCTATGAGCCCCCCGTACAAGAGAGCGTTTAAGTCTAATATACTTTTAAAAAACTGGATTTTTCGTTTTATTTACGACTCGCGTTACTTTCAGTTATCTATCTACAATTAATATTAAATCGTTTTTTATTTAAATTCTCTGATCGCATGACTCCAATGACTGATTTCATATTCACATATTGCAGGCTTGTTGATGGCTATTCATTTGCTACTATAGTAAGTAGAATAATGAAAACTGGGCTATGAAATAAAACAATATATAATTATAATTCTTTGTTTATATTATTTCATCACAAATCCTAGCATGTGCTTTAATCTTTTCTTGATTTTTACATAAAATCATTGGGTAAAGATTTTTTAGCATTTCTAGTCAGTTAATTATCTGCATTTTTCATAAATGTAACGCGGAAGTTTTATTTTAACTGGCAACACAACTATGCGATACAGATAAATATTAAAAAAAACATTTATTACTTTATAATATTAAACAATATTAAACAATTAGTACATATTATCACATTGTGCTATATATTTGGATAAAATTGGTTTATAAAATAAAATATAAGTAGACGAGAACAGTTTAAAATATAAAAGTAGGTATTCGTAATAAACTTAAAAAATAAAAATAATATTTACCTACCTATCTGGATTTATAAATGTGACTTAGGACTAACCAAAGTTACTCTAATCTTTTATGAAGGCTACCAGAAAGTGACTGAAAGTTTATCGTGATGGTTTATTTGTGTTAAGTGAAATATAAACAGCTTTCAATAACAGATGTGCTATACCCAAGATGAACTTTATAAAAGGTAGCAAATTGGTAAGTTTCTAATGCATTTTTATATAAAAAATAAATATAGTTTATCATTTCTTATTTAGCTTTAGTATAAAATAATGACAAATATAGAAACTGAAGAATACCTTCATCAAAGTAATAGGTTTTACAAAGGATAAAAATGGAATTTACAGTTAATATTGTCTACGTAGATTATTGTGTTCTTAATCTCAGTTGTATTTTTGTTAGACTTATATATAAAATAACATTCTGTCTATCTTGTCCATCACTGAACTTAGAATTTTTTTATTTAACGTGAGACAAAGTAAAAAAATAGATTTATAACAAAACCAAAGTGTCTAGATAATATAACTACAAGTAAAGGTTTATATTATTCTAAATATACTAACGATTTATGTTTTTCTTACGATTTTTGCTTTCCGATTACTTTTAATTATATTTTGTCTTATAATAACTTAAATTTAATTATTTACAAGTGGAATGTAATTTTAGTATATATTGTATACGCAGGAAATTACTAATTGTTCATAAATTGTTCATTTTCGACGAAGTTTCTTAAATAAAAATAATAGTTACATAAATATATGTAATACATTTCATTATTTAAATTAAACGCTTTCAAATACAGATTAAAACAAATAAAGAGATTCAAAAATATCATTGATTATTGTAGACACTACAATTTACGTCAAATGGTTCAGATCCTAGTTTTTGTTTGTCATGACTTATAGTCCACGCTTAGTTATGAACCGTGAATAATTTTTTAATAATTTTCTTAGGGCGCAGATTCATTTGTCGTTAGGTTGGTGCAAGATTTTTTGTTGTCTAGCTCTAATGCGTTGGGCGAAAGGCCTTACTTTATGTCACTGCGCTTTATAGTCAACTAAGTCCCCACATGACGCTTCATCGACCGATCATTTTTACTTGTCGTTAGCTCATATGCGGGAACTCCCGCTAATGAAATTACGCCCTAAGATCTCCAACTCAATGCTTTTTCATTATAGCATGGTGCGGTTTATTATTATTTTATATCTCTACATTGATGGGATATTTTTTAATTTCGCAGACATCGAATCAAAATGTTTTTAATAAATAAAAACTAATGCTTCTATTCCATGTTAGAAAAATCTGAGCGAGGGAACTGATCTTAAACATCACTATCCATGCTATATTGAAATTGACTGCTGAATAAATTTAACTATTATACTTTTAATAATTACAAGCCGTAAATAAAAGGCTAGAGATGTTCGATGAAAACCTAAACAAAAATTCCTTTCTCATGATAATTGAGGTTTAAGTTCTTCTTCGGTTATTTTCTTCGCTGTTGCACATGGCTTTTGTCTTCTGCGTACGAATAATACAAAGAGGCATATACCTGATACTATGAGAGATATAATGCAGATAACCGTAAGGCCCAGCTGCACAGCAGCTGTTGAATATGTGCCGTGATATATTAGCGATTTCAGAGTTTTTGGTAATTCATCCACGCCCTGTAAATTGAACGAACAATATTAATTATATTTAAATTTTAAATTATTAAATATAATAACCGATAAATTCGATCTCGAAGTGTCTTTTTCAATCTTGTTAAACTTTGGGCAATTGCAATATCGAAAAACAAGGTCTAGTGCACATTGGTGAATCGCATAATTTTTCAGATGAATGTTGAATGCGAATGTCAGATCAATATCCAGCGTATTCATATCTTGATCAGAGAATCGATGATTTTTTTCTCGATGTTCGAATGAACATTGATTAATATTGATTGTGCTTGATCGAGAAGCATTCTTTGTTTTTTTAATGTCACAGTCGCCAGTGTTGTCTTGGTTTATTAATACCTCTGTTTATACTTCTTATAAATATGTTAATAGTAGTTAGAGTCGATTATGATGAGTATTAAAATAATCTTACCATATCAATCCACGCTACAGGTAGGATAAGCCCGTCGTCCAGGAAACTTAGAGACGTGTACATCGATGTTTTCCTAACTTGAATGTTGAGTTGAAGTCTGTAATATTGTATTAGGTTAAACCTTTGTGTGCATTATAACACGGGCACAAAAACATGATTCTCATTTGTTATAAAACCAAATATTTAAATAAAGAATACTAACGTGGATTTGCCGGTTAGCGCGATGCCGAGTGTCGGATGAATGTCTAAATACGATATGTGCCGTTCGGGGTTAGGTTTGAGGCCTGTCACTTGTTCTCTTAGCATCGGATCTCCGAGGTAGAAGTGAGGGAAGGAAGCAAGAGCTGGAGCACCTGTGAAAGAATCCCTATATGCTATCAACTAATAAAACAACTAATTCGCAATCAAAAAAGACAGTTTGCCCCTCCATGCGTGAAATTGTAACGGCTGCACAATTCGGTCCCTGTTAACTCTTAGTCGGGGAATAAAGTAAATAATTTTTATGTGCCGTCGAGGACGTGTTTGAGTTTACTATATTGAAATTAACGTCTTTGAATGTACAGTTCCATTCAAATTTGATAGCGGCTCGCAATTTCGTACGAGACACTTTGTAAAACATAAGCTCAGGTATTTGTGGGACGTAAAGAGATAAGTTGGGCATTCCTGCCCACGAATACAGTCAATCGTAGTAGATCCACCTGTAAAGACAAGCGCTCGCTAACCACGAATTGCCACAAAATTTGCATCTTATATTTACCCATAGCACAAGCAGTGACGTTGATAACGCCGCGTGGCGGGCACAGGCCGGTGTCGAGCTCGCAGAAGCATTGGTTGGCGGAATTGTGCGCCGGGTCGTCGAACACGTCCAACGGCATCCGGTAACGCATCAGCTGGACCCCGTCCGCTGTCTGTAATAGATTACAAGCTCAACGAAAGCGGACATAACGTGCCGTACAAATCGATATGTTATCGATTTCCTCTTGCACAGTGCACGTGGCGTTTGCCTTGACGGGGGGTAATGTTTTGCATATATGTCCTTTTGTTATCTACAAGTGTCTATCTAGAAGTGTATAGGGATATATCGTATATCAGTAGGGGTTTCTGGTTGGTTTAAAAAATCTAGGAAACCGTAAATACTCTGTAATGTGCTTATATTGTAAATATAATACCGTGTCTAATTTGCAAATACTATGTAAACAAATACGTTCAATGGGTGTAATAAAAATTCTTAGTTAGCGGAGGAATTTCAGCTTTTTTTCTTTAGCGCAACAATGTAATTTGATGTCTAAAAACAACTTGCTTAAAGGTTAACGCGCATTCCTAAAGTCCTCGTCCACCCGGCCGCACCGCCCAACCTCGTGATCGCCGTCCAACCGTGGAAACAAATGACATTAAGCTTTGCTAACAAAATATATTTATCTCGCTCCATAAGCGCCGTCGAAGCAACGACGAGTGTATGCCGTGGCGATCCTATGGTAGTGCCGAGTGCGCAAGGAGTTGACGAGTCGGCGTTAACCTTTCAGCTTTATCAGTGCTTTGAAAATAGTTTTATTTCTTGTTTCCTGTTGTCTGCCCCATGCATTGTTATCTAGAGGCGTTTGTTTTTATCTTTTGTTTTATCCATACGCCGTACTTTGGTATTATCGGGTTCGGAAGTTCAAGCAATACATTGTGAGTTTTCAAAGATAAAATGTTTGAGGATGAATTTGTCGTCAATTTAAACTGACGTTTAAATGTAGAATAATAAATAGGTTATATTTTTATATTAAAGCTATAGATAAATACGTTTTTTTATGAAGTAGATAAGTTGTTTGTTTAGTTCTTACCTCAACATCCTTTTCGTAAACGAAGGGTAGACGTCTGCAGAGATTTGTGTACAAGACGTACAGGGTCTTATTGCGATCCAGCATCGATGGTGGGAATATTGTTCCGTCGGATGCTTCTATACTGAAATATTAATTATAAATACAATATTCAGGTAATATTGTACCCAGGAGTGACAACTTAATAAAAGGGGAATAGCAATATTTTAGTTGACATCCTAGAGTTACTTTGCCTCGTACCACAATTTTGTTGGTTACATTGAATCCCATGACAGAACATTAACTTATCAAGCCTTAACTTTATTCCTGCTCAATTGACTATACCGGGATTGCAGAGGTTGGCACAATTTTTGAATATTGAATGGGTTATTGATTAAAAAGGTTAAATGGTTCTTAAGAAGTTTATCGACACGCGTGACTAGTATAAAACTTTATTCTCTAAACACGTGCTATATCTACCACGAGTATATAATATTAATATGTAGTCGTGTATACAGCATTGATTGTATGACGTCTTTGATAGTAATGTTACAATACTTTTACATAAAAAGGTATTGACGTTTTTTGGCAAAGAGATATCATAATCTTTGTCGTTTATTTTGCTATTCCTCTCTTTCCCTATATAAAAGTGAGACAGAAATACTTTTTTGTATGGGTATTTAGCCAATGAAAATCCACAAAATTAAATAACTTGAGTTATAAAAGTGACAAACCATGGATAGTATTTATTAATATAAAAACAAATGATCGTACTAATCATTACTATTTCTACTATAAATGGTTATTTTCATTCATTCATTCATTGTTAATGTAGTAGTTTCCTCTTACATAATCTACACTAAGCGGATCCCTTAGCAATCATTCAATCATACTAATATTACAAATGCTAATGTTTGGATTGATGGATGTTCGTGTGAAGGTATCTCCACAACAGCGTAACGGATATTGATGAAATTCGGTATACATACATATGTTCTAGTCTGGCAGAACACATAGGTTACTTAATTATGTAGGTACTTAATTATGTTTTCTTCTTGATACCGAGCGAGCGGAGTCGCGGGCGATAGATAGTTCTGAATACAGCAGTTAATGTTAGAAAACGTGTGTAATATTTTTACAGACTATCAATATGTGATATTGAGTGAGACGTCGCATGTAATATAGATAAACTATTGAACTATGGATACATAGTTAAAATAATCGTAAATAGAGTCTCATTGAGTTAACACGCTGAATGGCGTTCATAATGTTTACTTTGAACGAAACATTGTTGGATTCCATTCATCTATTTGCAATTAAACGCGTATAATGAAACCTCTCTTATTGACGTCATCACGTATTTTAAAGTTCGGTTGTTTACTGTCATAGACCGACACAATTAGGTGAGCCTGTGGGCATCATAGACACTATAGGCTTACAGACCGACAGTCATCTGACTCGGTATCATACACTGACAAGGATATCAAATCCAGGGGACATAAGTCAAAGTAAATTATGATAGCTCACTAGCGCCATCCTGTTAATATCACAAGATCTTTGTCTTACTGTAGCTTTCGTGTCATATTTTTTTTATGTCCGAACTAACCGTGATAGTAGCTTCTTTCTAAGTCTATGTTCGTCGGACTGTACCATCATAATGATTAAGTTTCATCTTACAAATCTTACTAATATTTTAAATGCGAATGCTTTTATAAATGGATGGATCAGTGGATGGATACTAGAAGGTCTCTCCAGAACTGTTCAACGGATCTCGAAGAAATTTGGCACAGATGTAGAACATATTCTGGAAGCACATCTACTACTGTTAGCTTTTTTTTTCTATTCCGTGCGGACGGAGGCGCTGGTGACTAAACTTATAATATAGTTCCGGGTCACTTTAACTGACAAGAACTTTTCGTAGTTTCTAAAAAATGAGGTACCTATTGCATTCCCGGCTCGACCAGTAAGGTAAAAATTCTCTTCCATCTAGCTCCTGTATTATATTCATCTTATCTTTGTCAATTTCCCCCGTGTTTATTGTAAGACGTTCGGAAACAGTGCCGTTTTTCTGAAAATACAAAATATTATAAACGTGAGTTTCCACTAATACAAAACGTAGTATGTACTATCTTTGTTGAATGCCAATTGTTTTTGGACAGATAAATGAAAGTGAAATGATACTTACAGTAACTAAAAGTCCAAACTTTTTAAAGTTTAACTTTCCTTGCAAGCTTAAGATCGGTTTCGCAGTGTCGATTATAGTGTCATCATAGCCCCATAGAAACCTGAAAAGTAAAAAAGTTAACTTCTACTTTATGGTTTAGATAGATTCAGTGGTAATTTTTATGTTTCAATGTTTTTAAAACACATTTCCACATGTCCTTTTAAAAGGTTTCGCAAACACAATTCCCTAAATCTTACAGTCTTAAACAGTCATTTACTTTGTGAGGTACAAAGATGTGACTTTATTTCATCGTAAATTAGAAACGCAAACAATGATTTGTAGCATCAAAGTGACATATTGAGGCCAGCGATGTGTACTTGTGTTGATTACGAACGCTACACCCATTAATTAGTAGATGTTTTAAAGTGATTAGGTACAGCCGAGGAAACATTTTTGTTAAGGAACGATTCGGTTTCTTTGGCAATGTTAAAAAAACAATACAGTCACATTTTATTTTCTTACATATGTCTAAAGGTAGCGGTTACTTTGCTTTTTTTAAATCCTGGCCGCTTGCTCATATACCTCTGACTACAAAAATAAAGGACAAACTTTGTGCATCTTACCTGTGTACAGGCAATTTGACGAATGCATCAGGATGGTTACCGAAATTGAGCGCAGTATTAAGAGTCATTTGAGCAAAACCATTGATTTGCATGTCCTTGGCTTTTGATATGACACCCTGTGAATACAAACATATGAATATAATTACCAACAACGAGCATATACTGTTAAAAACTATACAAGCAACTAGAAAAATGTTGACACCGTGATTCGTTTGATCCGCTGTCTTTTAATAAGATTAAGGGACCTTTGGTGTCTTACGAAACAAAGAACTTTTAGTCAAGTCGTCAAATTTATTTGTTTATTCAACTGAAGAATATTAATCAAAAAGCAACCATATAATAAGTATTTTATTGTAAGGATGTACTTACGAGAAGTGGTAGATTAGGCACATTAACCTGGTCGAAGTGCGCGCCTTTGGACTTATCAGGCAAGAACCTGAAGTCATTCCTTTCGTTGTAGCTCAGCTTGTCCTTGTCAAATTTTATATTAACTCGCTCAAGCTGTTGCCTGCGAATGTAAACAACCATGAGCTTTTTTAATTACACACTTCGTTAAAGATATTGTTACACACTACCACAAAGATCTTTATTAATATTATATAGCGAAAGAGATTGATTGTTTGTTTAAATGCGTTAATCTCAGGAACTACTTTGGTCTGATTTGAAAAATTCTTTTTTTGTTGGATAGTCTATTTATAGAGGAAGGCCTTAGGCTATATAACATTACGCTGCGACCAATAGTTTTTTTTTTAATTCGGCGCGGACGGAGTCTCGGGCGACAGCTAGTTGTAACTTATAACACGTAGTAGCTTTTCGTATGTCCCTTTTGTTGTAATCGTTTGACTGATTTTGTATGAACGGGGTTATTAAGTAAGGGCGTCTAGTTTCATCTTTTTTGGCACTTAGTATTAGTTTCGTTACCATTAGTTTCTTTGTTATCAAAATAATCAGTCATTCAGTCCATTAGTTAAACATTGGCTAGTACGCGTGATAATTCGGAATTTTATACTCTGCGTATAAGAGGATTGGATCAAGGTCTTAGTAAAAAATGTTTTACGGGTTTTTAATTTAGACTTATACGGAATGTATTTACATTAAATGGACAACACGAGCACGAATCTAAATGCAGTATTACAAATATGGATATTCCCTTCGACAACCAATTAATGTTCTAATCGCAAAATACAACTAACACAAGGTCAATACTTACGGTAAATTATTTTAAACACTTACTTCAATAATGCGTAGTCTACTAGCTCACTAACTTATAGTAAATTTTCATTTAATAATAAAAAGCTACAATATAACTAAAATTAATGTATATTTAAATTAAGACATAGGTTAATAATTTAGCTAGCTTACTTAAATATTTGTTTTGTAATTACATAAGCCTTTGCCCGCGACTCCAAGTGGAATAAACGACTTATTAAGAACTTTATGCGTTAATCTAGACAGTAATCAATGTGTCTACCAAACTTTCAGATCAGTCTAGCTGTTGATTTACAAGCTAACAAACAACCATCCAACCAGCGGTTGTGACTGAAGTCATTCAAATTAAAATAAAATATGAATTCGCTAAGAATTCCATCCTTACAAAGATTGCTTACTTAAAAATTTATCTCAATGAGTACTCAATTGGCTTATTCATGTACACGTGATTGATAAATGCTTCTGCATATACTCTACGTAGTTTTAACACGATATTAAATTCATAGGTTTGTTATTGCCAGATCACAGCCAACGGCTCAAGCCTACATTAGTGGCAAGGCTTTATACAATCAAATTGGCCCAATGCGTAATGGTTTGTTTTACTAGTGAAATTGTGACCTTTGCTCTTATTTATCCTATCTCCAAGCGAATGAAGACTTGATATTATTCAGTTCATACGTAGAAGGGAAAGCAAGAAGGTTATCTTGATCGCACTTTGCTCAGTTATTTATATTTACACTATTGTCTGTACACGTAAGTATATATTTGTTTACTAATTTACTCTTTACTCAAGGATGAAGCAAAGCTCCGTGGTTTGTGTCCAATTAATGATTTGAGAATATAAAAAAAAATGATAAACGCATTTTATGAAGGAAGAAGTCGCCCGACTCCGTTTGCGCAGAATTAAAAAGAAATGAATTTGTAGACTAGACTATGTGTTCTTCCAGACTATGTCCCGCATCTATGTCAAATTTTATCGATATCCGTTGAGTTGTACTTGAGATGGTTGTTTCCGAACTAGCGGCTGCGCCATGAGACAGAGACTTGAAAAGAGTCTGCGTTAAGCAAGCAATCGTTTCGTTACTCCAAATACGTAATAGTGGCGACGAACATGGGCTTTTGTTAGATTCTAACAAACATCAAAACTTTTACAATTGTAATATATTTCCATTTTTTTTATCTCCATACAAACTCGTATACATATAAAAATGTCCTTGTGTGCCTACGCGTGGTGCAAAAATGTAAGTGTGTGTGTACGATGGCGATTCTAATAAAATACTCGTAGATAAGAAAGTAATATCGGTTCTCTTGTTATTGTTATGAAACTAGCCAAAATTACATAGATTATGACTGCTATAAATATTGACGCAAACTATCGTCATACTATCGTTGATTATACAAAGCTATACTCACTTTTGTTCAACTGACAGATGTATATCGAACTATAACCGTTGGTATCCAACATTTTATAGTTTGAGGGTTAGAAAAAGTACATTCACTCCGCAGTGATTCCATAATAAACTTCAAGAATGTATAGAACTGACACACGATAATCACGTGACTTATCGTATGTCAGTTCTATACATTTTTGAATTTCGTTACGGAATCGTCGCTGAGCGAATGCAGTTTATCTAACCTCCAAGCTTAACGGATTAGACTCGGCGCAGACAGGCCACTGACCACAACCACCGGTGACCATCGACAAGCAATTCATACGATTGTTCATACATTGCCTTAATTGCCATGTGACAACTTGATACTCACTACATAGATATTGGTGTCATTCCGTACGTATTCTTCAGAGTGTTAGGCTTTCAATTATTATTTGATAAACACCTACTTCAGGGGTGACGAACCTTTACGTATGTTTGATAAGTTCATAGACGTGCAATCAAATAGTCTTGACTTTGATTTTCATGATATCACTTGTATTCGCTCCTAAGATAATTTGTACATGATCCGCGTGCCATTGGTTGGCCATCCCTGACGTAGTCTATTTCTTTCCCCTTTTCATGTTGGTTATAAGTATTCCGATACCGTTATTTTTATTATTCTTTTATTGACACTTGTGACTTTAAACATCGATAATTTATTGTTTGGATTACTAGTGATTTCAATTTAATTTAAAATAAATTTTATTGAAAGACCTGAGGGTTAAATTACTTACATTTTGTTATCATTACGTAGTTTTAAGGTCGTTGATAATATTGATACAGTTAAGCAGATTGCGTACATCATTTTTTAAATAAATAATCATATCACCACAGATCAATCTTAAATTACTTTATTAATTAATTAATATTATAAATGCGAATGTTTAGATGGATGGATATTTATTTGAAGGTATCTCCAGAACAAATCTCGATGTTATTTGGCATATAGAACATATATAACGTAGTCCGGGACAACATATAGGTTACAAATTATGTTTAATTTTTCTAATTCCGCGCGGACGGAGTCGCGGGCGATAGCTAGTGTGTAATAATTAATTAATAAATACTTTTTAATAAGAAAATAGTTGTAAAGTCTAAACAATACTTTAGTTTATTTGCAATATGTAATTTGGTTTTTTAGCTGTATCTTTGTTGTTTTTTAACGTATGTGATAAGAAATTAAAAGATGTGTGAAATTATACAATCCTCATTGTAAAAACTAGGTTGTCCACTATAGGGGAGGCTTTTGTGAGGTATATAAGCATAATATGTGTAATACTTACGAATACACGTAAGGCCCAACTTCTTCCACATGTAGTCGTTTCGCTCGCCTTTCTTTGACATCCTCCCAGTTGGTGTAGTTAAAGAGATATACCTTCATCAAAGGTTGTACGGTTGGTCGCCTCCACATATCATAGGCGACACTGTTGTTCCTTATCACCATGTTCTGAGGATATGATATAAAGGATGTTCCAAATTACATTTTGTAACATGTTTGTAATTTCAATTTGTAACATGTTACGAATTACAATTCGTAACATTTATATTAAAATGTTGTGTGGTAAATAAAAAAAGAATGTATACGAACCAATACTCAAATCGAAAATAATTTAATGTCAGTCAATGGGTTATTTTTATAATAATGTTTATTTTAATTAAAAAGAGATTCATGATTTTTTTTAATTTGTACATTTTAAGCGATTTTGTGTTATTTGACGATTTAATTATATTTTTATTCAAACTTTTTTTTTCATGTAAAACAATGAGAAAGAACCAAAATACTTACGGATAATATAGCGTTGTTGATTGTATTCGTGAAGCAAAATAATATTGTGCCGATGAGACTTAGTACGAAGGTGGCAGACAGGAGTACCAGTACTGGAACAAAATAAAACATTTCACATATACTGTTTCCACTCTTAAACACACGTATAAAATTGACTTCCCTCTCATCCTGTATAAGATTTTTTTTTGCATATGCTTCAAATTCTAGCCTACAGTAACCTAAAATAGACCCGATTGAAAATAATAGACGTCATATTAGCTATGTAAGTCTTATAAATATTTTTTGGAACACAGATTTAAATAATTATAGAGCTGTTTTCTTATATAATTATATATTTAGAGCACTTTTCTCCAATGTTTTTAGCATAAATGCTTATAATCGACAGTTCCGCTGTTAAACTAAACTGCCAAAATTATATCAGCGGTAAATCTTTTTGAGCATAAATATATGTGTTTATAATGTCCAGTCTATTACGTTTTAAATGTCTTTGTTATAGAATAACACTATGCATTTGGTACATGCTTAAGGATCCTAATCCTTGTGTTAACTATACTAAGGTACTGCGTAAGTTACATTTAAACTATTCTATAGAATTATTAGTTCGTTCCAGAACAAAGTTTTTTTTATTATATTAATTATGAGTAAAAAATGTTTGTAAATATTAGATAACAGAAATTGATAACTTGATCATACGATGGTAGCTTTGAAATTAAGTTATCGCTCTACGAATGTTCGTGATTCCAATACAATTGATAAAAGAAACATTAAATAATTTCGATTGAATAAACAAATATTGTAACTAATTACATTAATTTTATTGTTAACGAATGGACACGAAAAAGAACCCTTTTTAATATAGTAACTTTGAAATTCTACTACCGCAATACATTGTAAAAACGACATATTTTTTTCTCTTTAAAAAACAAGATAGGTAAAAAAATAATTTATATAATATTTCGACAGTAAAAACCCTCACTAATGTGTACAATAACTTTAAAGAATTCGAATAATGCTCGGTAATAAATAAAATTAAAACTACCTTGACCAAAAAGAGGGCAGATCACTAAAATACAATAAATTTTAATTTCATCAATAAAGTCATTGGTTACAATACGAGTATATATGATCAACAGAATGTAACTGTAGGCTTCCACTGTCGAGACAAATTGTTTTCATTCTCATACTGTCTTATAACTGACTATGAATTTATCGTCAATGGAAACCTACGATAAAATCTATCCACAAAAATTATATTGAATTTAAATGTTTAATTAATATTCTTACGTTTTAATTAATAGGTATAGTGAAACTAGCTGATGCCTTCATTCTATGTGTTATTCCAGACTATGTTCTACATCTTTGCCAAATTTCATCAAGATCTGTTTAGTCGTTCCGGAGGTACCTTAAAACAAACATACATCTATTCATCCATCCATCTAAACATTCTCATTTATAATATTAGTTTGTAGTATGATTATAAAAACTAATAAGTATGTAGTACATAATAAATATATGGAGTAATTCCGATTATCAAATTGATTTTTTGTTTTTTTGTTTTCTAAAAAAAAACACGTATGTATTAAGAGTATTCGTAATCTTGTAAATTATGTGCATACGTAATTCCATTTCTGTTACTATATCGTAACAAAATCCCCATAATGATACTAAATATTTACGTCATCTGTTTATCTTACAGGTCAAATACTAAACTCGACTTTCATTGAAACATAGTTAACACGATTCACACTCGTGTTGTTACGCATTTTGTTATAAAAACGCGTTCGTTGACTGACAAATTTTATAGCTTATAAAATATGCAAGAAACAAGAATATTAAACATAAAAAAATTATTGATTTAACTTATGATTTAAACAAGATATTTAAATTTTTACTTTCGGAAAGATTAATATTGTTTCTATTTTTTAACGGAGTTACAATAGTCGTTAAATTCAAAAAACGAGTTCCGACATTAATAGGACCTCATTGAATTAGTCAATTTTAAACTCTAATATAACAGAATACGTAAAAGAATAAAATATTTGAGGTTATAGTTCATAGTCATGTAATCTATAGTTTAAAGTCATGTCCGTCATTTGGTGAGATTAAATTTTACCATGATAAGGTACAAGGTTTTCTGTTTTAGTGATGTACCCGATTTAATTTAATATTTTCAAGCAATAACAAGAGTTTAACTCTAGTCGTCGTAATAAAACCCACTACACACCTTCAGTTTTAACTGCACAGTTTCAATTGTACAGTTCAAGTGTACAGTTAAAACTAAATGTGTGTAGATAACATTGAAAACTACAATTTAACTAGCATTTTAAATATCGGCTTTACCTTTGAAAAAGTTGTCGTGTTAGTTTTCTGTTTCTTTTGACGAAAGAGGTGTATCTTTTTTATTATTTATTAAATTTTTAATGGACTTATGATTTACAAAAAAGCTGGCAACCTACAAAATTTTATTTTGTAGAGTATTTAAAAAAAATTATGATCAAAAATTCATCTAAATAATCGAAAAAAGTTTTTAATATTTTATGCATCAATATTAAAACTTTTTTCGATTATCGAGCTTATTTGGAATGGTTAAAAGAAATATTAGTAAATTTACACAAAAATCTGCTAATATTTTATAAAAAAAAAATGGTTTTGTTACATTTTTCTATAAATGTATAATTTTAACGCGAAACTAGTATTGTTGAATGTATTAAGAAAAAAAACAGAAATGTTAAGGTAAATATTTGTAATTAAATGAATTTATTAATTATGAATATATGCAAGCATAACTAACTTTGATAATAAATAAAAAAATAACAACCTAATGCATATTAATCAACTTCAGTAGATAATTACACGCGATTAAACTCCCTTTTAAATATGTAATTGTTTGTTACCTTAAAAGGTGTTAGTGAAGTTATAAAAATACTGGCGCTCATGTAAATGTAATTTGTTGAGAAACGTTAAGACAATTAAAACAATTATTGCAAGATTTCAAAACCTAATGACAGAATGAATTTGCAGATGATTTAACGATGTTTTTTCCTTTAGAATGAATTTACTCTATTTACATTTTCTCCGTTTTTATATGTAAATAATGACGGGTTAATTGTACGATTAGTTTTAGAATGTTAATTATTTTTTTGTAGTTAATGTCGTGGAAGATTGTTTAGTAGATTAATATGCAATTCTTTGATATTTTTTTTATTAAACTGTGATTATACACAAGAATTAGTAGAATGGTGCAACTCACGTTTCATCGCCATTATTACATCACTAAATGTCCTTGAGGAGCTCAGAGCGTACCCTATGTCAAGGGTGACTAGACCATAGTCAACCACACTGATTTAGTGCGGGTCGGCTTACACGCATATTTTTGAATTTCCTCGTAAATATGTGCGGGTTGCATATGTTTTACTTTAATTCACGATTAGGTTTGTGGTCAAAAATGTTAAGTACACATTTTCCTGACAGAATTGTATGCATGAGTGGAGTGTTGTGTGCGATAAATATATACGTATAAGTTTATACTTTGATTTTTAAGAGATTGGACCTGTAAAACTCGCGCATTTCCCTCTTCGAGAAAAACTCAATAACTGCTTATGTGTTCGTATTTTGTGTGCAAATTTTGAGAACGCACATAATTCATAAACATGTGTAAATCATGCTGACACGTTAATTTCAATTTTGACGTGTCGACATGATTTGCACTTTATCTGATTGTAATCTCATAAAGTGCTTATGTTCTACTTTTCCCGCCATGAAAAGTTTTTTGTCCAAGGGTGAGTTTTTTGCCTACTTCCTTTTTCTATAGTCAAAGGTCTTACACGAGAAAGACGTTAATATTCAGTAATATAATTTTATAAGTGTTAATCTAAAGAGGCAACAGTTATCAATGTTCAATGAAGACATTAATAGCCTTGACAAAGTTTTTTTTTTTAATTTAAACAAATATATGATAATATATGTTCAACAAATATATAAAAAAATAATGATGTTTTTACTTAAATATAAAGAGTTTTAAATTGAAATAATTTATTCAGATTAATAAGTGGGTTCCTACATTTTAATAAATCGCACTGATGCTGGCTTAAGTTACTTTTGTGTTAATAAACAAAAGTGGAATAATATTTACTAGATAAGTTTGCAATGGTTTCGTTAAATCTCATTGAAACACAGTTATCTGAACATGGTCACAAATAACATATTGGACCAGTACATTGCGTCCCTTTGGAACTCTAGCAGACCTACTTGTGGATGAGAACCGACGCGACTGTGTTTTAGTGCCTATGTATCTCACATAACCCCGCCTTTCCCCCAAAAGCACAGTATCTTTAAAGATTACACTCCCTCTCCCCCGATAGCAAAAAACGTCCCCCTTACATCAGTTAATCTCAACTCGATTTATGTAGATTTAGTAATGATATTTAACTTATTAATAATTTGGGAAATAGTTTATTAACTAATGATGTTGAATAGACACTGAGTAAATGGTTACCAAAGTTTACTTTTGGTTATTTGTAAAAGACAGATTTTAAATAAAATTTACATGAATCGCCTATGAATGTATAAAACACGTGCTTAGAATTGAGTCGTAATTGATGGAGTTTGTCGAATTTGTTAAATTATATCCTATTTAAGATGTATCTAAAACTATTCAGCGAAAGTTAAGTATAGATTTAAAATTCGCACTTTTATCACTTCTGTTATTTAGACCTTGAAAACAAACCCAGTTACAGTTGAAATGCACACTGCTGTAATAGGTACTTATCGCATGTTAGTTGTGAGCTTTGACTTCGGATGCTTACAATTAAAAAACAAACTAAGTAGCCTCTGGATCAGTTTAGGCTGTAATCTCTCAGTATTCCTAATCACATAGAGACCCATTTAGAAGTTCTGTAGATACGTGATAACATTCATATATCCTTCAAAACTTTCCCATTTATAATATCAGTAAAGTCTTACTAAAAGGCATATAATTAATGTGCCTTTTTAGGGAATTACAATGCAAAGCATTCACCATACAATAATTTATCAATTGCGTAACTTAACATAATGAATTCCAAATCGACGCGTGCGCAAGAAAACCTGTCCAACGATAAATATTGAGCGAACGATTCTATGTATGAAATATCAATTAAAATGCAAGATGTACACCCGTTCAATACACATAGTTCAGGAATCTAATGAATTTTCCATGTCTTGAAGGTCAATGAATCTTGTCATGCCACTACGCCTAATATTAGTAGTTTACATTTACTATTAGTATTATATGTTTTTTTAATTGGTATTTATTTAGAGGAAAAGTAAACATTACTAAACAATGACATGACAACTACGAAATTTGTCACAATTTTTTTTGCCATATTTGTTGCTGCTTATAGTATTTGAACGGGAACGTGACTTGAAGTTATGTAGTTAAGAGGCTTTAGTGCATTTAATTATAATTCACTAATATGATGAGAAAAAAACTTCAAAAGTAGTTACAGGTTACATAGAAATCAGTTTTCTCTTTATAACTTAACAATATATAATTTTTAATACTCTACATTTAGATTTTTTACTAAGACATAATAAGACGAACTTTTCATCAACTTGAAATGTTGTATTACTTGTTTCTTGCTATCTCAAGTAGCGTAATGTACAAACGTAACTATTTTCCAGTCAATGGTCGCTGTAAATAGAGAAATATCAGACATAGTAGACTTGCTGTATCATGTTTCTCAAGGTGACGCTTTGCTATGCTATGTTTTGTATCAAACTCCTTGGTATAACCTCATTGTTGATTCCGGGAGCACATTATAATAGTAACCCTCGCTTCAGTATTATAAAACTTAAATTAGAAATTGAGAATCATAATGTTTTAGCTTTCGGCAGCCACTCTGTCCACGAGGAAATACAAAAAGCCTATGTGTTCTTCCATATGTTCTATATCTACCTAAATTTCAGCGAGATCCAGTCAGCAGTTTTGGAAATACTTTTTAACAAACATCAATCTATCGATCTATTCATGCAAACATTTGCATTTATAATATTAGTAAGGAATAGTAAGATTATCAGTTCTAGTGAAAGAAATTTGTAAATTTTATAATTGTCACATTTTATACTCCAAATATAAAGCACGTTTTTATCATGTTGAGGTTTGAATTACGCGAGATTTGTTGACCTTCCTCCATTCGCGCTTAGTTACCCGAGGATTGAATCTCATATATTTTGAAACAGACAGGTTTTAGCTATACCGATATTATAAAGAAGAAAGATTGTTTGTTTGTTTGCATTGAATAGGCTCCGAAACTACTAAACCCATTTGAAAAATTCTTTCTCTATTGGGGACATAGAGTATATTTATTACAACATTTTTTAATTACGGCCGGACTAAGTCAAGGGCTATTAAAGATAAGAATAAAAAAAATACGTGTGTTGTTTAGGAATTAATTTATATGTAATATATTTTCTTTTTTTAAGCAATAGGAGATTTTTTTCCTGCGTATGTAACTTTTTATGTGTGTAAGTTTGTATGTACATACGTATGTATGTAAGCACCATTTTGGCGTAGAGCGTACGACTGAACCAATTTTGTGGAGTATGGTATCATGCTTATTGATGCTTTTAGGGTTCCGTACCTCATAGGAAAAAAACGGAACCCTTATAGGATCACTTTGTTGTCCGTCTGTCAAGAACCTTTTTCTCAAAAACGCGTGAAGGTATCAAGTTGGAATTTATTTAAATATACAACCAGTTAAACAACTTAATAAAAACAAGAACTGTTATTCATTAAATAACTTTAATAAAACATTAGGCCACATGGTCCTACACTTATGACATTTCGGTGCAGATGAATCGAATAATCTTTAAACATGAAATGAAAAATCGTTTTACATGTCGTAAAAAAATCTTCTGTATGTAAATATCTAGTTTTTTTTTAATAAAAATGGAGTGTATTTAGAATCAAAATGTCTGATTTCTTGCCGGAAGTGTAGTTAAGCAACTCTAAAAACCAAATAACTAGAACTTAACATGTAAGCTTTTCATTTTATCGCACTTTTTAATAGGTCACATTTGTCACGTGAGGTGAACTTGCAAACATCGATAATTGTGAATAAATCGTAAAATTAAGTAGGCAAAGCAACTACGGTTGTCTATGAGTAGCGGTCGCTTTGATATTTCAGAAAGCCGTTTGCTCCTTTGTCATCTTATAATTAAAAAAAATGTGTTTAAAAAGAAAAGAAGTTGCACAGACGCAACATTATAATAACGTTCTATAATCATTATTACAATAAATATGAAATATGTATTCGTTTTAATTATTGTAGTTCTAACTACGGGAATAAAATATTATTATGTTAAAAAAAGTTTTGACCGCCGTTACAAAGTTACGTTGTTGAATTTTAATGTACTGTCAAATGTGATCGATTAAATTCGCCCTGTAGAATTTTCAATTCTTAGTTTACTTAGAGTTTTTTTTTCTGAAATTTTTTTGTTTGCATTTAAACTTTGAATAATAATATTTTAAAGTTTCTAACAACTTGCGAGTTTTATGATAAAGGTTTTTAAAAGTTTTAGATAACTGTTTCGTTAGGTTACGATAGCTATACATCCGCAAGTAGCCATCTGATAGTTATAGGTTTGAATTCAAGGTAATTCGATTTCATCACAGTGTACGGATACTACAGATTTTTCTTTTTAGTTGTTAGTTGTTATTGTCTAGAATTCAATTCAATATGATTTTATATATTAACATATTTCGCTAGATGACAATGTTATATATTTTTTTGTTTTTTTTTTAAACTTTAGATTTATTTTTGCACATTTATCTAGCCAGTGATGGGACAGGCGATTCTCGCATTCGAAGGACAAAAATGCGAACAGCTTCGTATTTTTGAAGCTTGTTATATATTAGAGAATTAACAAGACTTCGGTGGGACAGGCCCTTAGTGTTTAATTTGATGGTACAAACATGGTGTTTTAACAAGTCTTTGTTACAGCCTTATAAAGATAAATTTGTTCAGATAGATTTGTCATAATTTCTCTCATTTCCAATAAATTCGAGCATACGATTGTTGGAGTTATCTATTCCATTACGATAAGGCAAAGTCTATGGCGTATAGAAAGTTCGAAGAACTATTAAGAGTAATCGCTTAAGTGATATCATTAGAATTACTGTGATATTGCTTCATTTATTTACTAGATGTCGCCAGCGACTGTCCGGCGGAACTAAAAAATAATAATTAGTAGCCTATGTATCCTTCCAGATTACGTTCTACGTCTATGGGAAATTACAGCGAGCCGTGCAGCCGTTCTGTTGATGCCTTCGAACAAACATCCATGCATCCATCCATACATTCGCATTTATAATATTAGTAAGATTTAATGTGTCCTAAGTTATTATGACTTTCTTCTGTCCCATATTTGTATTGATATAGTTTATTATCTTTTTTTTTCTTATAAGAAATGAGAAATGTTAACAATATTTTTTTCTCAATTATTGGATGAAAATCACAACCAAATGCTTAACTATTAACTATATAGCGTAGTCTTAACCTAAAGTCCGTTGTATACTCTCAGTCTTAACTGTATAGTCAAAGATATCTGAATTTTTGCTGCAAATCTGCAAACTGTTCACTTTAACCGACAGTTTTAATTTAACTGAAAAGTTCGACTATACAGTTTAAGTTAAAGGTATATAGCAAGTTTAAATGCATTGTATTATTAGTTACTTACAGAAGTAGTATCTTTTGTCCGACTGTTGACCCCAGCATAACACCGACCACTGTTTTTTAACACCAGAGCAATTGAAATGCGCCCGCGACCATCCCGAGCATCCCGGCAAGTTGCCCAGAGCTGTGTCCTCTCTTATTAGTATCTTTCCCACGCCACTGTTGGGATTAATAATAACTATCTTATCCCCATTCTCCCTCGGCAGCATAAGGCTAGTCGACGTCATTTTCTCCAAGTTCTGATGTTCCATTTTATCTTTTATTTCTTTATGTTTTTACACTAGTTCATGTTACACTAATATCCAAACGTGTCTGGTCACAGACGTCCGCCCGCGTCAATGCCCAGTTGTCAACTGATCTTTCGCTCTGGGTCAACTCTTCTTATCACTGACTTATTTTTTTTCCACCGTATTGGTTTAAATGGGTTATCATTGTTTCACGATTTATGTATTTCGAGATATTATAAGTGTTGCTTTTTCTTAAACATTTATTCATAATTACAAAACAAGCTATGATTATACAGCCTTATAACAATAAAACGGTAATAAGCCGTTTAAGAAATTATTAGCATTTCCGTAATTTGAGAAATAACTAATCAAGTATAAGCTAGTACAAGAAGTATTTAATGCCGAAAACGTGCCATTTTAAAACAAAAATAAATACCTCGGAAAGTAAATTTCTAAGTTTTTTTTAATCATATATCTAATACAAATGTTTCAGCAATAGAAACTGATGTTTACCAAAGCTTTATGTATCAGAAAGAGTGCACTTAAATGCCCAGTTTATATACAATTAGAGCAGTGGATTTTGATTGTATAATTAGTCTTTGTTTTTCCATCAATATGTTTTTGTATAGGATTTTTTGGTCATTGTAAACTACGATTAGTTTATTTGCTACATTGAGCACACATCAATTTGCAATTTGATAAACGAATAGAGTTCATGAACGATTCAATAACGCTGGGATGTTTATTTCGTTACTGATAGTCTTCAAGTGTTCACACTTTGTTGCTGTAACCGTGCGTTTCCATTGCAGATACAACTGTACAATACATATTGGTCATTCATATCCAATAAACCCGACTGACCTATTACACTCAGAGGCAGATGAATCGAATCACACCTCACTCGTAAAAAATTGGTTTAGTCGTTTTTGCTCCAACCGGTTATAATAGAATGACGTGCAGAACATCTTCCCAACGTCATAGGTATAAAAAGATTGTATTTAAAAATGATAATTGTCTTATTTTGTATGACGTATCACTGATTCATACATTTATATAAAGCGATATATTTTGTATAATAGTCGGGGGCATATCAAACAATGGAAATTATATTCAAGAGATGGTCGTACTGTTCAGGTCGTTGTTCTACTTACAAAATTAAATGGAATAATGAATCGGTGGTCGGGACAAATTGCCCCTTCCTGTAACAATTGCGATGCATCTTGACACGTATACTTGATGATCTAACTCAACTGTTAATGTGCGCTTCCACTACTTTAACACATGTACAAAAACATGTTATACCTTTCAGATACCTGTTTTAATACCTTTTTCTTCTGGTGCATAGCAACTTGAACTCTGAACATATCTACTCAAAATATAGAACACGTATTTTTGGTACACGATTAGCGAAGACTTTCAGCTAAGATGTTCTCGTCCTTTCTTCATTTTTCTACTGTATCTTTCGCTTAAAAATTACCTGCACCAATCTGCACTTCGATTCTTTCTACATGCACAAACTATCCAGGATAAATTATGGGTATTGAGTTCAAATCTTTTCTGTCTATTTTTACCGTTCCCTACTTAGAAAGAAAAAGCGAAACTCTCGGATCACTGTATTGTCTGTTCTTCTGTCTGTCTGTCAGTCAAGACTCTTTTTTCTTATCAAATGCACCTCATACTAGCACCACTTCAACGATCTTAAAATAACCTTCTTTAATATAATTTCACTTACGTATAATACAAGAAACCAGTATCAAATGACAGTTTCTACGGCTAACCTTTGGTTTCCGATATCAAAATCTTTGTATAAAACATGCCGTCATCCCAGTCTTCTTTCGCATTCATTGCCATCTTTAAGCTTCTTTCTTAACTTTCGTTTCGCCAAGAGTTCCGTGAATATTCTGCTTTCACAAGATGAGTATTGAACAATTAACTTTAAATGTTATTTGTCGTATACTTTTGCTATTAAATTCCGTTTGTTTTTAAATACAAAGTAATACCGCTACAACAATTTTAATCGGAATATACTTGACCTCAGTGAGATAATGTTTCGAAATGGCGCCTGTTTCCGTAGAATAAATGTGTTACTTTACTAAATAACTATCAAATTTTTTAGTCATTGCATAATTCTTAATAGAACTCCATACCATTAATTGAACTAGGTATAATTCTTTAGATTCCCCCGAGTAACTAACATTTTACTAAGCTAAGGAAATCTGGATAATCAGCGTAAAGTATAAATATCAGTCGCTACATAAATTGACTTAAATAAAACGAATTAGTGTAATTAGTAATTCATGTTTATCATGCAAAACAACTAGATAATGAACGTATGCAGTTATTTAGTGTAGACAGTTCAATAAAACAAATAGATAATTCAATTCCCTTAAAGAGCCAGTCGCAGGTATTTCCAGCGCTCGGAAAAATGTTTTCGAAGACGGACGTGTTTCTTTTCTATTCATTCTCTCTTTTCTACTTATTAAATGCTAATTTAAATTCCGCCAACTTGGATATTGCAAGGCAATTTAAGGTACTTAATGGATATCCTTTGGATTCTCAACTGAATTTCACGGAATTGGCAACAGAATATGGATATACCGCGGAAGAACATATGGTAACTACAGAAGATGGATATATTTTGACGATTTTTAGGATAGTTCGCGGCAAAAATTGCCAAGGACCAATAAGAAAGCCACCAGTTTTATTAATGCACGGTTTGTTCATGAGTTCAGATCTCTGGTTGGATTCAGGGCCTGGCGCAGGGCTGGCGTATCTCATTTCGGATGAATGTTATGATTTATGGGTGGGGAATGTACGAGGAAATTATTATAGTAAAAGACATACAAATTTAAATCCGAATACGATTGAATTTTGGAATTTCACAGTTCAGGAAATGGGAAGCTATGATGTACCAGCTATGATTGACTATATAACGAATTATACATCGAGTGACACAATTAACTACGTCGGATATTCCCAAGGTGCCTGTATCTATTTAATAATGTGTTCAGAACAGCAGAGGTACTGTGAAAAAGTCCAAGTTGCTATTCTATTAGCTCCCGGTTCAAGATTGACTTACACAAAGTCCATTCCTTTTAGATTGCTAACTGCATTATATGAAATAAGTGCACCTTTCTTAATCGAAACAGGTATTTATCAAGCATTACCATGGGGTGGTATCGTTCAGCAGCTCGCTTCATATTTGTGCAAAGACAATATTACTGCAGACACGACGTGCAGATATGTTTTGGATAAATTAGACTCTCCTCATCCGGATTCTATTGAAACGGAGACAATCCGTGTTCTCTACGGACATTTTCCAGCTGGTACTTCAGTTAAGAGTATGCTATGGTACAATCAAGCTTTGAATGTAGATGATTTTCAAAAGTTTGACTACGGACCAGTTGTTAACGCTGAAGTGTACAATTCGGCTACACCTCCGTCGTACAATCTCAGTGCAACTACAAATCCAACCGTTGTTATAAGCGGACGAAATGATTTCTTATCTGTACCTCCAGATAATGAATGGTTAGTGAATCAATTGCCAAATGTAATAGAACATGTCGTTGTGGAAGATCCGCTTTGGAATCATTTCGATGTGCCGTGGAGTAAATTGACGAGTAAAGATATTTTGCCGAAGATTACTGATTATTTGTATAGGTACAGCAAAGGAGGGCGTGGCTAATAAAAATTAAAATAAAAACTTTATTGTTTTTTTCTTTTTTCATAATTGCTTAATTGTCAGTCAATAAACAGGATCACAGTAAGTCAACAGTCGAATCAGAATAAACAAGAGACCAAGGGACCGCGATTTTTTCTCGCTTATAGAGCGTATACCTCTCTAACCCAATTTTCTCGCTAATATAGTCCGTCGGGACCGGACAAAGACTCGAATCTCTAGGTTGGACTGTTATATTTTATACGTTGCAACGTAAGCATAATCTTCACGAAAATTTATGGACACCGTTTTTACGTGTTTGTCGAATTGTTTGAAAGTTCTGTTACATAGGAATGGATTGATAAATCTTTTCTACAAAAAATGGTACGTAAATGGATTTCGAATTCAAAACTCATTTGTTTAAACAGCTTTGTTCAATCATTGAAGCATTGGTATTCGTTTTGTTATCAACTCAATGTCTGGTTTTTTTTTCATGATAAAGATGGTTAAAACATAGGCCGTTTAAACTTGACAAATTTGTATGTTTTTATAGAGGGTCGATAGGTTATCATTTGTGGTTTTACATATTGTAACTATAAATTTTATTTATCATTATGTAAAGGAACGGAATATCTAAATTGTTATTTGAATACAGCCAATGTGTGTTTGTTCTTAAATATTAAAAAAAACACATTAACAAGTTTGAAAAAAAGTAATAATTTATTTGAAGAGCAATAAGTTCTACTTACCTGACTATCTCCTGCTATAATAATAGGTGTTGGGTTGCCACCTTTCATGTTAGCACTTTTAAACAAGATGCTGAAAATCGGTTAAAAAAATAATTCAAAACGAATTATAGATATTTTTATTCCTTTATTTCAAAAACATCGAGTATGTAATTATTAGCAATAATTTAAAGTATAATGAATATATAATTTATAAATAACCGAGATTCCTTATTTTGACTTTACTTATTATTAATTTTATAAATAACAATACAAGTAACTAGTATCACATTTATATTTGGACAAACACGTTTCTTATTTTATAATTACATAATTTATTTTATGCAGTAATTCCGAATACCAGACAGAATATATTTCAAAATCTTCTAAACAATATTTTGATTACGCTTAAGTACTTTTAGTAAGTAAAGTATACAAATATCTAATCATTTCAATTTTTGGACCCATTTTTAATATTATTATTACACACTGAGCTGTTTGAAACTTAAATGACCGCCTGTAGTTATAAAGAATCTGCGGGACTGGACAAAGTGCAGCGTTTCGAAGCGATTCCATAACGAATTTCAAAAATGTATGAAACTGACGCACGACAATTACGTGACTTATCGAAAGTTATTGTAAGTTCTTTACAGTTTCGAAGTTCATAATGGAATCGCTCCGGAACGAATGCACTTTGTCTAGCCCCGTGGAATCGTCTTTGACGTGCGATGTACTTGATTCTTGGGGGTTAGACAAAGTGCATTTGCTCCGGAACGATTCCATAACGAACTTCGAAAATGTATAGATCTGACAATAATTTTAGAGAAGTCATGTGATTGTCGCGCGTTAGCTCCATACATTTTTGATGTTTTCTACGGAATCGCTTCGAAGCGAATGCACTTTGTCTAACCCTGCTGATCCCTTTCTTAAGTATCGTAAGTTTACATTCAATCGGTCTTTAACTAACTACTTTCTTCTACAGGTATTTCGGGTAAATGTCACTGAGCGTTATCACAAATGTTAATTTACATTATAATGAAATTATTCATCACATTAATTAGTAGCAATGTACTAAAACAAAAAGATAATATTATAAGTAAATGCTTTTAAATTAAAAGATAGTGCGGTTGCGAATTTAATTATTAAAATTATATGGCTTTCATCCGAAGGAATTCATTATTAATATAAAAAAAATTAATAATTATAAACATTATTACCTATGTATATTAATTCCTTTACGTACTAAAAGCCTCATTTAACGAAATGCAATGCAATAGTAGTAGAGGTCATAAAAACGTTCACGTGCTACATTACCAACCAAATAAGTACCTACGCAAAATTGTTGGTAACATCAACTTTTAGTATGAATACAACTATATAAGGTAAATGAAGGCATATCTAAACTGTTTATTCGATATTTGAACGCAACAATAAGTAAAAATTGCCTTCTTTATGCACCGCAATACAAATGCAAATAATTAATTTTATATAGCATTTTATATAGAAAACTACAATTTTTATCTAATGGTCGCAATACAGCAAGCAAATATAATCTGTGGTACGATGTAATAATGAACAATTTCATAAATGAGGATATCTCTATTTAAATTAGCTAGTGATCATTTGAACTATGTCAGTGCGTTATTCTCGGAGACGAGGGTCTTTGAGCAACTGCCACATGAGCGTCTAGGCCGTCCGATGCTCTGGAAGCTCGACGCCTCCAAGTTCCACTAGGTCTCTCTGAAAATGTGAATAAAGTTAGCAACCAATAGCAACAAATATGGCAAATCTTCCAAGCCTTCCAATCATGCACGTACGGCCAAATGTTAAAAATGAAGGTTTACTTTCACTAACAATTCAAAAACGTGGTCAACTCCATCCAGCCAATAGACATTAATGTTTGACATGGGCATTAGAAATTACCTACTCCTTATAAAAGCTTTTACTTCCATTATTAATTATGTAGATTATAAATTCTCACCTCCACTATCACTCTTCTGTGTGATTAGTTGCCTGTATTCTGTGGAGAGGCGTCGTCTACCGTGTTCGTATTTAACTTCTTTAGCGAGCAATGCCTCGCGTTGCATCTGCGTCCGCAGCTCCGTCGGCACGTCAGGTATGAAGAGTTGCATCAGACCAGTCAAACCGAACACCACATGCTGTAAACGAAGATATATTGATTTTTTGACACGTATGAAGAAAAGTTATGAAGAGAAATTATGAAGGGAAGAAGAGTTATTAAGCATCTCACAAGACATCGTCAACTTTTGTTTATTGTTAATTTAACTTCTCGTGTGATGGCCGGATAAGTCAATTTAATAGTACTGCTTAATCTGAACCTTGAATGTTTTAATGTGAACTGCTAACTCACGGAACAGAACAGTACAAGAACAGAAAATTAAAAGCATCTTCCTTATTGCTAATATTAAGGAATTCGCAAACATTCACACAAAAATAATATTACCTCTATGTCTTTATTTCCGAAATAACTGAGATCAAAACATATTCTTGTTTGTATGCTGCAATAGGATGTTTGCAAAACCCTTACCTACGCATATGCGTAGGTAGCAACGATATAGAAGGAAGCAAGTTTATACCAGGAATTACACAGAGGATGACAGTTCACTTGGTTATAGTTATGTTACCTCGAAGACGACAACGAAGGCGAGCCTGGCTGCGAATACGTGCCAGTAGTGCGGCGAGAGACCGTAGGGCTCGTCGTGCTGCGGCGGATTGCGGTAACCGCGGTAAGCGCACGTCGCTGGATCTACCTCGTTCTCATCAGCGCCCCAGTCCTCGCGGTAGTCCGATGTGTTGAATACTGATATACATACAAAATATTTCAGTTCTTGTGGACAGTCTGCCGCAGGAACCAAAGTTACTGAAGTACCTGGCTAATAAAGTTATTGGTAAAGAAAAAAATAATGTCTTTCTAGAAAAGTGAAGCTTACATGACAATGAATGGTCGATGTAACCAGCCAATGTGTAGTCCGGCGAGTACACGTACTTGTAAACCATACGAGGAATGAAGTCACTCGTGTATGCTATGACGAATGCCTGCGCAAAATAAATCGCAATTATGAAAAAAAAAGCCTAAATCGCATTCGATTGAACATATTAAATCACTCACATTAGAAACCACTGCTGCGTACGTAATTCCCCTCAGAATTCCATACCTGAAAAGAACAAGTACCATGTTAACAATGTAATTTTGTATTATAAACTAATACGAGAAATTAACGGCGATTATGGACAAGAAGTTGATATAATTATTTGTACCCTTCTTTGCAAAAATTAAGTGTAAAAAGGCGTAAAAACAACTTACCAAGCTCCAATATCCTCCACCCTTTCAGCGAGAGGTCTTCTTGCCTGTGTGACCATTTTGTATGCGTCCAAACGGATCTCTGCGATATTGTTGAGCAAAGCAAACAGCGGTGCTAAAGGGAATGCCGCCACGAATAAAGTTACGAAGCCATATTGGAGAACTGTAAAAAAAGAAAATTCAATTTGTTTAAATTGTACAACATTTTCGAATCAAGTATATTTTTATAGTAACTGGTGAATAATGAGTAAGTGGCCAACTGAATTCCCTAAAATAGTGGTTTCTACTCATAGACATCTGACACTAGTAAAGGTAGCAGATACCTTGCCTAATTTTAACGGATAGAGGATTTAATGAGTATATTTCTCCTTAATGTATGTCCACCGCTTAGTCTATTTTCTTTATATGACTTACTCATTTCAAGGTACTCGTCGAAAAGCGCCAGACGTCCTGGGTCTTGCAAGTGGTAGTCCTGCTCCCACGCCATGTGCGGCTTGCTGGGGTCACGTGTCACCGCGCGGTGGGACCTTTGACGCCACCAGTTATGCAGCTTCCTGGAATACACAATGTCTGATATTAAGGTAAATTGTTTCGATACTAACTAGATGGTATTGTTAATGCACTCATGATTTAGTTAGAATTAAATAATGAAAAATGTAACAGTATCTGTCTACTATTGCTTTAGGTAATTGTGACGAGGCTTCAGTTTAATCCTTTGAAAAAAAAATAACTTAAAAGATACTATTACTTACGGAAAACCAAGTTCTAAGAAATTGTTAAAACACTGCTTTCCAACCATAATGATAGCCAATTGTATGCACAATTCTGACAAGCAACCAGCGGGGTCGCAAATATCGCCTTTTAGCTTCAAAAACTCTGATTTGCGAGCTTGATCGTCACCGGGGTAGTCGTAGAATCGACCCTTAAATAGTTATACTATTTATTAAAAAAAATATTAATCGAAACATGCTATATATTTAGTTAATTTCTGACAATTACCTTGAAGAACGCTATGTAGATAAGAGATGAATAATAATTCATAA